GGCATGGCGCCATCATTTGTCTTACGGTTGATATGTTCAACTTCCCTGCCTTGTACCTTGAGACGGTTTCTTTTTTGTGTTGTGGTGGATTCCGGAATCAACCCCATACCATCTCTACATGCGACACGGCTTACAAGATTTGATGCACGGGGACGTTTTCGAATGTTCATTTCAAAGGCGGCTCGTAGTCATACGACTAGGGAGACCTGATACGTGGCCATGATCCGGATATCGAGGGAGGTAGACATGTGTTTCCCAGAGCTTGCAATACTTTACACGTTGTATCCTATACCGAAGGTAAGGCGGGAGAGCGGTAGGGCGGGAAAGGAAAGATCGAGAGGTTGCAACGAGCCCACAAGTACTCCGTACATATCTAGGACATTTTGCGCGATCCACCGGGCTTTGATTAGCCATCGTGATATGGTGGCTGGATATCTCTCGCCGATAGATATCGCGGACCCATATCTCGGGTTAACACCCGGTTCCAAGCGGCTCCGGCTCCTAGAAAACGAATTCCCCACTACACTAACCTGATATCAGCCTTGCGATTGGTGCAAGTTGCTTATGGCGAGGATAACACGCTGACGCCATCCTGAAGCAGTGGATATCAGCCCCAGTGGGGCAAATACCAGGAAAATGGCCCCGGAGACGCCGTCGCAAGCCAACGTGCCCGTTTCCAAAGCCAGCTTCACTGCTGTTGGCTACTTCATCCACGCTACTACAGTAAACGAGATCCAGCATCCCGCCGCAAAGTTTACCTTCCAACAACTAATTTATTCGAAGCATTCATTTCCTCTACCAATTCTACCACACATCCCCACACATCCACTCACTAAATCCACATTGCACCATATGCCAAACATTCGGGACGCAAAACACTCGCTGGATGTCTAGCGGGTTCCATGTGTCGCAGATCTAGGGCTAAAAATAACGCCTTTCCATATCTTGGAACCGAATGACCCCACATCCAGTTCCACCTAGGCAGTGAGACAACGTGGCTTCCAGAATTTTTATCGAAGGCTGTTCAGCCCGCTTCGGCAATTCAGTAAAAGACCAGGCCAAGCCCCGGCACCTGAGGGTCCAATTAACACGACTTGAAACACGAGGTTCTCCTTTTGCTACATCTCGCTTGTTTGAAGTCTGGGTATTATTTGCATCATACGACGGGTCGCTCGGGAGCCGTTGCCAGCGAATCTTGGTACGCGAGTCTTGGCGTTTTGACCTTGAACTCTACCTAGGGCGCTGCCCAGGATAGTGGCTGGTGGATAGGCGTATCCCGAGGTCGAAACTTGTTGCAGCTGTGGATCCCTTTTACAGTTTATGTTGCTGTCGCAACAAATGGTATTACTGTAACACGGGATTCATACGGGATTTCTCCGTACACAGCGCTATATGTAGTTGGGTTTCACCGGTTTCTTGGGGATTTTGAACGCTGTCGTCTATTCTTAGGAGCGGCTCGGAGAATCCTTGTCGAAGGATTGCATTGCTTGCATTCAGCCTCTTTTTAAGTTTGGGGCATAGGCCGAAGTATCCAAGTAATTACAACACAGTACATCGCCAAGCCGTTTGCTTCAAAGTCATGATGCACCAACATCCTTTTGCGGTGCTTACTCCGCGCGTTGTAGATTGAGTTTCGCACTTCATACAAGGCAACAGGCAGTCAGATAGGGTATCGCTGTCATGTTCATTCTTAGATCTTAGATACGTTTATTGGGTCGAAGCACTTGCTTACAGCATGAGATGCAGATTCATTTCTTCTTTGTCGCCCGGCAAATAGCCCTTTGGCCATATCGATTTTCTTTTAGTTTTGCGTGCACTTCCAGAGTACTATGTGCTTGAATCTGAAGTAGCTTACCGGTCCTTCTCGTCGATGAAAAGATATGAGTATATTTGGAGGCAATGGACATATGGTCGATTGTGTCTTCCTTGATGGCTTCTTTTGGGTCGAATTCTAGTCGTGGATCATTGCCTTCATCTTGTAGGGCACAAGATTGTGATGGAGAAATTGGTGGCCGGCGCTGACCTTGGGAATTTCCGAAATACCTTGAGCTTCAGGGCCTCCATGCCCTGGTCTCTCACCCACGATTGCTTGTTGCTGTCCTTCAAGATAGCTTCTTTGTTGATTGCATCAACTGACCGAGGTCGGTGAGCAGGTGCGGCTGGATTCATGGAAGTCTTCGCTAAGGTATCGGATAACCTTCTAAGACCTATACCAGACTCCTAGTTATTCTCGTCTTTCTGCTCCAATCGACTAAGAAATGGCTTATGAAAGCTAACAGCTGTATCCTTAATGCTCATATCGAGCCTGTTGACCTTAACTTTGTGCTACGCCAGAAACTCTGCTTTTCGCGTCGTCGTTCTCTGGGTGTTGACGTCGGGGCCGTTTCAACATTGACCGCCATCCTCACTAGATACCAAGCTGGGGTCATCATCATCTTAGTGTGCTCGGAATGTCTTGTCTTCACCCGCTTTGTATGCCTAGGCGGTCGAAGGTAATTCATTCATGCCTTCAATCTCGCGTCTTCTAGATTTGTGGATAAGAAGCTAAATGCTCCTCTCTTTGCCGTGGGTCTGTTGGCCGTAGCTTTTGATCCATGAACTTCAGTGAAGCTGCATGTCGGAATTCCACATTAGAGATCACCTGATGTCCTCGGACCGATTCGTTGATCATTTCATTTGGGTATACAGGAGGCGTTGGGGAGTCCTTGGCTGCATCGCACGTGCATCTCCATCCCCAACTTCATGCCCACAATATCGTGGTTGTGCTTTGGCTTCCATGATTCTCCATTGGGTAGTCTACACAATGAACGTTCTTTGGATGGTGTGAGGTGGGTGATGATCGATGAGGGAAGATGAAAAACTAGATCGAGTGAGCGAGAACTGAATCGTCGAGTTTATTCAGGGAGCCGGTATTACCTGCCCTGAGCTTCGAGCAGAAAGGAGGCTGGTGGTTCAATCTTCGGGTGCCATCAAAGAGATGAAAAATGAGATACGCCTTTTAAAGAGGGCAGTTGGATTAACAGCTTTAGAGGTGTGGTGTAACTCAACTTTTATAAGGCAACATATGAAGAGAGGAAAATCTGGAGGAAGTAATAGACATATATGCCGGAAGTAGTGAAGAGATCTCTAGAAGACAAATGGAAAGAAACCATGGATTGAACCGAGAAAGAGAGAGAGAGGAGGAAGATAACAAACTTGGAAGGAACAAAGATCATGTCTGCCTTAAGTAAGAAGGTTGCCTCAACAGCAACTCGATCATCTCAGCAATTCTAGCTAGATATTTTTTCTTGTGGCTCTTCACTCAAGTGCCAACTCACTTGGTACGCACTTCATGATGCAAAGTATTATACTGGAGGTTAAGTTGATGGTACTGGGCCAGAGCAGTCTTATCAACATGATTCACATCCTGAGCTAGGAAACTCTGTAGAATATCCGCCCATCCTTTACAATATTCAAGAGATTATTTTGCTATCTAATAACATGTGACTGTAGAGAACTTTGGTAGGATATATAGACAGTGAAGGGTATCCTAAAAGATACCAAAAGGAGAGCATCTGAAAAGATCTTTGAGTATAAAGTCTATTATATCATCCTCGGCCAACCAAATCAGACGGATTTCCGCTTTAACACTCTCTCGCCGTACACACGAAAAATGATCTGTTTTCAAGTCTTGATGATATATCGACGGAACTTCCAGAACCCTTCTCTCACCCTCCCTCAGAAAGTGAACCACCACTTATTTTTATACTGAGTAATTTGTGCAGAATACCTTGAATGGATGTTGTATCCAATCTTCAACTGCTGTTTATCTTCAAGTGACTAGCACTGTGGTATCTTCCCATATAGACCTCAGTGATGAATGATCCTCTACTCGATGGCACCGTCACTCCAATCTTTTAGAAGGCAATCAAGGTAATCACGCTTGCTAATACAGTTACCAATTGTACCAGTCCGATGAGAAATAATGGGCATAGAATCTCTACGGCTATCACTAATGATAACCTATGGACAAACTGTGATAGTGGTCGAAATGCTCAAGGATGACTATGAGAATCTCATCGACTTCTTTAGAAGAATGATCGACAAACAACTGATTGAGATGGATGTGATGTGGGGAATCGTTTCCATTAGCTTCCTCCTCGCTCCCCAAGGGAGCTGGGTAAAGGAGCCATATGCCTGTTGGAGTCTTGACATGGGGTATGATAGTTGTCCTGGAAGTTTGAACTTCCGAATCTACTTTGCGTTTCGCCACATACGCAAGACGATAGCTCGAAACGCCAGATACTGCTGTCAGAGCAAGCATACCTATTGACCTTAAACAAGAAAACGATGTTTTCATTGAGGTTTGCGAGCTGGGCTCCAGCGTATCTCGGTGTACTTCGGCGAATATGGCCTCCTTCGCCAGCCAAAGGCAATACATTGAGATCTGCGGAGGGGAAGCGGGACCGCAGGTATTCGATTGGCGGAATTATGGCGACTCATGTCGTATCCATACGGGCGAGATTTGCTTGAACTGGCTTTGGGTCGTCCGAGCGCTCAAGAAGCCACCGAGTCATTGAACCTTCCTTGCTACCGCGATACCAAACTCTCTATACCCTCTTGAGGTTAGCTTAATCTAACCACTAGAGAAAAGGCAGCGGGCTCCACGTACGCAATACCGCAATTTTCCATCAAAGAATTATCTATTCTTCATCTCAGAAAGTTTGAGGAGAGGATATCCATTCGTGAACATCCATGGGATCTGTGGTTGACTTTCGGCACGGCCCGCGAAGCTCCATCCTGGAAGTGACCTTGGGACCTCAGGTCCTCCTTGGTTCCAAGGTTGTTTTAACCAAGTCCCCAATGGAAAGGTATTTAGCTGAAGCTGAATACGATGCTAGGTTATAGACAAGAGATAGTAAAAATGTGAGTAGACGTCTATACTAGTGGGGAATCTAGGCAGTGAGGGATGAAATTAAACTTTGTATTATAATTTGTCATCTTATTAGACATTTACATGTCTACACAAGCTGAAAGGGGTTTCTCTCTAAGTACTCCTCGAAAGTGGAGAGCTTGCCCCGGGCACTTGCCGCAGCTTCTGCAACCAACGCCTCCGAGCCAGGGCCAAAATATCCATACTCATCCATGAAGCTGAATCCCTCCGCAAAAACATCCTGGAAGTAAGGCAAACCTGCCTTGAACTCCTCGGTAGATATCTGTTTATAGACAATAGTTTTGCCACAACTCTTGGATAGGAGGGCAGTGATCTCCTCCACGGTGTACAGTTTCGTGGCAGCATGGAGTCTCTTTCCCTGGTACTTCTCAGGTTCAGCGAGAATAGCGCCCACAAACTTGCCAGTGTCACCGACAGCATCGACCAAGGGGAACTGGGCCTGGGGAGAGGTGTGACGGGCTAGCACATAGGTGCCATCCGAAGCCTGTGTGGGGGCCAAGAAAGTCTGAGCCTGGAGGTTCTCCATGAATGAGCCGAGCGATACGAAGGCACTTTTGATAGGAAGAGTGCGAATGTATCCCTCGGCAGCAGCTTTGGCATCGAATGGGATGACCGCGCTGTATTTGCCCTTGGAGATATCGCGAATTGCGGGGAGAGTGCTCCAGATAAGATAATTGACACCTTGCTGAACAGCGACATCGGCGATTCGCTTAGCGTTGTTGAGCTCGACTTGGAAGGCGTCCGCGCTAAGGTCGGGGGTGGTCATAGCGAAAACCGTATGCACGCCGGTCAAGGCTGTCGCTAGCGAGGTGGGGTCGCTCACATCACCATCAACAAGCTCGACATTTCCTCTCGCTTTCAGTTGCTGGGCCTTCTCGGAGGAGCCATCGCGGGTTATGGCCCGGATACTGTACTGTTGGGAGAGTTCTGGGTCGTTGAGCACATGGTTTAGGACGGAACTGCCTTGTTGACCGGTGGCGCCGAAAATTGCAAGAATCTTGGACATTGTGGAATTTTGAGGGGGTTTCAAAATTGGAGAAGGTGAGGAACTGGTAGACTGGGTTCGAAATAATTCCAAGACGCGAGTATTTAAGGAAGTGCTTCAATTAATAAAGGAAAGGAAAGGAAAGGAATCTTGGACAAGCAACAGGATGCTTTGCAATCAGCTTAACTGCTAACCTACATGCTAGACACGGGGGTGCGTCACGAAGATTAGAAATTGAGTACCAATTTAATTAAGTAAAGTTGATGTTGTAGCGCTAAAACATATGTGGATGGAGGTCGGTCTAATCCCTTACTATCAAGAGCGAGCCGCGATTTTTAATCCTCGTGTTCGGGCGACGCTACTGGCTCTAGTTGATTGACTCCTCACGTCAGCATTCTATTCAATTCTTACCTCAAATTTGGGGGCCATATATTACAGCCAGTGAAACCATCTAGTAGCCTCGAGGGTGGTGATGTCCGTGTGAAGTTGTGAAAACAGGAAGTCACCTGCCTCGGCAGTTTCTGTCCGCTTCTACCAACATCCCTCGTAGACTTGACTATCTGACCAAGCCATGGATGATTCAAAGCCAGTTGACCAGATATTTACTAAAGCACTACCGAAGATTGAGGTATTTTTGATGTCTTATTCCACTGTTTGGCTTTGCTGACTGGATCACGCTCCAGTTGCACGCTCATCTTAGCGGGAGCATCAGTCGCCAATGCCTGCATGAAATATGGAAACGCAAAAAAGCGCAGAACCCCGCTCTCGATGTAGGGGACCCGCTGGTGCTAATGCCCCCAGGCAAAGTTGACTATACACTGGAAACGTAGGTGTCTAGTCTGTACCAGATAATGCTGCAAAATTATTACTTTCCAAACTAACGTAGTGTCAGGTTCTTCTCAACATTTTCCAAGTTGACGTACCAGCTCTGTAACGATCTAGAAAGCTTGGTATATGCTACAAACACAGTCCTCGAGGACTTTCTTGGAGATGGCGTAGTGCACCTCGAGTTACGGACCATACCAAGAGCATCTCCCGGCATCACTCGAGAACAATACATCAACTCGGTTCTGGATACAATTGAGCAATTCCGCAGCAGAACTAAACGTATGTCTGTATTTTTAATTCTAGCTATCGATCGCGGCAGCATGACAGCAGCAGAGGCGGACGAGATTGTCAATCTTGCAATCGAAAACAAGTCGCGCGGGGTTGTGGGGGTGGATATCTGCGGCAACCCCACCAAAGGCGATGTCAGCATCTACAAAGAACCATTTGCGAAAGCCAAAGCCAATGGGCTAGGAATCACCCTTCACTTTGCCGAGACAGAAGCCTCGGCTTCCGCGAGCGAGCTATCAACCCTTCTTTCTTTCCAGCCCGACCGACTAGGCCATGTCATCCATGTGCCTGACGAGATTAAGGAGATTGCGCGACGCAAGCTGAGTCTCGAGCTGTGCATTTCTTGCAATGTTCATGCAAAAATGATTAATGGAGGGTTCTTGGATCACAATTTCGGTTATTGGCGACATGAGGAATGCCCAATCGCGCTATGTGTGAGTTCATCTAACTGAGATGGAGTTCTTCTTTCCTGTCCCTCTAACTCTGGACTTTTACAGACCGATGATGTGGGATTTTTCTGTAGCCCCGTCTCGAACGAGTACTTGTTGGCTGCACAGCATTTCGGTTTGAGTCGGACTGATCTCTTGGATATGTGTATTAAGTCTGCAGATGCAATTTTTGCTAGTGAGTACTACAGAGGGAGAATTCAAGGTATGCTCGAAGTATTTGCTACTCGATTTGACTCTGCATGAGTGAGGGGTTGGAGCTGTATCGACATTTCGAAGATCGGTGTTTATTACTACACTTTTTTTATCATTACCCAAAGAAGACTTTTATGAATACTCAAAGACCTTCACCTCGTACAAGAATAGTCGGCGTGGCCTTGTGACGTCATTTTTAGGAGTCATTTTTTCTAGATATTTCGCCCTCCTCGGTGTTGTAGGTAGGATATAAGGGAGGAAAAGAAATAGACCGCGCAGAGGAACATTCTATGTATAACCTTTGATAACCTTTGATAACCTTTGATAACCTTTGATATCCTTTGATATCCTTTGATATCCTTTCCCGTGTTGAAATATCCAAAAGAGCTTTATGTTGACACTTTACCCGATTAGGTACCCGATCTCAGCCTCGCGTACTACAACTTCACCTCTAACCTCAATTAGTTGCCCGCCTTTGATTTTTCCCTTGGATTCATACAATTTGGCTACTTTTTCTAAGTTGATACTTCACATATGATTCACTATTAGAGGAATCTGTGTCAGGATCGGTGGAATTTGCAGTTCCCATCTCATCTCCTACCCCTATTTAATCCCCTCCAACCCGCAGCCGCCGTAGCTCAACTCCACACTTCAACTCTCGACCTCGTATCATCACCTTAATTTCTCATTGGACAACCTCAAGTCACCTCATCTTATAAGATCATGAGATTGAACGTCCTCTCACGTCAATTAAACATGGCTATGGCAAATGGAGCTCTTCCACAGACTCTCAAGTCTATCACCGCAACGAAAATCAGTGAACTCTCCAAGCAACGCGTCCTATTTGACCGACGTAAAACGGAAATTCTTGCAGTTGCGAACGCTGCCCCAGATCGGCGCACCCATGCTCAGGCTTTGCTAGATGGAATCTCACGCCTGAAAGGATACAAAGAGGATTCGCTCGACAAAGATGACCTGGATCTAGATGCCGATTCCTCGGATAAGGAGTCAGATGACATTCTCACTTCACGAGGAGTCGGTCGTTTACAGCCCGAAGATCATAAGAATATTCGTCGCTTTCTTCTGCAAAGTCGCCACGACCCTTCTATCTCCCAAGCAGCTCTACAGGGTCGTATCGATCAACTTGAAAAGGAACTGCGGTATCTTGAGATCAAGCATGAGCACAGTGCTTTCTATAGCAATTTGGTTACAGAGTGGTTGTCCGAGTTAGATGGAAGCATTAATTCCACTGCGAGCGAAACCAAATCCACCGACTCCAACCCGGATTTCGAAACCGTTGGGCGGGCAGAAATGCACGAGCAACGCGCGACTTGGGAGTCCTTGGTTTTCACTGCCGCCACTCATGTCGACGAGGACGCAATCCGGACCTACCTCAACGATCTCTTCACACATAGCAAGCTTTCTCAACAGGCACTCAAGGATCTACGAACAAGTATCGAATCGTTTGGAAAGGACTTGGCCTCAAAGGGTGAGTGGCTCGATGTGGACGAACTCAAATGGGTCTCTGGTGCACTACTCAAGAGTGATATCCTCAGCGATGAAAAGACAGCCATTCTGAAAGAGTTTATGCGTAATAATGAGGTTGCCCAAGAGGTGGCAGATGTGCTCAACATGCGCATTGCCTCGCTTGAGAGCTGGACATGGACTGGAGATGCAGAGGGTATTCCTGTTGAAATGCGCCGTCAGCTCAACGGTAAATACCGGGTTTTCATGGACGAAGACCTTCTAGATGCCCTTCTGCTACAGTACATCGGCACAATGTGGGCTGTGAAGCTGCGAAAGGTATTTGAGACATTCCTAGGTTCCAACGCCTGGAAGACCCTACGAGAAGACATCCCCGAAAATCACAAGGAAATGCGAAAGCACTTCCTCGGTCGAGGAGCCAACAATGACTCTGGTAGGATAAACGAGCTTCGAAGGGAGACATACGCCGACGAATATTTCATGAGTCAACTGCCCACTTCAACCGCTGAAGGCGCGCGGGAATACGATGACGCAGAGTCCGGAGAAAAAACCGTCCTGGATACAAAGCACTCCCTTTTACACCTCCTGATCACAGAATCTATCATCCATAAGCATCAGCGCGGGGACTTCACTGCAGTGCGATCTGATTTTGAGTGGTTTGGCCCTTCAATGCCCCATGCCACCATGCTCACTGTGTTGAAGTTTTTCGGGGTCTCCGATCTGTGGATCAAATTTTTTGTAGTGTTCCTGGAGGCTCCGCTCAAGTTTTCCCAAGATGGAACTGATGCCTCTGTTCAAATCCGCAAGCGTGGCCTTCCAATGAGCCATACACTCGGTGACTGCTTCGGAGAATCTGTTCTCTTCTGTATGGACTATGCAGTCAATCAAGCCACCGAAGGCGCCTTTCTGTACCGCCTTCATGATGACTTCTGGTTCTGGGGCGCAGAGAATACTTGCGTCAAGGCATGGCAGGCAATGGAGCAGTTTACTAAGGTAATGGGTTTGAAGCTCAACCAGAAAAAGACTGGCACTGTGCAGATGGGCCTGAATAAGGCCCCGAAACAGTCAGCTCTCCCCACAGGTGATATCCGCTGGGGCTTCCTGGTGCTGGATGCGGAGCAAGAAAGATTCATAATCGACCAGGCCAAGGTCGACGAACACATCGAAGAGCTTTCACGACAACTTTCATCCTGTAAAAGTGTGTTCGCTTGGGTACAGGCATGGAACAGCTATTTCGGCCGCTTCTTTACCAACAACTTTGCAAACCCAGCCATTTGTTTCGGTCGGGACCATATCGACATGGCCATTTCCACCCTCAGCCGCATCGAACGCACACTCTTCAACAAAGCCCTAGATGATAAGAATCCATCAGATCAAATCAGTGGTGTCACCGATCATTTACGCACTGTAATCGCAGATCGCTTCGATATCCATGATCTCCCGGATGGGTTCTTCTATTATCCCATTGAACTTGGTGGCCTGGGACTTCTCAATCCCTTCATTAGACTGCTCGCCATGCGGGAGAACATCAAACAGACCCCCCGGAAGCTACTGCACAAGGCTTCGCTGAGGGATGAGAAAGAATACGAGACAGCGAAAGAAAGGTTCGCGAAGAACGGCGCTGATATTGGCAGCCAATTTGGGAGCAAACTGAGCGGCAAACCCAAGCCATTCATGTCCCTGGAAGAGTACACACGCTATCCGGAAACATTCAGCTCCTCTCTTGTGGATGTGTATACAACACTTACTGAGGTGCCGAGCGAGATTAGTGTGGCTCGGACTTCGAGCTTTGAAAGCGAGCAAAACTCACTTGATAAAAAGTCTTCTGCAGGCTCTATCTCTCCTTACTGGGGGCAAATGACACCCTACTGGCGATGGGTGGCGGAGTTATACCACGAAGATATGGTACGTACTTACGGTAGCTTGGCTGCTGTGAATCGCGAGTCTATGCCCCTAGGTGTCGTGAAGACACTACGGGAGGGTAAATTTAGATGGCAAGGCTGATTGGGGATCGTGTATTGGAATCGCTTGATAGCCTTTTGGCTTCGTGGCTTATGACTGTCACATTTCATAGTCTCTCTGTATCTTAGCTTGTACAACTCACCACTCAATATATCTCACATTCCACCATGCACTTCGACGTAGTTCTCTCTTGACAATGACTTTTGGATGAAGCACGACAAACATGTCTCCGACATGGAGAGAACAAATAAAACCAATTTACTTACTATTCTAAATGATAACATACACTAGTAGTTACGTTACGCGGCTAGCTTGTGTTATATTAAGGTGGATATTAAGCTCTCTACCCTACATGTAGGTACGTTAGTTGCTATAGACTAGCGGGAAGAGGACAGGAGCTTCTGTTTGTGTTAGACATGAACCAACGGGAAAAGACTCTATATATAGGCAATCTAACAAACTACTTGTTTCGGTCTATTTGGCACATTTTGGACTATTTCGAGCTCTGTGGGGCGGAAATGGTCCGTTGAAGTCGTACAAAACGTGATCCATTACGTTGGGCCTGTACCTAGACCAACAGTCTACTAATGATCGATGAGTTTGTATAACTCTCTGATATCTCCCATTAACCGCATGAACTTACTACATAAAGCTACCTAGGCCCAGCTCTGCGCCTTCATTTCCCCTGCCTTTCTACCCTCCACTCCTGGCGCCGACGTATTCCCTTCAACACCCGCAGTCTTCCACAATCACTATGATGCAGCAGGATGTCTATATTCGGGAAAGTACCTTTTTTATGAATGTATGCTCTTGGTTATAAGGTTTCCCATGGTCGGCGCGGTTCCTGCTTTCGAGATGTACTTGACTCATTTCGATGCTCAAAATGCTCTTTCCATCATCGGCGCAACACCTTTTGGCCTGGCAACCATGGATGTAGCCCTGATTGACCTATATTAGGGAAAGTACTCTTGAATTATGAGCTCCTTCTACGGAACTCGACGCCGCCTCTAAGGAAGGCTTAGTAGCTTTCGAATAACGGTCTATATATATGGCCCTTGAATCCATTCGTCCTGTCCTTTTTTCTTACTTCTTCATCTATCTCCTTTGACTATTACATCATCCTGCCATCAGGTATACATCTAATCCACTTCAAGTATACCTCAACTGGTCTTCACTATAGAGTATATCGAATACTCAACCGACTTCAGGAGATTGATACACCACCAACCCCGCCTCCAATCCCATCGAGGCCTTTTCACACAAACTACCAAAGGCTATATACAACACAGCACGATGACATCCGTGCAAGCCTACTACGAACAGGCCGACGACGTCCCCAACTGGCTCGATGCCATTTCTGGGGACAACGGAAGCATCGACCCAAGGTAAGTATCCATCTATATCTATATATCCTCTAATATATATTGACATGATCCAAAGGACACTCGAAGTCCATCAAGTGGTCACTACCCACCACAACACCCACCACCCGGACCACCCATCTCGGTCCGAACAACACCAATCTCCCCCGTCATCGCGCCGCTCCTCCACCGACCTACAGTCTGTAGGTCCACTAAAGCTAGAGCACCAGCCACCAGTCGCGAGACTCCTCGGCAAGTCATCTCTTCGTCGGCTGTACGACCGAATCAGCCAACACGACCCAAGGCGGACATTCACCGAGTTCCGCATCGAAGAAGACTTAATCTCGCTAGCCACCACAGCGACTGACTCGGAGTACGAAAACTGTTTCCTCCCATTCTGTGGAGCCTTAGCACCACAGTCTGGAGAATCCTCTGTAACCACATCTACTTCCCCATCACCGTCGCCCTCTCCGCCTACCAGCCACGAGCCCCAGTGGTTGCCACTTGTGGTTGCACAAGTTGTATCGAGCAAGGCTCGCAAAGCATGTCGGGTCTTGAAGAAGAAGTTCTCTTGGTGATTTCGAGAGAAGGGAATTGGTACATGATCCAGGTTGGATCATGTACCCTGTGATTATTATTATCTGTTGTCGCTGGCGCCAAATCACATCATGCCAGCGAGGGAACACGGAGAGCGAACACGGGGTACTCTTTCCAGCTGGGGGATTTATCCCAAAGGGTTTTAACCCAGTTGGTTTTAACGAGGCCCCAACCTAGATACATACCACTTGTTTCATGGGAATTTAGATATTTCTCCCATGTTGATACCCTGTACACTATAGTTCATTTTTGAAATAACTACATTCTCAAGTTTGTCAATCTCAACAATGAAAATGGATAGAAATAATCATAGAGTTGTAGATGAAGTCTGAAGTTCCGATGATGGAAATGTATAGATCGAAGGCGGTCGGCCCACCTGCCCCGTGTTATCTCGGCAGAGTTGCCTCTCCACCATAAAGCCACCGTGAACAACTGCGGCCACAGGGCACCATCAACAACACCCCATTTACCTCGAACCAATTCTTCCACAGCAGCCAACATGGATCCCTTTTCTGCAGAGGGCGGTAAGCCTTCCAGCCCTTTCTACAGCTCCAATTAGAGCTAATCCAGTTTCTCCGCAGAGCTCCTCAACATCCACAGCGCCTTCCACTCCGGTCAATACCAGAATGTGATCGACTTCGAGACCGCCGCACTCTCCCCTGAGAACCAACTCCCCGCACAAGTCCTCAGACTCCGCGCCCAGATTGCCCTCGGCCAATTCAAAGAGAGCCTCGCCGAGCCCTCCATCGAAGAAGACAGCCCCGACCTGTCGGCCGTCAGGGCCTTGGCCCTGCAGTCCTCCGGCAACACAGATGCTGCCCTGCAGCTCGCACAAGAGCTCGCAGAGAACTACCCTGAAAACAACACCGTGCAGGTTCTTGCTGCTACCGTGCTCCAGGCCCAGGACCACAGCGAGGATGCGCTGGCGCTGCTATCCAAGCACCAGGGTAACCTCGAGGCGTGAGTTACCCCGTCGGAAGTAGAGTGCGATATAGGGGAGGATATTGATCTGACCATTTGTCTATTTTAGCGTCTCCCTCATAGTCCAGATCCACCTCCAACAAAACCGGACCGATCTCGCCCTTAAGGAAGTTCAGGCTGCCAAGCGCTGGGGTCAGGATTCGCTGCTGGTCAACGTTGCCGAGTCGTGGGTTGGTTTGAGAGTTGTATGTTGATGGGAAACCTATAATCCCCGGGTCAATGGTGCACGAGTGCTGACTTGTGTGTTTCTGCTGTACAGGGCGGCGAGAGTTACCAGTCTGCTTTCTACGTCTACGAGGAGCTCGCCTCCGCACCTGGTACATCCGCACCGCTATCTATCGTCGGCCAGGCCGTCGCTGAGATCCACCTGGGTCGTCTCCCCGAGGCTGAGGCCGCCCTCAGCACCGCCCTTGAGAAATACCCTACCGACGTGGAGTTGATTGCCAACAGCATTGTTCTGAATGTGTTGGCTGGCAAGCAGACCGAGGACCTGGAGTCGTATGTTATTCTGTCACGGCTGCGTTCAACTGAGAAAAGGAAGTCGATGCTAACTTTCATCTCTTATCTAGCCGGTTACAGCAGGTCCAGCCCGCGCACCCCCTGCTCACTGATATCCAGGAGAAGAGCGAGTTCTTCGATGCTGCGGCGGCTAAGTTCTCTGCCAAGGTCTCATCGTAGAATAATCTAAATGCTGTTCCATATATTTGTTGTTTTGTTTAATCCGAGTCAGGGGGGCCTATCCTGCTTGTTTATGAAAAGACACGACCTATCTCAATCCTGCAACTGGCACCATATTTGAATCTCTTATTTGTAATTTGGTGTGAGACAATAGGAACATCAAGCCTGTTTCTATCCAACCAATTCTTCTGCTCCAGCACCATATGGCAGCAAATAAATCACAGCCGAGCAGCCAACCACTGTCTCAACCCCGAACGTGTCTGAGTCTCCTCCTTAGTCATAGTATAAAACGGCGCATCATGCACCTCATCATCCCCAACGACAAAAGTAATCTCCTCAAAAACCGACTTGATCTTCTTCACAAACTCCTCAATAGGCGAAAGCAAGATCTCATTCCCACCAGCAAGAACCAAAATCCTCTCCGTCTTAGCACCACTCCACCACTCAGCCGGCGCATTAAACGGCTCATTCCAATTATCCGCCGGGCTATCCCCCCGGTACGAATTAGACCACCTCGTCAAAACCGCCGGCGTAAGAAGATCCTTCCACAAATTATCCTTCATCGACGGCCACTCCGTACTAAAGTTTACCCATGGCGCGTAAGTAAAGACGCCCGCCAACGGTGCTGACAATACCAGCGGGTCAATCTCCGCGTGCGGGTGAGACAGGTGCAGCAGCGTCGCTGCGGCTAGGTTCCCGCCCGCTGAGTCGCCGCCGATAATTACGTTGGCTGGTGAGCGGCCCGTCTCGTTGAGGATGTAGCGTAGGGCTTCGACGGCTTGCCGGAGCTGGGTTGGGTATCTCGCGTGAGGGGTTAGTGTATATCGGGGGAAGAAAACGGCTAGGTCGTGGCCAGTTTCATTCAAGGCTTGTAGTATCTCGAGCCAGAAGTCGAAGTAGGCTGGGATTGCGGGCATGGCGAAGCCGCCGCCTGTTTTTGTTGGTTAGTGTTTTGCTTGTATTTTTGGATATATGCAATATGTGATTAGGGTTTTTGTTCTGTGGGTGGGGAATTTCTCCGTGTGTTACACGATCGACATCGGGCACGCACCGTGGTAGTATACAATCACGTTCTTGGCGTTCTTGTTTCCGATCCAGTAACCCTCTGTGTTGTGTGGGAGTGCGACTGTCTCGGGTTGGAGACCGTGCTTCTTCATTGCGGCTTCGTAGGTCACTGAAGTTGGGAGAAGGAGATACCTGTGCGACAATACAAGGTCAATGTATTGTCCGTTCTCAGTGTTGCTGCGTTGAGAGTTATGTGTAGAAGATTTGGAGAGAGACAACGACATACTGTGTCTGTCGATCCGACCTACGATCAACCATTTTCCGAATGACGGCGGCCAGGATGTGGTGATCATAGCGCTTGGGGCTGTCTTTACCCCGAAAAACACCAGTAATGGCAGCATACACCATGCTGGCGTACAGTGACAGATGCAGGAATGGGATATCTGCTTTTTCCCAGAAGCCGAGCTGGGGGACATCTTGGTTGGACGACATTGTGATTTGAGCGATTCAAGCTCTTGTGGGGGGAGGAGAAAAAGAGCTGAGTCTCAGCTTTATAGTCTCTTTCGGTCTCCCCCGCTCTTTGGGTTCCTCGGTTGTGGGGCATCTGCAGGAACTGGAGCCGCCGGGCTCTGATTGGCTTTGCTCCGATCCACATCATGTTGTCTTCAAGGTAGCTGTTTAGGGCCAGGTTCAGCGTATGTCATTTCCTTTTGTCTGGAATCTGGCGTTTGGGGTTTAACTTACCTGTGTATATTAAAAAGAAACCACTGGGGTCTCATAAGGACTTAGCAAACCACACGCACAGGCCTCGGGAACTAGATCAAGAGAGCAGAGGCAAGATGAGATAGATGCTGAAAATATGTCAAGGACACTCTTCAAGCTCAACAGCTTCGATTTATGCACCCGCGGCATCGATCTAGTATATTTGAGAGTCAAAGCCGAAACGATAAGACCTAGAAAGGGCACCTACCTACTAGCCTTGTATTCTCTTTGGTCCGAACTCCTTGTCTTCTACACGCCATAGTATATACTCACCAAAACGTAGAGAGCGATGTTCAGTCAACCTAAATCAATTACTATACCGACCTCTAGACACTCTCCGTATTCCTTTATAAGGTCTGGTGGTTAACTGTCCCGGAGGTGTGGAGATAAGTAGATGATAATATCTATCTTACTCATGCTAATGTGATCACTGCTTAAGTATTACCACATGTCTGGTGTTTCATCTACCTTGGTGATCCGATGGATCAAACCCTTATTGCGGTTGAGTCAGGCTATAAATCAGGCTATACAAGCGCCATGAAGAGAATCGTACACCCAGCACCTATATAGGTACCACATATTCTATTAAATCTCGTATAGGTAAAGGGTACCTTGGAATGAATATCGGCCATGAATGTAATGATGGATAGAGTTTTCGAATCAAAACGGAAGACGATAATACCAACACCCATTTCCCTCACTTGTGCCATACCTTATCACTGCATATACATACTGTGGGAAAGAAAAGCAAGAAATCTGGTGAAAGGGAGTCCGACTTGAGTTAACAAGTAATCCCATAACTCATTAGTGCAAACATTTACACAATATATCTGAGATCTCGGGTTGTGGTAACTACAGCCTGAAAACTTCCCAGTTTGTCTTTTGTCATTGCATTGTTTTCGTAATTTTGTTATCTTGTTATTTCACACCGGAATACCATCCCTATGTCCCGTATGCTTCACAGGTTTGCGCCGATCCCAGAACGGCGTGTTTCATCTTGACGCCATAGATTAGAATATGACAACTTGGTTACCATTGACCTATTTTTCCTCACCAGTCGGGGTCAATTCACAGAATGCCTTGTAGGTTGTAAAGACATCATCATCACCCTCACCGCTGCCAGTGTTCTGAATCACACATTCAGCAGTAGCGCCGACGAAGAAAACGTAGCCCTCCTGGACCTCCTCGGTCTTATTGCCAACAGTAATCCTACCCTTGCCACGTGTGCAAATGAAGATACTGGGGCCTTCGATAGGGTCGAAGGTAGCCTTGGCGCCAGTGCGGTTCAAGTCGGTCTTGATAACGCTGAACTCGTCGATAGGAGGGTCGTAGAGCATCACGGACGAGGCACTAGAGTAAGCAGTGGCGTTCAGAATAACATAGGGGTAGTCTGTTGCTTGGATCTTCTGCTCCTCGATTGGTGCGTAGGAGTAGGTCAGCATCTGGGTGAGGGTGTCGACGTCCTTGAATTTAGGGGTGAAACCCGCTCGCACCACGTTGTCAGAGGACGCCATGCACTCGATGATATCACCGGAGATATACGCGTGGATATCATCTGCCTTCAAGAACATACCCTCGCCGGGCTGCAGCTTGACAAAGTTGAGGAAAAAGAAGATGAACAGGCCAATGTCGTTCGGGAACTGTCCGTCCAGACGCTTGGCAAGTGCAGCCAGCTCGGCGGGGTTGGGAGGGTTCGTTTCCACCTCACCTGCCAGGGTTGCAAAAGTATCGGGGCTGTTATCCGCAGCCGAGATAAGGGCCTTGCAGGCTGTCTCTACCTTCTCGGATGAAGACTCCATCAGGGTGGTGAAGAGGGAGCGAAGCGCTTCCTTGTTCTTTTGGATGATAACGGAGTCTTCGGAGTTCTCGTTGCCCTTGACGAGTTGCTCGAACTCACTCGCCGCCTGGTCGCCAACTAGGGTGCGCAGAGGCTCCACGGCCTGGAGGAAATGCGTGATCTCGGCGAGCGGACGGAATCCACACACACCCTCGAACGGAGTGATAGCGATGGTCATCTCAGGCTTGTGATTGTCGTCTAAAAACTAGTTAGCCATGTTTATAGGGGCTCATTTGTGGGGTTTAATCCCAGGTACTACTTACCGGGATAGTTCTTTGGGTCCCGAGCATGGAGCTGCTCCGCGAGCTTCTTGTTGGGATGGGCCTGGATGCTAAGTGCTTTACGGATGGAAAGCACCTTGAACAGGAACGGGAGTTTGCCTCCAAATCGTTCACTGATATCTGTCGAGAGCAGAGCCTGGTTATCCTGAACCATGTCGAGAAGGGTACGCTGAGTCTCGACATCTTTAGAGGGAAGAGACGGATGTGTGCCCATCCAGAGCTATGAATTGTGAGCCCATCACGTTCAATATTACTCTTGAGCTCTCACTTACTTCGGCATAGGGCTTGTCGGCCTCAATCGAAAAATCCGGGGCGGCTGTTGTGGCCGCATACTTGGCGGCTGCCGACTCTTGGCCGACCTTGCCTATGACAGGTTAATCAGTGCGGGGAACACAATATCGCAATTGATACTAGCTTACCCCAGTCGTAGCTGTTGACGCCTAAGGGGGAAAATATCAGTTATGTTTCTCCTATTGAGCATCTCAAGACTTACCGCATTGCAGCCGAAGTAGTGGAACCTGCATCTTGAAATGGATGTTTGGGGAAAAAGCGGAGGGGCAACCAGTGACTTTGTATTAGAAATACCCCGCCAAGCCTTCGGTAAGAAATGTTGGTCAGGATCGATGATTTTGAGGGTCTCTATGACACACGTTCAGAGCTTTAAAGGGAAGATTGGCCTGGTATTTCACTAAGAGCCATTCCCGACTTTTTGTTTCTGGGATTTACGGTGTCCCAATCAGGCACGGCTTCCGCACGAGGTTTCCGCAACCATCTTACTACTTATGGCCTAAATTTAGAGCCGCATCGAGACAGCATGGTTTAAATAGCTCCAATAAAGTTTAATTATTCGAAGATTTAATCAAAATGACCTCTATAAAGAAGGCAAGCAGTACATTATACAACTGTCAACGTCGATGAATCTACAATGCTATGTCCCAAAGTAGTTTAGCGTATCAACTCCGACCGCCCGGAGGTCGGAGCCCTTATCACCGCATCTCCAACCCTTCAGATCAACAACTTGTTGCTTCAAAGAGATCTCAATACCTAGAGGTTCTGGTCAGCAGTAAGCTGTTCATTCTCTTTCCACATTCCTTACATTACCTTGTTGGTAAACAGCAAGGATGTCTCGAAACCGCCCCCGACCCAGAGACAACGGCTTTGGCAATAATGAGGAATTGGAGCTCTGGACCAAGATTTGCCAGGATATTCGAAAATCCAAGGAGAAGTTCGATCAGCAGAATTTATTATCCGTGCAGATTAAAACATTGGTAGACAAGATCGCGCATGATGGCAACCGTTAGTACCCCCCCGCACTAGATCCGTCGGCTCTATACCTGGCACCACAAAGCTGCAATATGCGCTTCGCTTGCAATTAATCCGAACAGCTTCAAACAACTTCAAGCTTATTATCAATTGCAAATACTAACATTACGCTCCCAAATAGAACCAACCATGGCCGAACACGACCAACTCGACAGCTGGCTCCGCCTAAGCCAGAAGCTCAGCGAAGACGAGCGCTCGATCATGCAGGACGAGCCATGCGATGTAATCAAAAATCTAGAACTACTCACTGCTTTGCGGAAGGCATCCGAAGCTGAAGCGCCTCCAAACCGGTCCGCATCGTTCAACAAGTCTCGCAAGAAAAGAAATGAAGTCGAAGGTTCGGTGACCGACTCCCCCAGTGCCTCGGGGGCTGACAAGACCGCACGCTCAAAGGGGACCGTCCCACGCAGCGCAAGCGTCTCATCGAGTACGCAAGCCCGCGAAGGGGGCCGCCAGGATAACATCATGGTCAAGATCGAGGAAGGGCCGTCAGAGGGGACCAAGGGCACCGTCGCAGAACGGAGTGGCTTGCTAGTGGTTGGGGCTCAGGTTGTCTTCAAACACAACAAGAATAAACAAGGTGTCGAGGGTGAGGGCATCCAATGCATAATCAAGGCTGTTAATGGCGACGGGCCGAAGAAGCGGTAAGTGATGTTAGGTCGTTTGCGTTTCGTCTCAATTTACAGTGACTGACGCGCGTCATGTCTGATCCCAGATATGATGTGCAGGACCCCGAGCCGAACGAGAACGGTGAGCAGGGGGCGGTTTACAAGACTACAGCTGCCTCTCTCATCCCCATTCCTCAGCTCAGCGCCCACCTGTCTACGTACCCGGCTGGAAAGCAGGTCCTCGCGCGATACCCGGACACCACCACCTTCTATCGTGCAGAGGTTATGGGCGCAAGGAAGGACGTCTATCGCCTCAAGTTTGAGGGCGAAGAGGATGATAAAGAAATGGAGGTCGACCGGCGCTTCGTGCTGGATATTCTGGGCAAGTAATCTTAGGCCGTTTCTATGATCTGATGTGATGATGATACCATTTAAGCGCGGCGCTATCTGGAGTTCGAAGGCCTACCATGGATATGGGGTGCTTTCATCTTGACTGGATACTTTAGTTAAAAAGAACAATCTCTCTTTTTTTTAAACTGTGATAAATTCTGTTCTTGGCTTAGTGGCCGGGGGATCTACACGGAGAAAGCTGGGGTTGAACGCAGCAGGACGATATCTACGATATAAGAAGTTTTCGTGTATCACCTCGCGAACTCCAATATCCCATAAGACAATGCGCTAGCCTGCCCTCTTGACGAGGGTGGGATGATCGATGGGAGTGATATTAGAGATGCAGGAACTAGCTATGATGTGTACAAGTAGACGGCAAACACCTCATTCCCATCATGCTACAAAAGCTCGAGTTTGACATTATCACCCCGGACAGCGATGCAATCTAGCATCTAAACCGAGATGATGCCGATGGCCCCCTCATTAAGACGCCGAGTCTGGCGAAGATTTATGGCACGTCCTACATTTTGTTCTCGACAAAGTTGTATGACACAGATGTGTGTGGTCTGCGACATAGTTTTTATACCTTTGGAAATGGTCAGAGTATTGATTATGGATAAGCTTATGTTGGTGATATCCATCCCAGTTAGATACTGGTGGCGTGATAAAATACCGCGATTGTTTATCTTTTCCTCCCCCGATGTCGGCTTCAAGATATTATATTGGAGGCAAAGTGAGGACGATATTCAATGGGTTCACTCTTGGCTAACAAAAAGCGATGGATTTGATAAACTAGTGTAATTCTAGATCAAGCAAGGCTTGAAAGACTTATAAAGTCTTGACTAAACAGTTATCCTACTCCATAGGTGGACCCTCTGGACAAGGCCCAAAAGAATGTGCTAGAGTAAGCGGTGACATAGAGATGACTCAGCCTCCTTCTCCGGGTTCATGCCGAGGGAGGATAGCCGGGGCATAGTCTACTTCGCAATGAAAACTTTCCATTCAACAGACCTCGTTTTATATTTCCGTCAGATTGATGCCACTGCGTGATTCAATCCCTACCCCTGCATACTAGAGCTTCTGCAGCGAGCCTCACGCGTCACACATTCCGACTACCCCGCCTCTCCGCCGTCGCAATGACCGACCTACCAGCCCACGCCTCACCAAAACTTGCCCCGCGTACGCTCCTGAGCAGATTTGATGGACAATCAGATGATTTCAGTCAAGGGGACATCGCAGCAGGCGAACAAACCCCGGCCCTACCGGACTCCTTGCTGTCGCCCGCATTCACCCCACCTGCAACCCCCGGCGGTACATTGAAATTGGATCTAAGTCCCACAGCAGTCCTTCACCAAACCCAGGCAGCAGATATCCACCATAAGACCCAGGGCGCTAAAGGCCCCAAATTACTCGAGCAGCTTCCAGCAGTGGAATGTATTGTGCGGGCGCGAATTCCGACAACCAATGGAGCGGAAATGTTCTTGCACCTTTACCACAATGATTTAGATGGAAAGGAGCATTTGGCCATTGTATTTGGAAACAATATTCGCAGCCGGAGTTTGGACAGCGTCCGGCCAGGGGAGTCCGAGATGGACCGAATGATCCGCGGCGCGTACGTGGGGAAATTGCACCCGGGTCGAGTCAGCAGCCGGTATGATGACGATCTGGCCGGGTCAGCCTCGACGCCGAAGCAGGTTGAGCCGCCGCTGGTGCGGATTCACTCGGAGTGTTATACAGGAGAAACGGCGTGGTCGGCGCGGTGCGATTGCGGCGAGCAGCTGGATGAGGCGGCGCGCTTGATGTCTTTCCCCGTTGAGGACCTTGCCTCTGATGCACCGCCAGAGGTCCAATCCCTCTCGTCACAATCGACAGGCGGTGTTATTGTTTATCTGCGTCAGGAGGGTCGCGGAATCGGTCTTGGTGAGAAGTTGAAGGCATACAATCTCCAGGATCTCGGGTCGGATACCGTTGAGGCAAACCTTTTGCTCCGCCATCCGGCTGACGCCCGAAGCTATGGACTGGCTACGGCCATATTGGAAGACCTCGGTTGTGGCGTGGATGCCATCCCAGAAGGAATTCGTCTACTTACCAACAACCCTGATAAAGTCCGCGCTATTGAGGGCCCCAACCAGGAGGTTCTTGTCAAGGAGCGGGTGCCGATGATCCCATTGGCTTGGCGGACTGGCGGTCAGAAGGGAATTAAGAGCTCTGAAATTGAAGGCTATCTTCAGACTAAGGTACGTTTGCAACCCATTGCCCAATTTTGGGTTGGTACTAATACGCCGGTTTTGATAGATCTCGAAAATGGGCCATATGATCCAATAATTCATGAGCTTGTCGTTTTAAACTTTTGCCCTCATCACCATTCCCCCTTTCGTCTGACTTATGCTTTCTTTCTTGCATTGGAACTTACAAAAGCCTTTGTACATGATCGACACGACCGAATCCTTTTCTCTTTGTGCATAATCTTGACCCCTTGGGCTTGTTCCAAGGTTGTATATGGCGTTCATACTTTGTATATTCTTTTTTTTTGTTGTTGCTTTGCTACCCGATGCTCGATGTTCATCGTCAGCTTCTCCTGAAAATAGGAGTTTTTGTCCCTAGATATTTAGTATTTGGAACAAAGATAAATCCGCGGTGATCCATCCATTAAACTGAGAACAATATGTAGAAAGAAAAGAGATTTAAAAAGACTGACTAAAAGAGGCCCTAAGGCCGCAAAGCCAACTATTGTTGTCTGTTTATTCCCAAGAGTCCACTGAATCTGATAATTCCAAGTCCCGCATGAAAGTTTAAACGTTATGGACTTCAGACCGTCATGACCCACATAGCCCTCACTCATCTTGCTCCAGACGTTCCCCAACTTTTCTTCCTCATTTCCCCGACTTGAATGGCCAATTCTAATTAGCGCCTGTGCAAGGCAATGGCCACCCGCACTACAAACGCCAATGAGCATGTGGCGCCTCCTCCCGGCTTGCCTGAATGTTCGCAACCTACCCCCCTCGGCAGACCCGAAGACTCGCCAACTCCTTCTTGTGCGGCCTCGATAGACGCGGAGGGACTATTGGACAATGGCACGAAATCAGGACGCAAGCGCAAGCTAAATAGCATGTCATCAAGGGGTGTCGCCAATCTGACTCCCGATCAGTTGGCCAAAAAGCGGGCCAACGACCGCCAAGCGCAGCGCGCAATTCGAGAAAGGACCAAGGGCCACATAGAAGCTCTGGAGCAACAGGTCCGGGACCTATCGTCACAAAAACCCTACCTCGATCTTCAAGAAGCTCTACGCCAGAATGAGACGGTGCGGTCGGAGAACGCAGAGCTTCGCCAAGGGCTCAAGGCAGCAATGGACATTCTCCAACCATTGATAGCTAAGCCAGAACTATCAGGTCAGTCGATCATCCCAATAAAATACAATTCTCAAGCTGATAGAGATAGATGCATCTCCTTCTCTAGCTATACCCACACCCATCCCGCCCCCTTCGCAAACATCGCCATTACCCGACACCGATCACCTCACCCCGATTCCAGGCGATAAATTCTATGCCGAGTCTCTTGCCAGTCTCGACACCCCTTCTCCGACTCATTCTGCACCCACTTTCGGGAGTCGCCGCAACAGTACTAATGGATGCCCTCCGTCGACCTCTCTCCGTGTCGCATGGGACTCGCAACGCCATAATATCACACACGGCCTGGACCTTGGCTCCGAGGAGCGTCTAGGGTTTAATTTCCTTCTTGGCAGCTCGCATAGTGTTCCTAAGCTTGACCTGCTTCACGCCAACAGCCCAGAAAACATCCCATGCGCTCACCTGAATCCTTCGGCGCCAATATACCCACATCCCTTGACTACTACCTCTGAACCTGGGCCACCTGCATTCGCTGCTCCGATACAAAACTTACCAGCGACGTGTCCTTTAGATAACATTCTTTTGGATTTTCTCCATAGCCGACAACGCGAGGCGGCTCAAGGCATCCCTAGACAAAAATTAGCCGGGCCACCGTACCCGAGTGTCTCCTCGTTGCTCAACCCAGAGAGGAGTGTTTACTCCCATCCAGTCTCAAAGGTATTCACAGATATCCTGCGCACCTTTCCGGACCTCTCGACTCTGCCGGTGCAGGTTGCCGTGCTCTACACCATGTTTCTCCTCATGCGCTGGCAGATTTACCCCACTCAAGAGAACTATGAGCGACTCCCAGAGTGGTTAACCCCGCGTCCAACACAAATTCTCCATCCACACCCTGCTTGGATGGATTACGTTCCCTGGCCGGCAATGCGTGATAGGATCATTACAAATTATCAGAACTACCCGTTTGAGAACTGGTTCATTCCATTTACAACTGGGATGAGGGTCAATTGGCCGTATGAAGATACGGACTGTTTGCTGTCAGCCGGCGACTCGGACGAGCTAGTAATCAACCCGGTCTTCGAACGGCATATGAGAAATTTGTCCAATTGGTCATTGGGGACCTCCTTTGCGGAGACTTATCCCTGTTTGGCAGACACCGCTCGAATCAAGTCGACAACACAGCACAACACCCCAGGCGGGCCAGATCCACCATGAGAGGCTATAAACCCACTGAAGCGGCTTCATTCCAACCATTGTCCCACCTCTACCAAGTTGATCTTGGTTAATGTTTTCTTTTTTTTTCTTTTCAATTCCGCGACCGATTTTGGCGAAGAGGAAATCCTGGTTTTTAGCAAGTCAAGTTGTCTAACTTTTTTAATTGGGTGTATGATTTTTCCTGGGAGTCCCAATACAAGGGTAGAAGCATGGCATGACACTTGGTTATATATGTGTAGCCAATATATGATGTTTGGAGGTATCATTTCGGTCTGGACATTGGAACAAATATGAATCTTCATATCAATAATGACTCTGTATCTTACGAGATCCATGATTTTGACTTTATTCTTTTCTGCTCTTCTCATTCCAAAACTCCAGACCAGCCTTCTGGCGCAGAGTCCCGTACATGGCACTGCTGTCCAGACACTCTCCGCCATATTCTCTCGCGGCCTCCATGTTAGCCCGAGCAATCTCAAGGCCAGGAAGCTCAACACCCTGCTCCTGAGCCATCGACATAGCATGTCTAGCATCCTTAATAGCAAGAGAAACCCCAAAGCCAGGACGGGAGTCCAGGGGTGGCGCATAAGCCCCCGTAGTCAATCTGGACACAAAGATAAGTATGAAGAGCCACGATGCCAGGCCCGAAACAACATTGTAGCATACCTCTTAGAATACCCTCCAGCAACAGGACCAAAAGCCTCACTGATGAGCTCCTCCATAGGACCAGTTCCAAGCCCGGTCTTCTCAGCAAAGACCTGAGCCTCACCAACAGCCTCCATCATATTAACAGTAACAATGTTACCCGCAATTTTTAGAAGCGAGGACTTTGTAGCATCCTCGCCGCAATCAATCACGCGCCGACCCATCACGTCTTGGATCAGAGGTTTGACGGCCTCAGTCGCACTCTTGGGACCACCAATGGCAAAAACAAGCTTGCCATCCACGGCGATTGGGTTCCCGCCGAAGACCGGCGCTGCGATGTACGATGCATCCTTAATTTTCAGCTGCGCTACAGCGGATCTTACAGTGTCGGGATGCACTGTGGAGCAGTCGACAAAGATCTTGTCCTTCAGTGACTGGCCTGAGCCCATGGCGGTGGATAGTAGGCTTTGCAGCACTGCGTCATTTGAGACCTGGGAGAGACTTTAGTTGCGTTGCTATGTATTTATCTGTGGGATCGCCTTACCATGGTGAAAATAATTTCACATTGAGATACGAGCTTCTCGAAATTGGGTTCTGGGATTGCTCCTAGCGCTGGTAGGGGTGATCCGCGCGACATCGTGCGGTTCGAGTAGATTAGGTTCAAGGCCTTCTTCGTGGCTAGGTGGCGCTGCAAGTTGGAGGCCATTGCTAGGCCCATGGACCCGAGTCCATACTGTGTGTATGATTAGTTCTTTTGTTCGAACCTGTAGATGCTCTAGGGGTTACTGACCCAGCCAATTTGTGGCATTGTTGCTCGCTGTTTTTCTAGGGTGCTGATTGAAATGGGCGACTAAGTCTAGACAACAGGGAGAAGAAAATTTGGCAATCGGAGTCTACTTGAGCAGGGCAATGCTATCTTTGTATGAGTCCAGGGACGATAGGAAACGGTGGAGCGCGTGTTTCCCGAGGACATCGGACTCGGCCGACAGGAGGCTCTTCAACACTATCAACGGGATTTACTTGTCTGCAGGTTAGACTAGGCTAGACTTTATCACTGTGGTGATATATTGTTCATCGCTTTACGCATATTTCTATGCTTGGTGTATGTCCTTGAGTCAAGTCCACGTGTATACCCCTTAATGTGAGGCGTTCCATCTGTACTATAGCTTGCGCATATATTGATTCCAACATCATCCCACTACTTTGTAGGACCTCAAAATCATTCTTTACGCCCTAATCCATCATCTCTAAGCTTGTCTGGCCCAAGAATGCGGTGATGCGGTCACATACCGTCATGGCTGCAGCTCGCCCCCCAACTGTGGGGTGAATATCAGGTACGGTACGGTCACGTAAGTTATGATGCTCCGTCCGTCGTGGGCTCGACTTCAAACATCCCCAACACCTCCGCTCTCCCCTGAACCCTCCTAGTTCCGCTCATCTTGGGAGTTTCCAAATAAAATCTCAGTCTCGGACGGCCCATACTCCCAACCGTCGAATCCCCAATTCCTCCAAGATGGCGGAAATGCCCATTGGTACACACCGATTCCCCCAGGCTACCGTGTCCCAGCTCCAAGCTAACAAGCTACTCCGCAGTCCTCGACGGAGGAACCGGTTTCCTCAAGGTCGGCTATGCCGCCCAGGTATGTCGCACGACAATTACAGTCCGTCTTTGCTCTTCTCTAATTTATATTCCCTCGCCAGAACTTCCCAGAGCACCAGTTTCCCTCCATAGTGGGGCGGCCCATCTTGCGAACGGAGGAGCAGGGCGGCGACATCGTCGTCAAGGATATCATGTGCGGTGATGAAGCCGCCGCTGCCCGATCAATGCTCCAGATCAGCTATCCTGTATGTTTCTGTCGGGGATTCTTGTCCTCGCCTGGTTATTCTACCCCGCCCTCTCCGCAAACCAGGCGAGCGTATTGTCAATGCCTAACCTGTGCTACTGTAGATGGAGAATGGAATTGTCAAGAAATGGGACGACATGCAACATCTATGGAACTACACCTTTTACGAGAAGATGAAGATCGACCCCACGGATCGCAAGATTCTCCTCACGGAGCCGCCGATGAACCCGCTCAAGAACCGCGAGCAGATGGCCGAGGTGATGCTGGAAGGATACGGGTTCGGTGGTGTCTATGTGGCGATCCAGGCGGTGCTGGCACTGTATGCCCAGGGTATGTGATACAAGACAAAAGCGTGAGTTCGAGGTCAATGCTGATGTCATCTTATAGGTCTGAGCAGCGGCGTGGTTGTGGATTCCGGTGACGGTGTGACACACATTATCCCCGTGTACGAGTCGACCGTACTCAACCACCACATTCGCCGCCTGGACGTTGCCGGTCGGGATGTGACTCGCAACCTGATTGCCCTCCTTCTGCGCCGTGGCTATGCGCTGAACCGAACCGCCGATTTCGAGACCGTGCGCCAGATCAAGGAGAAGCTCGCTTACGTCTCCTACGACCTCGAGTTGGACAAAAAGCTTTCTGAAGATACCACCGTTCTCGTCGAATCGTACACCCTGCCTGACGGCCGTGTCATTCGCGTCGGCAGCGAGCGCTTCGAGGCTCCCGAGTGCCTTTTCCAGCCACACTTGGTTGACGTTGACCAGCCTGGTATGGCTGAAATGCTCTTCAACTGTATCCAGGGTGCCGATGTCGATGTTCGCTCCAGTCTATACAAGGCCATCGTGCTCAGCGGTGGTAGCAGCATGTACCCCGGTTTGCCCTCTCGTTTGGAGAAGGAGTTGAAGCAGCTCTGGCTCACCCGCGTACTGGGCGGTGACCCAGAGCGCCTGAACGTACGTCGCAGAAACCCAGACAAAGAATATCAGCATAACTTGGCTAACACCTTTTTCCAGAAATTCAAGGTCCGCATCGAAGATCCCCCTCGCCGGAGACACATGGTGTTCCTGGGTGGTGCCGTTCTCGCCAACTTGGTTAGTCTCGTTCTTTTTCATTGGGCTCCGGCCGTTGCTAACACCATTTTCCTCAGATCGCCGATAAGGACGACATGTGGGTGAGCAAGCAGGAGTGGCAGGAACAGGGTGCACGCGCCCTGGACAAGCTCGGCCCGCGATAAACGAATTGTATCTAGGCGGTTCTCGGTCTGCTCCTTTTTTTTCTCTGATTTCCTGCTTCGCATTGTTTGCAAGCCATGTTGCCCGGGTCCTTTTTCCCTATCCTCTTTTTCCTGCCTCCACCTTTCCCCTATCATTGTCGATATACTCCCGTCCATCTTGTAGTTTCCCCTGTCTCTGCGCCTGCTTCCTACATTGTGCCTAGACTGGTCTGGCGTGAGTAGATTCGGGGCGTTCATGACAGAAAAGAACGAAATATTTCTATCGGCTTTTTGTTGTATGCCAGCTTTGTAGGTAGATATTATCTACGGAGTACGTATGAACTACCTAGAAATGGTATGAACTCATGATCATGATTGCATACAATCTATCGTCAACATAAGTATACCGAGACACAAACGCATACCCATATGTACGTGCTCCTCTTCTCTCTTATCAAAAATAGACACCCACATTCCTGGGCACAGACACATGTATAAACTCAAAAAACCCGAAAATGCAAATGCTGCACGCAAAACGCAACAAAACAAACGAGGATTAACACAACAAAAGGAGTAATGTAAACAGTTCGAAAGAGAGAAAATGAACAACCAGTCAGCAACCAATCCCCAAACTAAGTCTCAACAGCCCCCGGCGAAACCGCCAAGATAACCGCAAGAGTAGCAATAATCAGTGAAGCAGCCGCAAAGGCTGTAAGTGTCACACTGCCCCGACTGGCAGGGAACTTCCCACGAATAATCCAATACTGGCTCTGGAAGTAGCGGTGGAAGCCAACAAGGAGGATGAGGATCGAGACGCCGATAAAAGTAGAGCCGAGGGGTTTGCCCACGCTACGAAGACGGGAGGATGTAGAGGAGACGTGGAACGTGGTTGAATCGTAACCAGACGAGGCGAGGTGTGGTGGGAGGATGCCTGAGGGTGAGCCAGATGCTGGGTCGAAGAAATTGGCGTGCGTGTTTGTGGAGGCGCTGTTCAGGCGGAAGAGTTGTGTTACGGCGATGCCGATTGAGGCGAAGGCCAGGGAGGTGCGCATCCAGGCTAGGAAGGTTCGTTCTAGGGAAAAAGGCGAGTGTTAGAGGGGGTCTATGTTGGCTTTTGAAAGGTAGGCTCTGCATATCGTACCCAATGCGAGGTGATCGCGGGCCACACTGCCTTTGTTCTCTAGCTCGAGGCTACCGTATCGATCTGCGAATTGACTATACCAGGATTGCTGGGGCTCGGAAGGCGAGTCTTGGTTCGCTGGTTGGCCACCATTGTCACGGTTCGCGTTGTTTAATTGGAGGTCTTTGAGCTGGGAGGCGGCTGTTTGCTCTGTGGACTGATAGTTGCGCCCCGCGGGACCGGGTGGGTTGATTGGCGTGAACTCGGTGGATTGGGATGAGGTCTGAACTTGGTTCTGGCTACGCACATGGTTCCGGGACGAGGAGCTTGAGTGGGACCGGGTGCTGCCGAAGGAAGATGACAGGGCTGAATCTGTAGGCGAGCGTGGCGATGAGTGGTTGTTTTTGGCTCCTCCGGAGGTACTGGGACCTGTCAGAGGCGGCGCCGATGAGTCGAATGTATTCATTATGGCGTGCTCGTCTGCTGATCTCTCACAGGAGAATATTGTCCAATACGAGGTCGCCAGGGACCAAGTTTATGCAGGGTTAAAGTGCCAGGGTCTTCTATGTCAACAGAGGACGAAAAGTAGCTGTTCGAGACAAGATGTTCACAGTGGTGGGAAAAAATAGCTGTGTCTGGTATGTTAAAGCCTTGCTATCTGCATTTCCTTTGTCTGCTCCTCTTTTTAGGGTGCTGTGGCCATCATGTGGCACATAATGTGACCGCGTGCAAAAGCGTGAAACGATGCGATGATCTCCGGGTCACCTGACCAATCCGGGGAAGCGATCACATGCTCCACTCTAACCCACTTGGGCGAACCCTGCTTCGATCCGAGCCCCTGGAGGTGTGTCAGTGCGACTTACAAAGCTTGACATGTTGATATAGATATCGAATGTAGATCCCTAATTCTAGTCTAGTATCTACGTTGATTTTCACATATGATTTGACAACCCAACACCTTATTGTCTTCTCCCATCTAGCAAATTGCGTCATATTCTGTTTAAGGCAGGCGGTCAGTCCTGCTCTATACACTTTATCGACTTATCGACTTATCCGACTTATCGATTTCCTTTCCCCTCACTCAACCAACGGAATGGCATCACAAGCATCATTACCATCTCCTACGGGGAAGGTCGATCTCTCCAAAAAGCTCTCCGAGTTGCGATCAAACACCCGCAGGGCAAATCCCAATTCCCGAGACCTCACTCCAACAACCCCTCCTCTCCCTTCGCCGCCAGACCTCTCAGCCCACCAGTACCGGCAACCAATCCGCCGCATCATATCCCCTAAAGACCATGAACTCTTCCTCTCATCGCCAACCTACAAGCTTGTCCTCGCCTTCGTCTTCGGGCTAACCGATTCGGTGCGGGGGCATTCTATCACCGACCTCCAGAAAAAGCCTCAGTCCGAATCCATCTCCAAGGTCCTCTCAGTCATTACTCAGATACGCTCCCTCCTAGCCAAAAACCCGCCAATCGACCAGGGTGGATCCAGATTTGGAAATCCTGCCTTCCGAGCATTGTGCGACGATGTAAGTGCCCAAAGCGCATCATGGCACACGAACATTCTCGGGCTGAAAGACACTGGTGCCACCGAAGAAGCCTCAACATATCTAATCAACTGCCTGGGCTCACGGGAGCGCATTGACTACGGCTCCGGCCACGAACTCAACTTCATGATGTGGCTGCTATGCCTGTATCAGCTTGGTCTTCTCCCCGCCAGCGACTTCCCCGCGGTCGTGATCAAGGTCTACGTTGAGTACATGCATCTCATGCGAGAGATCCAGTCAGCTTACTACCTTGAGCCTGCTGGATCACACGGTGTCTGGGGTTTGGATGACTACCATTTCCTGCCGTTCTTGTTCGGGGCTAGTCAGCTTGTCGGGCACCCGTATATTACTCCCTTGGGTATTCACAACACGGCTACTTTGGACGAGGAGGGTGACAACTATCTCTATCTGGATCAGGTCCGGTGGGTCGAAAGTGTCAAGACTGTGAAGGGACTGCGTTGGCATAGCCCTATGCTGGACGATATCTCTGGTTCTAAGAATTGGACCAAGGTTGAGAGCGGCATGAAAAAGATGTTTGTTAAGGAAGTTCTGGGAAAACTTCCTATCATGCAACATTTCTTATTCGGAAGTCTTCTGCCTGCTGCTGAAGGCATGACTGATCCTTCCGAGGGAGGTGCTGAGCATGCCGGTCATGACCATGCCCATGGACACGACCATCCTCATGAGAGCGCAGACTGGTTCGGTGATTGCTGCGGCATCAAGGTACCCAGCACTGTGGCTGCGGGCGCTGAGATGCGTAAGCGTATGGGCGGATCGAATTTGCGCCCAATTCCTTTCGATTAAGTCCGCAGGTGGGAATCTGGAATATGTCAACAAAATAATGAATCAACATGACTAGCATATTAGAAAATGGCAAAACCATTACTCTCCCTATGCTTCTTATTATTCCAGTAATTTGTTTCTACTTCGACTTCTTACTGCGTTAGTGTAGTGTATAGAGGCATCCTCGGTATACAATAGCTCTTTGACAGTCACGAAGTCAATATCATATCGTCAGGTAGAGCCGAATTGATCAGCCCAGGGGAGCCTTGAGAAAACGGATCTCGACGCAAGTACTCTGTATAATATGGTGCTTCTAATCTACGCATGCTTCGGGAAAAAATATAACTTGTATATCGATGCTTATCCTTTAATGCCGCTATGTACATATTCAACACAGCAGACTACCAAACTACCTAATCGTTCTTTCCACAGTGTTTCGACCCCAGAAATGCTCTACCGCCAGGTTGTATTTGCAGTTCCGATAGTTCCAGAGCAACCTGTTGGGACAGTATAGCTCCGGTTAGGATCACTTTCCCAGGTAATGCTACCGTCCGAGCCCTTCTTGAAGAACTTGTACTCAAAGGTGGTACCAGCGGGTAGACTAATACTGGCAGTCCACAATGGGTTAGACGATGTGTATGAGCCTGCAGATAGAGCGATCGCCGACGAGGTAGACCAAGAGCCCAACTGGCTGATTGACCCGGTGACGAAGATATTCTGACCATATGACGTGGTAACCAGCTCGCTAAAAGTTACCGAGACGCTGGTGGCAGGAGTAGCACATGCTGTAGTAGTTGCTGTCGAGGTCGTGGCGGTGCCAGTCTTGCTCGTGGTCAAAGTTGTAGCGCTGGCAGTCGAAGTCGATCCTCCCCCGGTACCCCCAACGGCGATATCGGCACAGTGAAGATAAACTTGACCCGTCTGGAACGAGTTCCACCGGAACCGCAGCAGAGTGTGGGCCGAGTCATAGTCTGGGATCTTGATTTTCTTCGTAACAGTGTAACCACCGGCAATGGTTGTCTTGCAGGAGTTTAATGGGGCGTTATCTACGCCCTGACAAGCGCGTCGGCTGTCAGCGTTGAATGCATTGCAGGTGAACCAGTCATTGCGCCAGCATGGCTGATCAGAGGTGCAGTCAGGATTGTAGCCACAGGTCTGTCCAGAAACGTCTGTACATTTCAATTCACCCTCCAGGAAACAATCTTCGGCAGCTTGTTTCTCTGCATTGGTCGGAAGGTAGTTGGGATCGAGGAACAAGTCGACTAGAGTCTGATTCTGGCAGAGACCGTAGGTAAACATGCCACCGTGGTCGCCATTGGCATCGACACACCATTGCACGTCCACGATTTGGTTTGCAGTATATGTGGCGACCACAGAGTTGCCCCAGTGAGCGCTGGGCTGGTTATAGTCAACACTGACTCGAGCATTGTAACCACATGGTCCGCTTCGGCCAACTTGGGGCTTTTCGAGGTCTGGCCAAGGAGAGACTGGTTCAAGAATGGAACATTCAGGGCAGGTATCAATGCCAGCCTAGTAAGGTCAGTATGATGTATCACCTCCATGAATTCATCATCTGGGATCATACCTCAAATCCAAGCCTAGTACGACTTGAGGGAATGGTCAGGTATCCATGAGCATTGACTGAGGATAATAGACCTGCCAGAGTCAGAATAGAGGATGCCTTCATCTTGGGTGTACTTTCTCAAAGATCCAGAGACTAGATATAAGCTGCTCGGCTTTCGAAATCGAGCGGAACATCGCCCTTTTATATGTGTATTTCCCATGATTTCTCTTCAATATCAACCATGCATGTCAGATTCCTGCAATTCCGAGATTGCCGTCGGCTTCAGAGTCTGAGTATGTATGGGTATTGTCTTGGCAGGTCAGTATATATCTTCACAGTCGTATCTCCGTATGTGACGTGAAGTCCGATAATTGTCCGACAGCCGCTAGGGTAAAGAGATGCAAGCGTAGAATTTTTAGTCGAATTCCTTCAAGCCTCGACAAGAAAAACCGATAAATCCCCGATTCCCTCTTATATACTAGTTGGGCACTGGGCATAGTTAGGCGATAGCAGATGGCAGCGTTCATCATTCCTATCTTTTCAGGGCATTCGCGTCTTATTTATTGGAGTCATCAAAAATTGTACTTGGATAAATCGAATGACCTGGACCAAACTGGCAATCTCCGAGTATGGCTGCTCGTTTAACTTATCTCAAGGCCCCAGCATTTCTAAGGTACCATGCATGCCCCACGTCCTACTTCGCCGCCACAATATATTATGATTCTTCATCACTGTGTTGCCCTCCAACCGAGGGGCGCCCTATTGAGCCACCGGCGTTAACATGTGCCACATGTACCCTAACAGAAGTAAGGCGTGCCGAACGTCATCTAGATTACCCCGTAATCCATGTATTCAATCTTGGTTTCCAACAGATTCCCCTAAATCATCAACGGGGGATCAGTGTGCCTAAGCCCAGACCGGATATTACTCAGTGAGCCTGACTCTGGGCTCCCTCCAAAAGAGGCGGCAGCTCAGTACATAGGAAATAAAGTAGCCACATAGAGATATCTATACACTCTGTGACTTCTAAGTCTTCCGTTTCCGTTTTAGTGCTCGGGCCCTGCCGCTATTTGCTCACCGAGTAAGATATAAGAGGCCGACTGCTAAAGAGACTATTTTGATAAAATGCAGCACCCTATCATTTCCACGTGAAACGCGGCCTAAATCAGAATGACTATCTAATTGTAGAATTGTGCATTATTTGAAACGCAGGACAAATGCCGGTGAGTCTACATTGCAGTGTCCTTAATCTATCAGATTCTTACTACGTAGTATAATCCTAGGAATGATTAGCTATAGACATGTATTTTTTCTCACTAGCCTCCCATAAAGTGATACTTCCAAAATATCCTAGCAAATACTCCTCTTTGGCCCCAAGGCATTTTTGAAATACGAGGAGACCGACTTCTCCTTTTTGTTATAAGTGCCTTTCTGTTTCTACAGAGTCTACCCGAATTTGTTCACATCTTTTTTTTTTTTAATTGCTTGAATACTTTGGTGGTTAAAAAAGAACCACCGATTTGAATCGTTTCTGGACATGACTCGGTCTTGGAGCTTTGATCTTCCTCGCTTCGTGAGATCGCCGCCGTGAATGCGAATCCGTTAAGAGCAACCGGAAGAACGAACGAAAATAGGGAATACAATGTTAGAATTGGCCTATGCTAGATAGATTATCTAGTTTCATGCTCAGAGAGTCCAGTGTTGACCCATAGGAGTTGAAAGAAATGAGAGGTAGGTGAGTTATTAAATACTTCAAACCATCCCAAAAGATGGAAAATGACCAATCCAGGTCTCTAAAAGCAAGATATCCAAGACTTTGTTAAATTCTATAACTTTAAAAGGTTTATACCATTCTCCTTTAGTTATGTACAGCATTTATAGGTTTAATTCAGTGTCTTCCCGAGATCGCCGCAGCGTTCTAGATTGGAGAGAGCAGGGTAATAAGCCCCCACGCTTCCAAGAGACAATACCACGCTACCCTGCCAAGGCCTAAAGAAATCGCGCTCCCCGCCGGAATATTTAGCACGCTAGCTAATTTTGGACCGGGAAAAATACTTCGATAAGTGACATGAAACACTTGCGATGATCTTCTCGGGGACATCCCGAGACAATATTTTGTTGCCCTAACAAAGGTACTTTACAGTCCCAGGAACGCACATATTCCCTAGGCATAGCCCGGCTTAAGTGATAAACGATCATTGAACATGCTGTTCAAGCGTAGTTTAAATTGGGTACGGCCCGAACGGGATAACCGAGCCAACAATAGCGTTTGTCAGACTTACTGATAAGAGGTGCGTAGAACTACAACATACTAGGTACCTAGCGAAATCAGATTATTTTCTAATCACCCAAGGCTAGGCTCTTTTGAACCATGCTTTCATCAAATAATTCAACCTTGTAAGTACCCCTCGTCGGCCCCGCATCTTCAGGGCGCTCAAGCCCCTGCTAAACTTGAACTGCTCGGACGGAATATTTCGGCAAGGCTTGTCTGCTTCCAGTTCAATCATGTTGGAGTAATTGCGAGAGGAAAGGGAAAAATCCCGGTGGCACAAGCTTAATGCTACTAAGATGCGGGGTGCATTCAAAATAAGCCTCGTCAAGGCTCTCTCTCTCTCTATCCCGAGAGACGCAAGGCTTCTTGCTAGCATCATGGGTGGAACGAACCATTCTGTCTCACTCTGTCACACGACAAATATTGCATGATTCAATTAATTTGTATTAGCGCTATGAGTAGCGTTGTTTGAATCTACTGTTGATTGGTATGAGCCGGGGTTGTGAAGAATGCCATTCCCCTGCATTATCAAGTAAATAATGCGTCTTTACTATGATGATTGGAGGAGAATTACCTCCACTTTAGGAACCGCTGCGAAAAATCTAGAGAAGGGGTTCTTGATGGACTGAATAATATAAATATGAAGGCTGGACACTGCACGGCACAAGGCCCTACCTGTTTCTCTTCAGTGCCCATTGAAGCATCCCGTTCTTGGATTTAAAGGCGACAAGACCTGCTTGACCTACTATTCCAAAGGTGATCAAACATGTTCTCACGACGAAGCTTCGAACGCTTCTGCGCACTTGTCCTAAGTCTTGCTGCAACTGGCACACTTGTTGAAGCCGGGCCCTGTGATATCTACGCATCCGGCAACACGCCCTGCATTGCCGCGCATAGCACAACTCGCGCCCTGTACAACGCCTACACTGGCGCCCTCTACCAGGTCAAACGTGGCTCCGACGGTACCACGACCGATATCTCGCCGCTTTCCGCTGGTGGGGTTGCGAATGCCGCTGCCCAGGACACGTTCTGTTCAAGCACAACTTGCTTAATCACGATCATCTACGACCAGTCTGGCCGGGGTAATCATCTTAAACAAGCACCGCCCGGTGGCTTCAAAGGCCCTGAAGCTAATGGCTACGATAACCTGGCCAGCGCGGTTGGCGCACCGGTTACGCTGAATGGCAAGAAGGCCTACGGCGTCTTCATGTCACCTGGCACCGGCTACAGCAACAACGCCGCCAGTGGCACGGCTACAGGGGATGAAGCTGAGGGTATGTACGCAGTGCTCGACGGAACCCACTACAACGGTGCTTGTTGCTTCGACTACGGCAATGCCGAGGTCAGCAGTACTGATACGGGCAACGGTCACATGGAGGCCATCTACTATGGTGACAACACCGGCTGGGGCTCTGGCGCTGGGAGTGGTCCTTGGCTTATGGCTGACCTTGAGAACGGCCTGTTCTCCGGTCTTAGCTCAGGCAACAACGCCGGCGACCCGTCGTTGTCTTACCGTTTCTTCAATGCGATTGTCAAGGGAGGGCCGAACCTGTGGGCCCTCCGCGGTGGAAATGCTGCGTCCGGTTCCCTATCGACATACTACAGTGGTGCACGTCCAAGCGCATCTGGATACAACCCGATGAGCAAAGAGGGTGCCATCATCCTTGGTATCGGCGGCGACAACAGTAACGGCGCCCAAGGCACATTCTACGAGGGTGTAATGACCTCCGGCTACCCGACCGATGCCACCGAGAACTCCGTGCAAGCTAACATCGTAGCTGCCAAATATGCTACCGCGTCGCTGACTAGCGGGACGGCGCTTACCGTCGGTTCCTCGATCTCGCTGCGGGCTACTACATCCGGCTACACGACGCGCTACATCGCACACACCGGCGCAACGATAAATACTCAGGTTGTCTCTTCATCCAGCGCGACCGCCCTTAAGCAGCAGGCTAGCTGGACGGTTCGCGCCGGTCTTGCAAATAGCGCTTGCTTCTCGTTCGAGTCTGTCGATACCCCGGGAAGCTTCATCCGACACGCTGACTTCGCGCTCGTGCTTGCTGCCAACGATGGCTCGAAGTTGCTCTACGAGGATGCCACATTCTGTCCGCAGACCAGCCTCAATGGCCAGGGCAGCTCGATTCGATCCTGGAGCTATCCCACTCGCTACTTCCGCCACTACGAGAACACGCTCTACATTGCGAGCAATGGCGGTGTTCACACGTTCGACTCCGCTACTTCTTTCAATGATGATGTGAGCTGGGTGGTCAGCACCGGATTTGCATGAGATGTCTTGGATATTTCATAGGCAATGGGTAGAGATGTGGTGGAAGTGATATATGAAACGGAAACGGGCACTCTAAACTTCGACTTTTCACTCATCTTGAATTGTGCCCAATCTAGTAGTGATCAGGGTAAGCGCAAAATATAACATAAATTATATCTACTTCGATGAATAGTAAGCGAGCCTTTTTAAGTGGTGATCAATCTATTTTAAGGTAGTCATCATAGTAGTCCTAAAGTTTGTGCATCTCAAAACATGAAACTTTTACGCGGTGCTACCTTACTATATACTCCTAGGCGTTGAATCAAGGAGCTTTCTTTGAGTCGAGATCTTCTGCTAGTTGAAAATAGTCAGATCATGCCCAGAGGAATAAATATTGCAATCCCCTATTTTGCGGGTATGCTGTAGTCTAAACCGCCGAGGTCCACCGGTAATTACGCCGAAGCTTAAGCCCGGAACCCTTAGTGCCCAACCATAATCCTCCAAGACACTTTAACAAAGACCTAAAACACAGATCATTGTTCAAGGGGCAAATCAGCTCGATCAGCTCGGAGAGAAGCCACATCTATAGTATAGATTCTATACTATCGGCCCTACAGGAATCACCCTTCATCGTACCCTTGTTTCCTTCAACACGTCAAACAGAGCGAATTATCATGGAATCACAAGATAACGACGCTTCTACTGCTGCGTTACAAACCGAAATCAACCATTTTATGTCAATCCCATGGTGTCGCCCTCATCTCTGCGACCCAAACTTCCAGCCTATCGATAAACCCCGAGAAGCTACGTCAGTCAGACCACGGACACACGCTACTCGGCAAGACATGGTTCACTAAGGATACAATTCCACATTTGCTCACTTTGTATCGACCACCTTCTGCTGCAGAGGACTGGAGAGGCGAGCTCCGCAGGTTTCATACGTTAGGCACGGGGTTAAACGAACATCCGAATGTCTTCCACGGTGGGGCCATTGCCACCGTGTTAGATGGTGCATTGGGTGTTCTCATCAGGCATGCGATAAGGGGGGATCCAGCATATACAGTCGGCCTGAACATTACGTATAAGAAAGCCATCAAAACACCGGAGACGATTTTGGCACGTTCGTGGATTACAAAGACCGAGGGGAGGAAAATTTGGGGTCGTGCGCAGATTGAAAGCGGCACCGGCGAGATCTACGCGACTGCGGAAGGAATTTTTGTTAAAGGCGATTGCAAAGATATAGTGCTGAGATTTTCTAAGAACAAATGCCTAAGGGTTGAGTTCACTTCCAAAAGAAGATTTATTTAGAGAATAAATGTCCGTTTTGTAGATCACAGCTAACTGAAATCCACAACGGATTTATAACCAACCACTTAGTCTGTCTAAAGTATAATGGAGGATTAAATGACAGATTGGAATACATGATATTTTACTAGTAAACTCAATATATATAAATATATATTACACTGACAACCACATTAAAGCGCAAAGTTTACCTCGGCTACAATGAAAGACAATGTCTATATCTCTCTCCCAGCACCGAATATGTAGTCACTAAGGCTTTTTACCTCACCTACAAGTCATCTTAAGATTTCTAAACTTGGGACATTTAGCAAATGCCCCAGACTAGACGATGCCGAAGGGCCGTGGAGAAGCAATTTCCCCGCACGGAGATAACTGCGGGCTTCAACTTCAAGATCCACAGTGACGAAATGCCTGTCTCGGTGATTTTACGGACTTTATCAACAGGTGTAGTCGACGTTCATCAGCTTCACTTCTCGGTGATTTTGCGGGCTCCAATCAATGACTATGATCAGGAAACCACCAAATACTCTCGGGTATTCAATCAAAGGCCGCGGTTGATATAATCAAACAGCTATATAAACCCATCGATCGTTGTTCAACCTATTAATATATCTCGAAGAGCTCTTACCATTATCTTCATTAGAAACATGGCTACCCAATCTCGAGTTCCTGCAACTGCAGAGTCTGGAACTTTCACCCGGCTTGGAAAATTGCCGAATACCTACACTTCCGATACCAGTCTGCAACGAATGCTAGGATGTAAGTCCAGCGCACCGACCACCTTTTATTAAATTTAACCTGATAACAATAGGGTACCTTCCTGCAGAGACACTTAAATCGGTTGAACCCCACCTAGCTCAATTTGGCGAGGAGGCTGTTTCGCCCCAAGTCCTTGGATGGAACATCGACGCAGAGACCAACCTGCCCTATGTGAAGAAATACAATGTCTGGGGCCAGAGATATGGGTATGACAAGCTGGTTACGGCTGAAGGGTGGAAGCAGCTGGGAAAGTGGGGGGCTAAGAATGGGTTAGTCGTTCGTTTATTTCTTGATGTGTACTTGATACTGACAAGGATGTTTTAGAGTTGTGTCGCTAGGATACGACCACACATATGGTGATCATAGGCGCACTGTTCAATATGCTGCGTATGTTACGGTTCACTATATGTTGTTTCATGAACGTGAATACTAACGACCGGATCCAAAGAGTGTACTTATTCGTCCCCTCGTCGTCCATGTACAGATGTCCGATGAGTATGTCAGATGGAGCGGCGTTTGTGTTGTCACAGCGCCTGAAGGATCTGCCAAGTGACCATATTTTGCACACTGTATTTCGGAAACTGACCTCCAGAGGAGAGGACTACTGGACATCTGGTCAATGGATGACGGAAAGAGCAGGCGGGAGCGACGTCCAAAACACAGAAACATGGGCTACCTATGCACCCTTGCCCCAATCATCGAAAACATCCGAAGTCATTGCCGAGGGAGACTACCTAATCAATGGATTCAAGTTCTTTTCCTCCGCGACAGACGCCAATGTCGCTTTTCTCTTAGCCAAGACAGATTCTGGCAAACTCAGCACATTCATCGCGCCATTACGGAAGACGGTCATCGGAGCTGATGGGAAGCCAGAAGAAGTGTCCAACGGCGTGCGCATCCACCGCCTGAAGAACAAGCTTGGCACCAAAGAACTACCCACAGCTGAGCTGGAACTGAAGGGCATGCGCGCTCACCTTGTCGGTGAGATCGACCAGGGCATTCAGACTATTGCCCCATTGTTGAACACCACCCGCATCCAGACCCTTCTTGGAACATTAGCAACCTGGCGCCGAGCTATTAGCATCACGAAGAATTTTGCCAAGTCACGGACTACTGTTGGCGAGCCATTATGGTTGATTCCGATGCACCTGCGCCTCCTTGCGGATGTGGAAGTCAAGCACCGCGGCGCTATAAATCTTGCCTTTTTCACAATTGCAGTGATGGGTTTGATTGAAAATCCATCCAGCTCCGCGCGACTTCCACACATGCCCAAGGATCTTGCCGAAGCAAAGGTCGTCTTCCGAGTCCTAACCGCTACATGCAAGGGTGTTGTTAGTAAGATGTCGATGGTGGGTGTTCAAGAATGCCAGGAAGCCATGGGCGGAGTCGGATATATTGATGAACCGGACGAGCCTGAGTTCAACATTTCACGCCTCCTCCGAGCCGCAGCCGTCTATCCCATCTGGGAGGGTACCACAAATGTCCTGGCTAGTGAACTCGTTCGTTTCCTGATGAAAAGAGATACCCTGTCTGTTCTGTCAGGGTGGCTCAATCGTGTTTTGTCTTTGATCCGCACACCTGCTCTTGCAGCTGCGTTGAAGCATGCTCTGGCTGCTTTCCTTTCTCGCGTAACAACTTCCCGTCCACAGGCTGAGTTGCTGGCCGATGCCCGGAGAATTATGTTTACGTTCGCCTGGATTCTTTCTGGGGCTCTCATGACTTTGGATGCGGAGCGCGATGGGGATGAGGTTGCGATGGAAATCGCTCGCAGATGGATTCTGTTGGGTGAGGGTGGTGTCGGCGAGTTCGTCTACCGGGATATTGTCAAGCCATACCAGGCTTTCGATTCAACTTCGGAAAGTGATGAGCATACACGATTGGATTGTAAGATCGCTTGGGGTGTTGAATTGCCCAAGGTGGTATTTGGCCATCGGTCTTTGAGCGAGTCCGCGAAACTGTAAATTAAACCAGTTTCATTAAATGCTTGGATTGAACACCGGAGCAGGTAAGTTAGATTGTCCAACATATTGTATATACGCTTTCAATTTTTCTTTGGCCGGTCAATATCTAGCTAGAGCCTTGCCGCAATTGCCTACCGCTCACTGCAAGTGCATATCATAAAACCGTCTCATCCGCTTCCACATATCAATAACATGTTTCCTCTCAGTAATAAAATGTCCTTCTCGAGGATAAGTCACCATATCGACGGCCAGATCATTGTGGATACACGCCCGGTAAAAGGCAATAGCCTGTGACAAGGGCACACGCACATCGTTCTCACCATGAACAATCAAGACGGGTGTCTTCACATTACGCATATGCCATAATGGGCTTCCCCATCGTCCAGTCGTATCCCGTAACCATTTCTTCGATGATTTCAAATCCGTGCCATCAGGTACTGCATTCACATCCACATCCCATGGCGCGCCGCCAGTCAAATCAATATCAAGCCAGTATGCATCGCTCGTCATCGTCATAACGTCCCAATCCACGATTCCCGCGCCACATACGGCTGCTCGGAATTGAAAATCGTCGCGGGTGACTGCAAGATAGGATAAAAACCCGCCGTTCGGCCAACCACCTATCGCCACGCGCGAAGAGTCCACGAGACCCTTGTCAATGCAGTTTCGAAGAATGTCGATACAATCTGTGTAGTCAAATTTTCCCATCCCTCCACGAGAATATGCGGCGTGCTTTTCGCCTCTTCCACTTCCGCCACGGTAGTTTGGACAGAGAACGGCGTATCCAGCTGAGACCAGGGGCGGAACCTCGAGACAGTGACAGACAGAAAAGCCGATATTCACACGCCAGTATGGCCCTCCGTGCGGGAGGAGAACGGTAGGGAGGGGTCCATCCTCTGCTTTATACTTGGAAGGAACGTATATCACGCCGTCGAGCGAGTAACCGTCTGACGCGGTCGCCGAGATAGAGAAAGTCTTGGATATCTCAAGGGCGGCAATGGAAGAATTGTGATCTGATAATTTGACTATACCTTCAGACTCAGTGACAGAGAAGACTTCCTCTGGATTCGACCCGTCACCTTTGGTGATCGCAATGACGGTATTCTTTGCTGTCCTGGAGACATCGAATGAGGCTATATCATACTCCCCACGATGGATGAGGGTATGATTGCCACCATCGATTGAGAGAATCTCATCATGAAGATTATTCTGAACATGATACGCGAGAGAAGATTGATTCTTCTGAATACTGTCGCAACAACTCTCTTCCGATTCCTGCTCTGTATATGAGCCATTTTGATAATCAAGCTGGTACAGTGAAAGGGAAGTCGCCCAATGCTTTGGATTGACACCTGCAATGAAGTAGATGCCAGAGTTTCCCCATGCAACCTGGTAAATTGGACCGGGGAATTTCGTGACAACGCTCGACTTTATGCCGAAGAGAGATACAATGCATATTTTGGCACCATAGAACCCAGCAGAGTTCACGTCCGGGTCTTTATGCTCGATGTAGATAATTTGTTTCGAGTCAGGACTCCAAGAGAAGTCATGCACATGTTTATCGCCGGAGACAATTGTCTGGACCTGTCTTGTCGCTATATGAGCAACTTTGAGACGGTGGTGTTCTAAGTTCTCTCCCCAGACAGTGGCATCGTCTTGTTCTTCCTCCTTGCGGACCTGTTCGGTTGTCTTCTCGTCTGCACTGGTAAATGCAATATACGCGCCGTCGGGACTCCATTCAAATGCGGTAATGGGTTTCTCATCATCGACAGGTGTAATGGGGTATGCTTCACCTCCATTTACTGACATCACATATACAGTTGAGCCTTTGCCCGGGTGGCCCCGATCAGATTTGAATGCAAGAGAAGTTCCATCTGGAGACCACTGTGGCAGTTCATCGTTGCACAAGCCGGAGGTGAATTGACGAGTACTTTTTTCTTTGCCAACCTCCGCTATCCAGATTGACGAGGTGGCATTTTCGTCCTTCTTGCTGAAAGGTCGTAATTTGTAGGCAATCCTGGTGGCGTCAGGAGAAATGCAAAGGTCGGAGGGGACCTGGAGGTCGGCCAGAGCTTCCAGGCTCAAGTTGACCTTGTGGTCTGGGTTGGTTACCATTGTGAATGCTGAATTGTCAATGGATGTGAGAGATTTAAGAAGCTATAGGCAATAGACGAAAGGTAATAGGTAAAAGGTGAGTCATATTTATATCCTTGCCCTTTCTCCGGAGTCCGGTAGCCCCGATACTCATGTGCCTATTCTCTAATGCGACTAGAAGACCCAATTACATCGATCCATTCCATGCCTTGTTTATCACTATTAAGTGGGTTTTTTGACTGGTTTCATCATATTTTCATATAACTCTCACAAGACTATTCGGCGCCATATGCGGCTTCTGTCCTCAACGACATAGGACCTTAATATTTGATTTATCTGGTTAAAAATTATACCAGGGAGGTCATGCTTAATATGACATTGTAATGCTCTTTTTAGGTGTTATTTATAGTTAAATGATTGGCTATGTAAAAAGTACCACAAGGAATGGGAATATAATGAGAGAGACTAGCCTTGAGCTACCTCTAAAGCCTGGGCCAAAAACTACCAAGGCAAGATGCATACAAACCTTGTTCATTTGGTCTCCACTAGCTATTCAGCTAGCTTCTTTGTTTGTAGAGAGTCATGCCATTCTTCTCACCTCTTTTGTCAAAAGTCCTTTTCCCATAAGAAAAACAACACTACACCCAGGATATCTACGCCATGCCATCTGCCCCGCATATGGGCAATTCCCAAACCCCAACCCCAACGTCACCATGGTTTAGTGGAAGCTGAGGTATTCTTGATTGATGCCTGAAGATGACTATCGCGTTAATCCCAATGATACCCTGGAATAGTTACTTAGTTTCTGCTTAGGGTCGCTGTTCAATATTAAATGTGCTCTTCGCTGTACTTATGTAGTGTATGGTTCGTCGTTGCCTATTTGATCTAGAGGGGCGTGGCCATGGACCTTCCAAAAGTACTATGTACTATGTAAACATGCAGGGGTAGAAATCTACTAATGCAAAATTACCTGGCAGCCTAACAGCCTCGAAATCTGACAGCCTGGCGAGCTTTGCATGCTCCCCTTCGGCTGATACGGATGCCCTTAACTGCATGCTTCAAATTTTTTTTATCTTTATGCGTAATTGATACATAGATTACTCGAAAGCTCTGCTGTTGGAAGAAGTATCGAGTTGGAGAGTTGGGGAAAGAGCTACATATATTGATAGAAGAAACTTGCAAATATATTGTTTGACTATTTATGTAGGTTTCCTGAACCAGTCATATTTGAGAAAACCAATTAATCATTTGTAGAAGCTAGTTCTTTTATTTCTGTAGCTAAATATTTAGTATGATGTACAAGATAGATGTAGATGTCGTGGGCAATATAGAGTGAATCGTTCGTCCCGCCACCGCCTCTGATTGGCCCAAATCCAACCTCAAACTGCGACAAGAGAACTACCCTCAGTTTTCAATCAACACCCCAACAACTCACACAAAGCCAAATAATATTATCCACCCAGTCTTGCGTTGCACTTCAAATCCGAAAAAGGGAACGACCCCCCCATATCCACGCCAACTCACAAGACCGATCGACCAAGCCCCTCTTACTCCGCACGCCGCGCACGCCGCACACGCTTATCGTGCCCCCTGGGTCCAATACCTCTACGAGCGACACCCCACACTACGAAAAGGGGTCACCCTGAATAGTCTCATCCTATCGCATTCCGCACACCAGCGCCGCAACCATGGCGGGCGACGAGTATTCCATCGGCGGCGGCAAGCTCAAGTTGAAGGGGAGTAAAGTCAGTGGAGGACGGATAGAAAAGAAAAAGAAGAAGAGCACGAAGAAAAAGGAGGGAGAAGTGACACAGCCAAAGCCGGAATCAACGCCGGATACGGAGCGGCCAGAAAATGCAAAGGATGAGGGTGTGCGGTCTGAGGAAGACAGAGAGAAGGAGTGGGATGCGCCTGGGAAAACGGAGGCCGAAAAGAGAGCAGAGGAGATCCGGCGGAAACGGGTATGTTCTTTCTTTCCTTGCTTTTGTTTTTATGTCAGGCTCGGGCTGTTTCTACTTCGGCTTTGTTGTACAGAAAAACTGACTTTTCGGGACAGTTGCATGAGCGGCTCCAGCGCGAAGGTGTCAAAACCCATAAGGAGCGTGTGGAGGAGTTGAATAAGTATCTCAGTCGACTGAGTGAACATCACGATATGTATGTCTTACTATTTATGCTTTTATTCCATTTCTTTGGGTTGAAGGACTATGTGCTGACTTGTTACCTAGGCCGAAGATCGGACCGGGCTAAGTGGGTTCTACGGTGTATCAAATGTGTTTCAATGCGATCCCCCAATTTTAGTTCAAGAATACTATATCTGTACTTGTACTCATTACGTACGTTCTGTCCAACTGTAGTAATGGCTGTCAAGAATCCGCCATGTTTCAAATATGATGCATGAGCTACCCAAGGTACTCTACCAGAAACTCCAGCAGTATATATATCCAATAAGAAGGGGCTCAAGATTTCGAAGATATGTATAGTTCATGGCTAAAGTGACCCAGAAGAGCTCTATTTAGCAGTCCCCGAAAAGAGAAGAGAGCGTGCCCAAAATGCGAGACAGCAGCAGTAGCAGCAACAATAGATAAGTGATAAATATCAGAAGATCAAAAAGAAAGATGTCAACACCAAGAACAACGCCATGCAAATGAAGACCGTAAAGAGTCAACCCAAATAAGCCGTAGCCAAAAACCGAATTCCGATCTAGATATAGATCACACAAACAACCAGACAAAGGAAAGACGAAACCCAATCCCCAGAAATCAGAGAAGAGGAGACGAGTAAAACGAAACACCGCGCTAAATCCAAGATCACCGCAGAGGGACGCAAGAAAGGGAAGAATCGGGTCGAACCGAATCGAAGCCAAGCCTAGCAGGGGAGCAGGGGATGGCACCTGATCGGCCGAGGCAGGCAGATAAGATAGGGGTGAGGAGGCGAGATGGCTCTAGCCTACATCGACTAGACCAGGCCATCCTCAGGGGAATGGCGCCATCCACCCCCTCCCTTTGTTCAGCCTAGAGAAAAGCGAAGGAAACTGCTCTTCCTCATTCTGATTGTAGTTCCCTTTCTCATACGCCCTTGACAACGACCGTCCGTTCGCTGTTCAGCTTATCGGCGTTGCGGGCGTGTGATTCTTTCTTGCAGTCTTCCAGTCCGGTGCAGGAGTGGGCTTCTAGCATGCGGTGCTTGGAGCAGAAGTGGCCGGTGCAGAAGCTGCAGTCACCGACGATGCGTTGGGCGGCTTCCTTGCACTCCTTGAAGTTGCAACGGGGCTTGCGGGGAGGCATTGTGGTTTCGGTTGTTGGGTTGTTGAGTTGTGGAGGGGGGCGGTTAAGAGAGGGGGTGATATAGAGGTACTTCTGCGGAAGAGATAGAGAGAGATAGGGAGTAGAAGTAGTTGGTGAGGAGAGGGTTTGAGATAAGCGCCGCTCAAGTGCGGAGGCGGGGGAGACAAGTTGAAGATAGGAGGAAAGTAGTAAAGGGGGGAGGAAGGGAAATAGGGCCAGCACGACCAGCCTATATATAGGGTAATCGGAAGACACGGGAGAAAGCCAAAGAAACAGACTTCTAACCAGAGACGGGGCTGACTCAGTGAGGCGACAGTGACGGAATCAAGAAGTGGAGTTCCCAAAGTTATGCTGTTGGGGCTAGGCAATTTGGGACGTCTTGGTGGATTTTAGTGGATTTTTAAGTGATTTTTAGTGATTTAAATCGAATTATTAGAATTAATTGGATCTTATATTGGATATTAGATTATTATACAACATTCGACCTAGTGAGGTGATTTTAAAGAAACTATACCCTTGGAAGGCGAATAGGACCCCCTATCCTTTTACTGGACCGATATACTCTATGTAGTTAAAGATTTTACAAAGATTTTAAGAGTTTTTTTTTTTTCCTTTCTTTCTTCATGTTTCTTTCAAATTTTTCTTTTTCTCGTTTGACTTTACCGGATTCTTCTGCATACCCACGCGGACGTATCACCCAAACTCCTGGTCTCGGGCCCAATGATCGGAATGTTGAATTGCCCGTGCATTCAAGGGCGCACTTTCACGTGATGATTCAGGAGTCAGGTGTACATCGCTCAACTCTCAACTCTCAACTAGCTAACTTACTAACTAACTACGGAGTAACTAACCTCCTAATTATTATGTACTAACTAGAGTTGAATTAGACTTGGAAGAGGACCCAAATCTCGGTCACCCGTTTTTACCGCGCCACCAAGGTGGCAAGATGTTCGTCCGGACTTCTCCCACTGCGGTACTCCAGGGACTTATCTTTACTATATCGTACGGAATACAGACTACATAGTGCCCAATGATACGACTCAATCCAATGCAAAGGGGAGGGAAAAAAAGCTCATGCAAGTATGCAAGTGGACGAAAGGAGCTATGACCTCTGCAGCGAGTGAACTGTCTACGATACAAATCGACAAGTCGCCTGAACTAAACCCGCCTAGGCACGACGGATGATCCGCGTGGAGCTATTGCATCGGTAAGAGCATATGCAGGACTGCATACATAGCACTCCGTACCGCAGTACAGGACTAGGTGTGCTGCCTTCTGTATACATTTCCCGGGTTAGGCCTTAAGTGAGGGTCGATCCCGCTACCCAATTTCACCGTCTCTCTCCACATATCCCCACCATCACCCTATGCAGCAGGATACTACTCCGTATCTGCTCACGGATCCCTCGTAGACACACGCTAAACGGTACAAATCAGAATCCTACCACGTTGGCACGCTCTATACGGGCTACGTGTTCGTGGTCAATTTTAAATAGCGACTAGCGTGGATTGGTTTCGTGATATGTCCACTGGTAAAGTTTGAGGACGGGGAGAGACAATGACAGAAAAAAAAAAAGAAAGGAAAATGTAAATGTGAATAAAAACCCGTGGACGCCGGCGCAGACACCGATGATGCGCTCAAACCCCCTTGCCCTGCCCAAATAGCGAAAAGGAGAAAAAAAAAAGAAAAAAAAAGAAAAGGGTGAGGAATGAAATCTCCGCATCTCATATCATACTCCAAGCTCGTTTGCCTTGCCTGCATCCGGGTCTAGATAATCCTCTCGTTCAGCTGCCTCGTACTCGCCGATCAGATCCATCACAACTGCACGTGCCTCATCAAATTCGCCAAGTCCGTCAGCAAATGGTGCTTCCTTTTTATAGGAATCCAAGAAGGCATTGCGCTTGCGGAGCATGTCGTAGTGCTTCACAATACGCTTGAAGAGTGTAGCGACAGAGGTATGGTTAGCTAACATCAGTCCGCTGACGCGGTGTCCAGTTTCCTCAATATACGGGGATTTCTTCGTGAGAGCCACCTGGATACTGGCAGGGCCCCAGGGAATGAAAGATGCGAGGCGACGCTCCCGGATGCGCAGCAGAGACTTGTGCACGTCGGTCGGGTCAGCTTCGCCCTGGATGATGTTAAGGATGCTGATGTAGCAACTGGACTTGCTGGGGTTGACGGAGACCATGCGGTTCTTGGGCTGTAGAAGGCGACGCATAACGTCTAGTACAGTTGTCTTTCGCACTGTCCTGGCTTGCTCAATGTTGGCGCCCGTGAAAGGTGTGTAGGATGTGAGAAGGAAGTGGCTGCGTGGCGTGGGGATGAGCGAGGCGATGATCCCGGCGAGATCGTTGTGCATATATCCAGGGTATCGTAGTGTGGTCGTAGATGCAGACATCACCGTTGAAACGAGCTGATTGGTTTGGTGGAACGAGGGCTCTTGAACGTGAAGTCGATCGGCAACAATTCGTGATAGAGCACCATTATCGAGAACGACCACAGAGTCGGCATCTTGGGTCAATCGCCGCATGGCAAGCAAGCTGTTGTAAGGGTTGACGACAACATCGGACTGCGTGTCCGGGAAGACAGAGTAGGTTTGAATGAGTTTCTTCGGGAAGCGATCGTTCATGCGTTCTAGGATGAAACTTCCCAGTCCAGAGCCTGTTCCTCCTGCGATTGAATGTAGAAGCATAAACCCCTCTAGTGAGTCACTCCCGTCTGCTTCGCGGTCGATCATGTCGAAAATCTCCTCTTGCACGCCCTCGCCTGCGGCATATCCAGTACCCCAATTGTTTCCAGCTCCGATACCTTGTTGTCCGACGAAGAAGTTCTCGGGGTTGTAAATGTTCTTGTAGGGGCCAGTCTGGATAGCATTGAGGACCTGCAAACAGTCTGGGTGTCAATAGTCGTGTCAATTTGATATATCGGTGAAGGATAGCATACCCTGGGTTCTAAGTCGAGGAGAATCGCTCGAGGGATGTACCTTGTGTCGTCACTCTGTCCACGTCTATTAGCCAGTGTTCTTGCTATACGACAAGTCGAAAATATGCTCTCCAAAGCTTCCTAGACATACCTGGTAGAAGAAGACATCCTTGCGATCACCGGCCGCCCCGTCAGTCGCATGCTCTTCCAAGTTTCCATCTGCGCTGATCCCGTGCTCCTGGCAAAGTTGCTGCCAGAACTGACTACCGACTAGATGGAACGAGCGTTAGCGGCGCACTCTATATTTTCTCGTGCTTCGTTCCAGAGAAGAGGATCAAGGGTCTCGTGGAATGGATCGCGGAGTTGAGCCACATACCGTTGTTGCCGCACTGGCCGGCTTGGATTGTGATGATTTCTCTGTAATTGCCCCCAATATTAGCATCGGCATTCAAGCTGGACAGAGAGCCCTCAGTTATTATTGAGTCAGAAGAATGAACAAACCTTGGCATCTTTTTTTTTTCGCAGAAGCCGTCGAGTGTTGCTGCTCGTTCACGCGTATCGCGTTCACGCGGGGAACTTTTTGGCCGATAGTGTTGCCTCAGGCAGAAGCTCTTGCTACCCTACCTTATGTGTTGGACATCAACGACGTTTTAATGCCCTGTAAAATAAATTTGCCCAAGAATGAAAGTTGATTGATCTGAAATAAAATGCTTTTAATCCGCCCAGCTATGCTAAATTTTTGATATATCGCCTTCCTCAAGTGATCTATCTGATTGGCCAACAGTCGCCCTAGACCACTATATCACTCAGAATCCCGCCTTCAGGGCTGTGATGAGGTTTCCAGCACCGGCAACTACTCCATCGACAATTCGTACACGCTGGCCTTCTGGGTGTCCATATTCCTGGGTGCAGCCCTCCCGTACCGCTTCCTCCATGCCAGCCATACCTGCACAGCCTAGACACACAACCTTAACACGAGATTCCGAATTCCGAAGCAGGTTGCGGGTAGCATCGATGATCCTCCGTCTAACTTCCTCCGGTTCTGTGGTGTGAAGTTCGACTGCCGTCAGGCCGGTGGTCTCAACACCCGCAAAGTGCATGGAGCTCCCGTCCTCATAGTCGTAACCCAGCGCTCCTTGGACCGCATTGGTGAGCTCCTCCTTCCAGGCGGAGCCAGTGGTCACAATGCCAAAGCTGCCCTTCTCTTGGTACTTGTGTAGCTTCTCTGCTGGATTGATTGGACCTTGCAATGTGAAACCACTAACCAAGGAGAGCGCAGCGGTGATGGATGCTTCAAATATTCCAGTGACATATTTGTTTCTCGTCGAGCTTGCTTCTTCATTTGCTGTGATGTCCTCCCTGAGCTTGCCCACAAATGGATGCGCGGAGTAGCACGCTACAAGAAACGCGTCATAATGGCCGATAAACTCCCGTACGGGCCAACAATTTAATGCCGACTTGCACGATTCATCGGCGTTATTGATACTGGCGATTGGCTCAATTTCGACTCCATCAATCTCCACGGTGGATTCTGGAGCAGTGAAGTACTCGAAATGCACATCTTGGTAGTTCATACTGGCCAATATGGGCTTCAGGGCTTCGGTCATATGCGTCGAAGTATTGGGGTTGATGATCAATATGCTGTAATCCCGTTCGCCTTTCCTGGGATCCAGCTGAATGATTTCATTTGCGTCATATCGCGGCTCAAGAGCGGGGCTCATCTTGGGAAGAACAAGGTGAATTGAATGAACTAACAGGAAGCACAGCTCTTTGCTCTTCGGGAAGAAATGAATACCCGCGGAGAGTGGCAATGAGCTCCGTTATCCGTTATCGGGATTCTCCGCAACCCCACCTTCTCCTAGGAGCTTTGTGGACTACTTCTTTAAGAGGTCTATGGGTTATGTATGTACATTTTGTGGCGTCAGATTTTACTTGCCGATGGAGGTAAGCTTTCTTGTACATATCTTGATTTATCCCTGCAAAATTCTTGGAATTTATGCGTTCCAAGGTAGATAACGTTAGGATCGAGTATGGCTTACAAATTCCTAGTACTAGCCAGAGCCGGCTCTAGGGGATGGTATAAAAGAGCCACTCCACCCATTAGCCCCGCCATCCTCTCACGCCATCTCAACACGCCATCTCACTTCTAACACAACTCACACACGCGGAACAAGATCCAATCCCATCATGCCTCTGATCGCACAGAACCCCCAGCCCCGAGTGATTCTCGGGTTAATGACCTTTGGCCCAAACGAGGCCAAGGGTGCTCGGATCACTTCGCTGGATGAGTACAACAAATGCCTTGATTACTTCCAGCAGCAAGGGTTCAATGAAGTTGATACTGCCCGTGTCTATATCGGCGGAGAGCAGGAAGCATTCACAGCTAAGGCGAACTGGAAGGAGCGTGGACTGACTCTGGCCACGAAATGGTACCCGGCTGAGCCTGGCTTCCATAAGCCAGCGGTCGTCCGTGAGAAATTGGAGCTTTCTCTGAAGGAGTTGCAGACCGACACTGTCGATATCTTCTACCTGCATGCTGCGGATCGCGCCACTCCATTTGCTGAAACTCTCGAGGCTGTTAACCAGCTGCACAAAGAGGGCAAGTTTGTTCAGCTTGGTCTCAGCAACTTTACAGCCTTTGAGGTGGCGGAGATTTCCGTCCTTTGTGCTGAGAGGGGATGGGTCCGTCCCACCATTTACCAGGCCATGTATAACGCCATTAGTAGGTGGTGCCCTTTCACTTACTTTCGATATATGAGGTTATGGCCACTCAGCTGACACGATTGATAGCGCGCAACATTGAGACTGAACTCGTCCCCGCCTGCCACCGGTACGGCCTTGATATTGTTATCTATAACCCGCTGGCCGGTGGTCTTTTCTCCGGAAAATATAAGTCGAAAGATATTCCTGCGGAAGGAAGATACAGCGACAAGAGCGCTGCTGGACTCAACTATCGCACTCGTTACTTCAGAGATGCCACCTTCGAAGCTCTGAGTATCATTGAGCCTGTCGTAGAGAAACATGGTCTCACACTTCTGGAGACGGCTCTGCGCTGGGTCCGCCATCACTCTGCTCTGAGAATTGATAATGGCGGTCGTGATGGAGTCTTGGTGGGAGTCAGCAGCTTCGCACAGCTTGAGACTAACCTTGCCGATCTTCAGAAGGGCCCGCTCCCGGAAGAGGTTGTGCAGGCTTTGGATCAGGCTTGGCTGGTTGCGAAGGCCAATTCTCCCAATTACTGGCATCTGGATCTGAAGTATACTTATGATACTCAGAAGGCGGTGTTTGGACCTAAGGAGTAAGGTATAGGGGAAGATTAAGGACTCTCTATGGGATCATTGTACATGAATGGTAACTAGTGAAAACCAATGACAATTCAAGGAATTATGGAGCTATCCAACATGGATTAACAATTTCTATCATACTTTGGACATAGGAGCTGGAGTAAGACCAAACATTTGACAATGGTAGTCAGACACTCCTGTTAATCCGTGGTGAAATAGATCAGTAAGTTTTAATATTGTATATCGCAGGTATATCTTCTGATCCCTGGTTATACATAAAAAGTCTCTTGCAGAAAGTATGCTTTTTTATACCGCCTTCATATACATCTAAAAAGACATTTAAGAAAACTAACTAAAAAGACCCGACAAGGCCGGTTTGCGGCCGACTATTCTCATTCTGATATAATTTGAGAACCTCCGATCTCCCCCAAATCCTGAAATAGCTGAATGACGTAGTTACATGCGCTAAGTCCAATCCGGAATAGTGTGCGCCCGATCGAGATCACGTGCATTAGTCACAGGGGTCCACAAGTGGATGATGACACCTGAAGGTGGTCATTTTGTTACGCCTCATTGGATTTCTGATCGTCTTCAACCTGAGTGTTGATACATTCTGCGCTTTATTCCCATCCGATACAATAACTATTACTCAGTGGATTGCACCTACCATTTGAGCTACAACTATCCTCGATCGATATCGAGTCGCATGTATCCTGTGAACGGCTGTGCAGCAGCTATTGAACACGTGGAAATAGGCTCCATGGGTAACCCTTTCCGGAAAAATAAACTCTAGCCACGTTATCCGCATCACTTGGATGGGTGGCCTTTGAATAGTCCACGCCTCAGCTCCTTCTTCCTATTTTTCCCCGCAAGCGCAGTAAATTGGACAAGAACACCCCTGACCGGGATTCATGTCGAGGTAGTTAAGCCGACTCGCACCTTCCCTCACCATCGCCGTTGTGGCTTCGGATAGCTTTGAGCTTTCAGAGCCGCGGGTGACCTCAGCCCCGGACGCAGTCCACGACTCCGACTCTGACGACGAGATGGTTGTCAATCGCCCCCCATTACACCGACCAACAGACGGCCGCTCGCAACAACCCCTCCTCAAAGATGATCGCCATCGTCGGTCCAATTCCCGCTCGAGCCTCGGGAATGGCGACGCAGAAGTCCGGCCCATGCTGCATGAAACCAGACGGCCGACAATCCGGAGTAAAAGTCCGGAACGTGACGCTGCCAAAGCAACCCGCAAGAAATACCTGGTTGCATCGGGTTTCCTCTTGCTCAGTTTGATCAGCTTCGTGGTACAAACGGAGACTGCTTCATACATTCAAAATGAGTTGCATTGGAAGAAGCCGTATTGCATGCTGTAAGTCCGAGCGCAAAAATGCCACCGACAAGCCCACGCGCGACACCCGTTCCCCGGAATATAAACGCTTACCATTTCATTTCCCTACGCAGCTATATGACTCACGGGTCATGGTCCTTGCTCTGGCTGGTCCAGCTAGGTATCCTTCGGTTACAGAAACGGAAGCTCACTTGGGACGCTTTCTGGCGGCGCCATGTCTCTTTCCTTCGCACCACTGCGCAGATGGTAGAATCCCAGGAAGTCCATCTGAGCACTCGCGCGTCCAATCGATCTCCGGTTCGCTACATGCTGAAGACCACCGCCTTTGTAACTACTGCCCTCACAATCGCCGGAGGATCATGGTACGTGGCAGTCAACATGACCACTCCCAGCGACCTCACAGCAATCTACAACTGCTCGGCGTTCTTCGCATATGCCTTTTCAATTCCGCTATTGAAGGAGAAACTACGGGTTGACAAGGTGTTTTCCGTGGCTGTGGCTACCATTGGCGTCATGGTCGTTGCCTATGGGGATGGGCCAAATAAGAAGGTTTCAAAAGGAGGCACACATGAGAATGGGGCGCAGAACAGATTGCTCGGAAACATCGTTATTGGCGTTGGAAGCATTCTATATGGGCTTTACGAGGTGCTCTATAAACGCTTTGCCTGTCCTCCAGAAGGTACCAGCCCCGGCCGGGGTACGATCTTTGCCAACACTTTTGGAAGTCTAATCGGGGTTTTTACCTTGTTGGTACTATGGATTCCATTGCCATTTTTGCACTGGACGGGATGGGAGACATTTGAATGGCCGACTGGCGAAGCAGCATGGATGCTGCTCATCTCCGTGGGTGCCAATGCTAGTAAGTACCAAATCAGTGTTTCAATACACACACATACAGGACAGAGGCTAACACCAAAATAGCATTCTCGGGCTCTTTCCTTGTGCTCATCTCCCTCACATCGCCCGTTCTATCATCTGTAGCCGCTCTCCTTACCATTTTCCTCGTCGCTCTGGTGGACTGGTTCCGAACCGGAAACTCACTTTCTATGGCCTCTATTATTGGAGGTGTTTTGATCACGGTGGCATTCTTCATGTTGAGCTACAGTACGTATAGAGAGATGAATGAGGAGCGGAAGAAGCATCTAGTGAACGATGAGCTCGAGTCGGATAGTGATGCATAGATGTATCCTATGGATGGTGTGTTTCGGGGTGTTTTTACATACAGCATTTGAATTAGTGTCCAGCGTTTCTGACATATAAAACTTGCAAATATTTTTTAACACGCTTGTTCAAGATGATAATAGGATCTCATGCACTAGATGTGACAGTTTGGGGATACTTCGGCTGGGGGTTGCCCCAGATTCTGTGAATTCCATGGTTCATCCTTCGATTTATCGTAGATGAACCAGACTTGTCGTAACGAAAACCTGGCTGTGACATCATGAAATTTATTTTTTTCCATTCTGTCTCAGGTATGTCCGAATGAGCTTCTCTTTACTTAGACCCTTAAGATGGCAGATGAATTTCCCGTGGATATCGGCATCCCGCATATCCGAACTTTAGAGATTAATTCGTACCCTCGTATATACTATGTTGTACTGAGTACATAGTACGATGTACATTGCATGTTAATTTCCTTTTGCCTTGGCAATCGCATGGTCCGCGAATCAGATCCACTGCGTAAATTAATCTTCAATGATCATTTTAGTCCATTATACGGTGTACCTATCGGGTAATTTAAAAGTTCTGATGTAAATATGAAGTAGAGAAGAACGGTGAGAAACAAGCGCGAACTACTCGACAAGTCAACTTTTAAAGTCGTCGTACAGATGCACATGCAGACCATTTCCAGATTCAAAGCCAGGATCTGCCGTTGCCGCCCCAATTGATTTCAAGACGATCAACCCCCCACGACCCAATGACCCCCCAAACCCCCCCGGTCAAAGCCGCCATTGTTATTGGGTTAAACAAAGAAAGTGGTCCACCGAACGCTAGGGGGTGAAATAATGTTTCAGAGCGCCAGGAGAGTCCGTTTGTCTTTGTATCGTTACCCCCTGTCAAATGGCGCTAAGATATGTCTCGCGCCACTATTTATATCCGATCTGGCTCCGCAGCCAAGACTCAAGCAATGGAGAATGGGAAGTTTGGTTTCAAGTCTGACAATCTCCCGTCATCCACATGAAAATGTGACTTTTGGTAGTCAATTGATAAGAATTTCATATTCACACATTCTTCCATGGCCTAGCCTGGGCTCGGCAATCGAGACCTCTCCCCAACATGGATATCATCCCCTTGACTTGCAGCCCCCCAGCGTGGCGCACTATCCCTCGAGGACCCACCAAGTCAAGCGAGATTCGGATGGTCATTTAGCCCGACTGATTGGCAGTGATAATACCCGCTTTTTTCTCCGGATGCGACCCCGATTTGATTGGTGCCTTGAGGACCCCAGGATTGAAATAGGTGCCCTTTTTACAGGCACCGTACAAAGTACGACAGTGGATGCGAGTAATGAACCACTTTTCACGGGAGGAACGCTACCCTTGGAAGTGAATTCGGATTCGTATTTTCTAGTAAGTCATGACGTCCTCTATTCCGTACTTAGAATCGGTATGATTATTCAATAGGTGAATGATAGTCTGGAGCACGATGGGGTATTGAGGGGTGAAATGGTCACATTCCTCAGAGAAAACCTTCTATTCCCTGTTCTATTGATTTTTTTTGACAGGCAGATGTCACCCAATCTGGCATCTGCCCCGAAATGTCATTTGTACCTGGAATACAGAGTACTGTATTATGTATTCTATCTAAAGATTTCCTTCAGGGAGATGAACTAAAGTACGGGGTACAAGGGATTCATTACCCTGTCTATTTCCTAGTTCAGAGAAATTCAGAGAGGAATAGGTAACTCCTATCTATAATATAGACTTTTAAAACCCTGTATGTAATAATCTCGTTCATCCCCAACCCCCAATAATTGACCCCATTGATTGGTTTGCCCCCGTCGGATGGCAACGGGTGATACCGTGTATGGTAATTAAGATACAGCCCCAATCCAGGTTCCCATCCAGGTTCCCCTCCTGGATTTGTTGTTCTCTTTGGCTTCTTCTCTCTTCAACTTCTCTACGACCAACTTTTCCACCCTCCCCTCTTTGGCCTTCGTCGTGGCCGTCCGTTCATTTTCTATCCTTTTGGATACCGCTGGTGGTCGCTTCGACTTGATCTCACTCGTTCCTTTCTGCCTGGCGCGGATTCAATGACCCTCGCCCAAGCTGCTTAAACTTGACCTCCAGATTCCTAGGCTTTCTCGCTGAAGGGAAGTCGGTCTGGAGGTCTTCGCCCATCTGGATCGAATCGGGCTTTCATCGTCACTCCGCCAAATTTCTTTATCGCCGCATCCTTTTGTTTTTTTTCTTGCCTGCAATCATGGCTTCGATTTCACTTCCTCCGCAGTCCCAGGCGGGCTTCCCGCCACATTTTGATACCTCGAATCAGTCCGACAGCCCCGATCGTCGCCAGCACATGCACACACCATTGCCTAATCCCCCATTTGTCTTTCCAGCACGGGACCCAGACTCCCCCAATAACCAATCGGAGACCCCTGAGCGCTGGGAACGTGCCGCATTGCCCGCATTCTCTTTTAATCCTGGATCGGAACAGCAGTCACCACACCTCTCAGCGCCCTCCTTGTCGAATCCTCGCGCGGGCGGACACCGTCGGCGACCAAGCGAGTTTGTTGGAACCGACCACTTGGTAACACCGGAAACAATTGGACCAGGTCACAAACGGGCGTCGTCTATGACAAATCAACATCTTCCACCTCCAGGGCCTGGTGTTGGCAGGGTTCCTGGACGACGGAACCATGCCCATCGCCGGTCAGCTGCGATCTCTAATGTCGACTTGAACGCCATCACCAAGGCACTTGGCCCTAATTCTGGGATGGCAAGTGCCCCTTCCACACCCGCCGACCCTTACCATAAATCTGCATCTGATATTCCTTCGCGACCGCTATCTCAACCGGCTGTTAGCCTCGGCCGCCCCACGCCCCCTGCATCTCCTCAATTCCCTCCCGTCCCTCCTGTGCCTTCCATTCCGGCTGCCATTCAGGCGGAAATCGCCCTGAACGACCAGGCATCGAATGTCGAACGACCAGTCTCTGCTGTTTCGCATGGTAATTCGGATAGTTTGCCTACAATTAAGTTGGAGCAAGAAGTGGAGAAGCCCACGTTCTCCGATCGAGTAACGACAAGACCTGATTACAACCCAAAAACTAGACCAAAAACTGCCGATGCCTCTTTGGTGATGGATTTTATGCAAATGGATGACGATTCAGGGTCCTCTATCAAACGTTCGCACTCAGCTGCTGGGCACTCACGCTCTCGGAAGAGCAAGTCGACACCACATCTCGATTCTACTCTCTCGCCCGATGATATTCAGTCGACGGACAACTACCGGCCCTCATTTTCGGATGATGGTTCCGATACATCTGGTGACGAAGCGACAGAGAACTTGTCTGAAAAATGCCCTATTAAGTCGAAAAAGAAGAAGCAGAAACGTGTTCGCTCTTGGGCCGGTCACATTCTAACTCGAACCAAGAGCAAAGGTAAGGGCAAGCGCCACGCGAAGGCTGACACAAAGGAGGAGCCGCCTGTACCTCGCGCTCTTGCACCTCGCCCCCCTGCTCTTACCCGGACCAACTCGGGGACCGGATCAGTTTTGGATGTTGATTTTGATAATGACGACGTCGTTGTCATCCGGACACCGACCAATCCGACAATGCCTCCTTCTGCCCTTCAGCCCATTCAAAATGATCACCAAACCGATAGTGGTTGTTCTTTGTCTGCACAATCTCTAGAGACCTCGTGGAAACCGAGGAGCTTTTATGAACAGGGTATCGGTTCGCACGACAATGTACTAAGTAGCCCTATCATCGACCTCGATGCTGCGCTTGGCCCTTTCAACACTCCAGATATGCGGCCACTGACGCAGGGTGCGCCCAACAATAACTTTTCTGTTGCAACTCAGAGGATGTACAGCGGTGGAAGACGGGGTGAATTTGTCGGCCCAGAAATGCGCTACCATCGGCGCACTGAAAGTGCTCCAGCGCTGCAACCATTCGACCGCACTGCTCTAGGCGCATTCCGTTTGGGTCCGACCCCAGCGGTAGAAACGCCAGATGTGTTTGACGAGGAGGAGGAGGATGCTTTCTTGGCTGCCTCCCAACCACCCAAGGGCGAGCGGCTTCCTGTGAACGCGCCGCCGATCGACAACGCAGTTTTCTCGTCATCTGAAGATGATGTGAAATCTCTTCACAGCAATGCTACCTCCGGCACTAGCGATACTTTGACTCGTGCCCCCACCGGTAGCACCTCCTCTCAGAATGCTGGCTTGGGTATTCGACAAGGCGATAAACATCTGAACCAAGAACAGATGGAACAAAGAAGTGCGCTTGAGCAAATGCATAATGCCAGCAATCCTTTCGCCAGCAAGCCTCGAACCCCCGTGGAAATTTTAAAGACGGAAGAACCTGCGCATAAGGTCATCGGACCTCCCAGTCCCGAAATTTCTCCTCGGTTCTTAGCTATCGACAAGCGACCAGCGACCTCGCCCATTGAGCTGCTGCCTAACATTCCACCATTTGCGTTGCAACCGGGGGTTTCTCCGTCTGACTCGTCTTTCCCGTCTCCAGATGCTCCACGGTCCATTGCGGCATCCTCGATGACCGATCGGAACTTTTCTAGTCACTCGTATCATCATCTTCCTTCGGCGGAATATCCTTACGCATCGGTTGATGATGTTCCATCTTTGACCAGCAGTGCATCGACTATGACCAACACTCTGAATCGTTTCTCGGCGGCTTCATTCTTCCCCCGTGGGCGGCTTTCTGCTGACCGCGCAGCGTCCTTCTCAGCTGCCGGTACCAGACGTACAAGTCAGGCTAACGCCTCCAAACGCTCTAGTCTAGCCAGCCTTTCCAAGCTGGTTGGTGGTCCCCATTCTGAGCGGAGCAAGCTCAACCAGGAGGAGAAACCCCCGAGCAACGCATCCGACAAAACTAAGAAGAAGGGCCGCCGTCTCAGCCGAATGATGCACTTCTGGAAACCCAAGGACAAAGAAAAGTCTTCGAATCAGGCGGCACCAGCAAACGAACAGCCACAGTCATAAGCGCGATGCGCATTGGTTTTGATATTTTTAATTCGATTTACGGCGCAACCTCGGCATAGCGACATCCTGGCAATTATTTTGAGACATCACATTACTCCCCCTGCTTTTCCCTTGCCCACTTTCGACCGCGTGGGCGTCTTCTTTCACCCGATTTGTACATATTGTGTTCCGTTCAGCTTTCCTGTGGATTTGTTTTCTCCATCTTCCTCGGCGGTTCTATTTTTGCGTCTTGCACCAAGACGCTCATTACGAATTTCTTTACCTCTCAAGGCGTTCTTGTCTTGGGTATGATCTATCCTTTTTCTTGTCAATCCTTATGTTCCGGTGTGAGTGACGCACGGATTTATTGACTTTCTCTACGATCATTGCTCCTCCACGGGCTTTTTTCTTCCCATTTTTATTCTGATTTTGCTCGAGGTCCTTGGCCTGGAATATCATTCGTCCCCATTGGAATCTCCATTGGGTCCCTTTTTTTCAAATCCGGGACGTGGCTGTCTGTATCTATTGTGTGGTTTTTGTGTCTACACTACTCAGGTGGTGTGGCATTCGTCAAGAAATTTTCCATGTCCGATTACACAATTAGCGGATAATGAAACCACTCTCTTCAATTGCATATCCTAGTTCTTGTAAGATTTGTGAATATTGAAGTTGTAAGAAATAGCGAATAATCGTAGATCAATCCTTTATATATATACTTGCTTGTCTCCCAGTTCGACTCTCTGCGTCAAGTCGGGCTGCTCAGAAATTTGGCCCAGTGGCGCAGTGGTTAACGCGCCGTGCTTGTATTATATATATAGGAACACGGAGACCGGGGGTTCGACTCCCCCCTAGGCCCTCTTGCTTGGTTTTTTTGTTAATCATATATCTATCTATACATAGTAAGGTTTGTAACACACACCCTGAAAGTATATATAGGACGTCCCCGTTAGACTAGGAGGGTGTGCGTTCGGTTAGATTAGAAAGTTTTTCCAAGCGGATCAACTCAAGAGTGACATGTACGACGGGGTATTCAGGTGAGTCTATGTGGTGGGTACCATGTAGTAGGAAGGCTTTAAAGATATGGCGGTGAACGAGCTATGTTCATTCACGGACCATTTCAGTCAATCAAATCATCAATCATCACCGTCTGTCAACTTTGCAACATTTTTCGCGACTATGCGAATGGGCTCATAGGATAGGTGAGCTCGTAATGGCATGTTTGCCCGGACTGGAATACGAAGCTATTCGCACTTCAAACCAACCGAACCAACCATGGAAGACTTTTCACCCTCTTGGTTTTGCTGATCTCTATGACTCAGAAGTTCACACAAAGGGCTGCCAAGTCGAAGTTTGAAATTTGAAGCAAAAGCCATAGCAGAGAGCGAATATAAGGTATATGGAAACATGGAAGTGCTCATCCCAGGTTCAGGGAAATCCACCGTCTTACCTAATCTTAAACGCGCGGGAGAGCTCTGTCCACAGGTGGACCTGGGCTCTCCCCCCATAGAGATGTCGGATCTGCAACCATCGTGAAGCTATTCTATTGAAGCGATTCAACTTTTACTTTCGGATACTACCCTTTCAATTCAAACTGTGTGCCTGAAAATTCTTTCAACGGTTCTGCTCGGGTTATTCAACTTGACACGTTCATTCCCTGTGTTTCCACTATTTACTAGTGTGTCTTGCACTCTCAGCGACATCGATTGAATTTATGCAAGTGCCTTCTTTCTGATTGAAGTTGCAACTTATTTGATCTCCGCGCCAATCGGTCAATACATCTAAACCTCATCTTTATCACGATTCCCGAGCGTCATAGTGAAGAGACTCGCAAATATTGTGCACAATGTCTAACGGAAATTCATTGAGAGAAGTGCCCATGTCACATAATGAGCAGTCTCATTATGTTCCCGCACAAGAGTATGGAGCTACTCCACGATATCCAACCTCAGGCGGGTCTCTCGGAGCAGCCTATTATGGGTTATCGGGCACCGGCAACGATGACACTGTAATCGTTGACCAGAAAAGTCTCAGCCGCGATTCCCACGACTTTGCAGAGGGAGACTTTGTTTGTCCAGGATTCTTCAGCCGCGTCGATCTTGGTGGGTTCACCCGTCGCTTCAACCCTTCGCAATGGAATTACGATATGCGCCGCCAAGCCCAGTCCATCCTTCCATTCTTATCTCTTGGCCCTTCATCATGTCTACGTGATGCCGATTACATCCGCAGCCAAGGGTTCACACTACTCCTTGCTATTCGAAGTCGTCACTCAGCCCTGGCACGCCTCGTCTCTGGCGAAAAGGCCGCCGCCGAGGTTGGTATTATGGCCGACACCGTTGATGTCCTTGACAATCAAGAGCTCATTTCTGCATTCCCACGTGCTATCCGCCGCATCAATGATCATCTGGCTGGTGTGGATGAGGGACCTGATAAGATGGCGTTCGATGGTCAACAACAGAAACGAAAAGTCCTAGTCTTCTGCGAATCTGGGAATGAACGCTCAGCCAGTGTTATCATTGCCTACATCATGGTCATGCTCAATATTCAGTCTGTAGAAGCCACCCACATGATTCAACAGCGTCGTTTCTGTGTCTCGATCGAGGACAATATGAAATACATACTCTCGTCTTTCGAGTCTATTCTTTCTGCTAAGCGTGATGTTGAGCGTGCTAGGGGAATTACCGTTCGTGGGGCTGCGAGTCTTGCGCCTCCACCTCCACCACAAATGCTTACGAAGAAGCGAAGTTTTCAAGATCATAGAAATGATGATCTTGCCTTGGAGGAGGGTGAAATGGATATGGACATGGATGAGGGTGAGGACCCCTTCTATGCGCGAAAGCCGAATGCTCCCTTCCAAGACCGTGTGGTCTAGAGCTGACCGAAGTCGTTTGTTGCGACTTTCTTTGGTTGGATTGTGAATGGCATTGTCACGTCATGGAGATGGGGAGAGAGACGGATACGCTGGAAGATGAAAGGGAACGAAGGGTATCTTTACATTGTGTAGAATAGGGTGGCTTTTTGCTTTTCTTTTATGTCTCCTTTATTGCTTGATGGTTCTTGTATGCAAATACCCAGCTTCAGTTGCTCATTGCTACTATCTTCCCGACATCTAGGCCATCACTGGCCATTACACCCTTATATTCTCATATCCGTAAGATCTTAAAAACGGGAAAGTTTCCACATAGAAGGTGTCTACAGTTTGTGTAGAAAAATTAAGGATGGGGTCAATATCGGAATTTGGTAAGTTTCAAGAGGCGCACAAGTTGATTGATGCCCTTAGGCATCTGACCTGGCGTTTGAACCCACCTTGTCTACTCTCAACTCGATCCCCTACCTTGCGGTTTCCTTTTCAAACAAATAGCTCGAGTCTTGCGCTGACTTTGCGCGACTTCAAAGCGACCCTCACCACCCCTTCTCCTGTCTTCCTTCATCTCGCGCGACAACATTTCCATCTCACGGCCATCCCACAATCACTCATCTCGCCCCTACGATGAAGCGCATGCTTTTCATTGACCTTTAACACGTACCTACCATCGATACACCCATACCATCCATTAAGCCCACCCCTCGTCCTTCCCCTACACCCCGCATCCCACGCCTCACCTCAACGCACCGCCAAAATGAGCGGCATGAGACTGCGCGACAGTATCCGCGCGCCGCTGCGATATGGCGAAGACGAAGACGAAACACCCTCACGGACCTCGCTACGACCCGGATACGATGACTCCTTGGACGACCCCTTAGAGCTTGGAGAATCAGGCAGACCACGCCCACAAAAGAGGCGCAAGCCAAACACTGTGCCATTCAACCCCGATCTCCCACCAGCTGCGTTTCCCAGTTTGAGCAGACCACACCCATCTCGTGCATCTACCAACTCCGCGCAGAATCACAGCGTTGGTGATAACCAACAGAACGCGCAGACAAGTGAAGTGGTACTTCCTCTCCGCAATGTTGGATCGATGCCAACTGTTCCATCGCCCCCGTCTGGGATACAGCGAGTCCCGATGGACCAGCTCGATAATTACGTCGCTAGTAACAACATGGACAACCCGATGTATGCGAGGAACGTAAACATGGCGCGTATGACTCGTGTGGATACCCCTCCTCCGGGTTCCGAGGACATGGTCACCTCTCCGGATAGTGATGATGACCCACTGCCAGATGCGACTCAGGTGCTCCTTGATGCGGTAAGTACACCTTGACCCTGTGTGAGTACAATTGAACGAGTCTAATGCGAGTTGTCGGTTTAGATCCCCAACCCAAAGTGGGGAGATCTGCACAAGGCTATGCAAGTTGAAATCGTCGAAAACACAATGAAATACCATAGCTGGAGACGTGTTTGCGACCTCCTTGGCCTTGGGCCAGACGAGCGAGAACAACTTATGCAGTGCATAAGCATTCGCAATAAACAGATCGAACGAGAAAACAAAAGACTGGAGCAAATGCGACACAAACAGCGCAAGGTACTCATGAGAATCGACAACAGCGACTTGAAGCATTTCAAGCCACCACCTCAACTGGTGCTGAAAAGGATCGCTCGGGAGACCAACCGGAACTTGTTGCTCACCAAGTACACGGACCTCTTGATGTGTCAAGCCCATGATGTCCTGAAAGCTAGACAGTACTTGCATCAGCACGGGCTACCTCGAAGATATGCTGGCGATTGGGGAGACAGCCTGGTGGTGCTGCGAGAATCCGAGGAGGACTCCCATGAACCCGACATCTTCGAATGGAAAGACAACCTAAGATTTAGTCCGTCTCCAAATGAGATTGAGACCCCACTCAATCCCTTTATGGACCCAATCAGTAGTGCCAAGAGTGCATTCATTCAAAGTATTGGCATGAACGGCACAATGAACCCAATCGATCTAGTTCGACGCAACACTGATCCGGGTCCCATGATGGACTGGGGAAAGTATTATGAGCGGAAACCAGACTCGTCTTGGGACACCACAAAGCCTCGACTCGGTGGACTGGTCAGGGTGAATGTCGGGCCACACAACGCCGCGCAGATCAAACAATGCGAGGAAGCTGGTGTTAGACCTGAAGGATCGTCCTCTCAGATACAAGTCCCCACCATGCCAGAGTCACCTCCGTCAGACTTCCCACAAGAAACACCGTCCAAGCCGCCGCGGAACGGAAGTCTCACCGAGCCCGTTTTCCGGAAGCCTGCCAGACCTTTCAGCAGACTCCTCACCGGAAACCGGTCCTCGGTAGGGTTCAACCCATCAGAGAGCCATCTCAAGTATCAACGAAGCATGCAGCAGGCCAGGCTTGAAAAAATAGATGCTGAGGCAGAGGTGATGCGCCGTCAGTATAACTACCAGCCAACCCTCCGTGTTAATGGCGTTGGTGTTGGAATCAGTCCCACGCATGGAAACCTTCAGACATTTCCCTTGACCAAGCTAGTCGAAAAAGACTTGCCTTCGAATTTCTTCGCCCGGGCGTACCGTGGAATGACAGCGATGAACGTTGACCGCCTCATGGATGAATTTGTCTGCTATGAGCCTATTGCGATGAACGAACAAAGCGAGCCCGAGCAACCCGAGGATGAGCAGCCCGATGAGCAACCAAGTTCCACTGATATCAGCTCGATCACTGAGATATCCATGGATGATGTGATGCTGGTGCCGACAGATGGCTGTTCTTCTTCGGAGTAGAGGGATGGAACTAAGAAATATTGAGGAAACAATCAAGGATTCTAGGATATGAGACCATCTTCTTCATTTCAAACTTTTTCATGATTCATTTGTGTAATGTTATCAATGTATGATAGTCTTGAATGATGATAAAGTCAACTTCTCCAGTCCGTGCAGTTCAAGGGGCGTCTAATTTAGGCCTGGTCCGTGCGTCGAACGCGAAAATGCCGCGTCGAGGACGCGCTCTAATTTGATCTTAGATATATCACAAACCAACGTCCAATCGTGCGCAGCATTTGTCTGAAGTAAGAGTGCCCATTGGTCGGAAACTTATGTTCACCCGGTGTCTGGTATTGCATTCATTTACCTCTCGCCCCCGCAAAACTTGACGTCGCGAAAACTTCTTCACCCCTGCGCATGACGTACCCTCTTTATCCATCTAGTGCCCGCTTTAGATAACTCACTCTCTTTACTTTGTTACTCAATTCTATCAGGCAAAATGTCTGCTGAAGATACCTCTACTCCCACGGATTCTCGCGCGGGGACTATGGCGCCCGAGTCGGTTGTTCCTTCGTCGCCGCTCACGGACCCGACTGAGGCTGAAGACTCGAAGTCCTCTCATGACAAAGAAGATGACGATTCCAAGGCAAATTTGACGGATTCGGAAGATGTCGAGGGGATGGACAGCAAGGCCAAGGCCTTGATGCATTTGTTGAAAACCAGCTCGGTACGTGTCCGGTCCATCCTCGTCTGATCTGATTACAGTGGTCTGATATCTTCTCGCACCTACAGGTCTTTGTCGCTATCATGTCAGAGAAAATGAAGAAGCAACAAGAGGATGCACGCTTGGCGGCGATCAAGCACCGCGAACAAAATGCCGCGACTCAGAAGAAAACCAAGTCGCCTCCCGAGCCTGCTCGCCGAGCCACTCGAACTCGGGCAAACCAAGATGCGACGGAAGAGAACAAACCCACCAACGAAAAGACTGCAGGATCGACCAGAGGTCGACCTAAGCGGGGAGCCGCCGCGAATGGCAGTTCGATTTCTAGTTACTTCAAAAAGGCCGACGTGGAAGTGACTGAAGACAATCCCTCGGTGCAGCAAGCTCTTGAACAGGCTGCAGATGACTACGAATCAAACCCCACAGCTCTTGGTGAGCAGGAATTGGTCGCGACACAGCAGCCAAAACTTGTGAGCGGCGGCAAAATGAGAACATACCAGTTGGAGGGCCTCGAATGGCTCAAGACTCTATGGATGAATGGGCTTTGTGGCATTCTTGCCGATGAGATGGGCCTTGGAAAGACTGTTCAAGCAATTTCCATGATTGCTTTCCTCAAAGAGAATAATATCTCAGGACCCTTCTTGATTGCAGCACCACTGAGCACGGTGAGCAATTGGGTGGATGAGTTCGCCCGGTGGACCCCGGAAATAAAAACGGTTTTGTACCACGGCTCCAAAGATGAGCGCGCTGCCTTGCGCAGAAAACACATGAAAATGAAAGACCAGGGAGATATGGACTTCCCAGTGGTATGCACATCCTACGAGATTTGCATGAATGACCGCAAGTTCTTGGGTCAATATCAATGGCGCTATATTGTTGTTGTACGTTTCCTCGCGTTCCTTTTTATTTATAAGACAGACGCTAATTGATCTGCAGGATGAGGGCCACCGCCTGAAAAACATGAATTGTAAGCTCATCAAAGAGCTTTTGACCTATAACTCAGCAAATCGTCTTCTGATCACTGGAACGCCGCTCCAGAACAACATCTCAGAGTTGTGGTCACTTTTACATTTCCTGCTCCCGGAGGTTTTCAACGATCTCAACTCATTCGAGGGTTGGTTTGATTTCTCCTCTGTGTTGGATAACAAGGGCCAGGCGGGCCTTGTGGAAAAACGGAAACGTAACTTGGTCACTAGTATGCATGCTATCCTCAAGCCGTTCCTTCTGCGGCGCTTGAAGACCGATGTGGAGACTTCGCTTCCCAAGAAGCGGGAGTACATTCTGTACGCCCCTCTGACCCCTGAGCAAAAGGATCTCTATCGAGAGATCATCAATGGTACGGGGCGCCAGTATCTAGAAGGAAAGGCCCTGGAGCGTTTGGAGAGCAAGAGCGGTAGCTCTACGCGCTCGCAAAGCATGAAGCGCAAACGGAATGGCACTGACGATGCAACGCCGGTTAAGAGCGCCAGATCCAGTGGGCTATCCACACCGGCTAGCAATGGAAATAATTCTAACCGCCGTCGCCGACGCAGTACGCGTCAGAGTTACAATGATCTAAGTGATGGAGAGTTTGATGAGCACCTCCGCAAACTCGAGCTGGGAATTGAAGAAGAGGAAAAGAAGGTCGAGCCCAGCGATACTGAGCTCGAAGACATGCAGCGGGCTGAGAATCTCAAGCTTGCCAGTACGTCACGTTCAAGTCATATTTCCTAGTCCTTTTTGCTAATATTGTCTTGCAGAGAAAGAGATTGGGCAAAAGAAGATGCAGAACCCAGTTTTACAAGCACGTCTTGCATGCAACTCTCCGCATAATTTCTACTGGCCCTGGATGGACGAGTCCTCGTCCGTAGATGAAACCCTCGTCTCCGCCTCCGGAAAGATGCTGTTGTTGGACCGCTTGGTCTCGTGTTTGCTTGAGAAGGGCCATAAGATTCTGATTTTCTCTCAATTCAAAACTCAACTTGATATCATCGAAGAGTGGATAACGACACTCCGCTCCTGGGAGTGTTGCCGAATCGACGGCGCTATTGCACAGTCAGACCGCCAGGCTCAGATTAAAAACTTCAATACCAAGAAGAGTCACAAGCTTTTCCTCCTGAGCACCCGAGCTGGTGGTCAAGGAATCAACCTCACCGCGGCTGACACCGTCATCATCTTTGATTCTGACTGGAATCCACAGCAAGATCTGCAGGCTCAGGATCGAGCCCACCGCATTGGCCAGACCAGGCCAGTGATTATCTACAGATTGGCGACGAAGGGTACCGTTGAGCAGACACTCCTTGAGAAAGCGGATTCCAAGCGTCGCCTCGAACGTCTAGTCATTCAAAAAGGCAAATTCCGCTCCTTGCTTGACCCCAGCATCAATTCCCAGGATGTCGACGAACTGCGCAAGGTTCTTGGCGAGAACGAGTTCGAGCGGTTCGAAGTTGGTAGTGACCCTACTTCGATCTTGTCGAATGAAGACCTTGATATCTTGACCGATCGCTCCGAGGAGGCTTACCTGCGTGCCGAGAAGGGTTTGGATACGAAAGGAGCTGCGTTTGTTGCAGTTGAAACGAAGCGTGATCCTGGTGAGAGCATTCTCTCTTGAGATGTTGAATGGCTGTCTACCTTATTTTTTCCCTTCCATCCAAGCTTCATGCTGGATGATGTCCAATGGTTACTGGATTGTAACAATATCTATGGTGGGCTGGCTGGTTTGTTTGGCGTTGACCTACAGGGTGGGATGGGTGGCTTGTTCGTCTATTAATTGCTACACTTCGCGTTCTAGTCTGGTAGATACCTAGACTCTGATACATCCTTGCTATTGTACCATATGTTAAATTATTTCGATGTTTCTTGCCCTCAGAAATGAAGATGCAAAGAAAATCCATGTGATATGTGATGCCAATGGAAATTTGAAACATATTCCAAAGTGTTCATGATGGGAAAGATATCAGCTATATCTCAATTTAAGTGGCACCAATTAATAGCATGAAAATAGGTATTAACGAACGCGATAAAGCCTCGTGAAGTAAAGGCTGGGGATTGGCTAGGTTGTAGGTACTTCTCGAGATCAACACCCAAAAAAATACGTGGTTTGAAAGTGGGTACTAAGTCTTGTGCCTCAACGGGCATCAGTTTATTGACTCTATTGACCCTGTTCTCAGCAACAGCCTCCTTGTTGGCCTTCTAGTGCTTATCAAATACAGGCTACAAGAATCCTCAATCTATAGTAACAACCGAGTTTTTCTATGCTCTATTTTTTTCTCCTGGGTCATCATCTCAATCTATATGCTCCATCAAATTGCCCGTGGCCAGTCGTTGTAGTTCTCATTCGGGTCGTGGTAAGGTCCATAGTTGACCATTCCACCTCGCTGATTGGAGGCAAGAGGGATCCCAGACACCAAGCGGGTTATCAAATCCTATTGGTAAATTGAGATAAGCCAATTAAGTCACTATAATGAAAAAGGTATTGGCAGGATCACGAACCGGGTTGTAGATGAATGGCCGTCCAAACTGGACTAGGTCAATTTGACCTGTCATGATGAGATATTCTGCTTCCTCGAAGGTATACTCGTGGTTCACCATCAACATGGTATTGCTTCCGGGGTATTTGATCATCTTCCCGAACTGCTTCAATGGCTCGTAGTTTGGTGGCAACACCTTGTCTTCTGGCCTGGGATTTGATTTGAAATAATCATCCTGGTTTCTGCCAAGATCACACCCTCTGCGAGAAATATTAATGAAGCCTAGATTGCGCTTTATTAACTCCTGGATGTAATAGGTGTAGGTTTCCGTCAACTCTTCATAGCTGACCATCGTATCATTGTAGTCGTCGGATGGGCAAAACTTGATTCCCACGGCTCGTGGGCCCCAAACTGATATGATGGCATCGAGTACCTCCAAGGGGAACCTGCATCGATTTTCCACCGATCCTCCATATTCATCGCTCCGAGCATTGGAATGACTAATGTCTGTAAGATTTCAATTCAAGTTGCAAGAAAGGCGTTACGACGTACCTGCAAAGGAAGTTGTGCAATAGATAGCCACTAACGAAATCTGTTAGTCTGGAACGAATTCAATAGTATTCCATAAAAGAGGCTCATACCCTTGGGAGAGCAATTCAATCCCGTCAAAGCCTGCTTCCTTTGCCAAAACACAAGAGGTTCGATACTGATCCACAATATCTTTGACATTTTCAATCTCGGTAATGTTTTCAGTGTGTCCCTTTCGATACGTCAGCCATCTGGCGATTGGTGGTGCCTAGGGATACCGGTGTTCCATCCAAGGTTCGGAATTTGCCTCCCTTGGCCTTGATCTTCGAAGGTGCGAGAACAGGATAGTTATACTCCTTGAGCATGGGCATATTTTCGTTCTGGATTCGGCCTAAACATGGCCAATTTAGTATATTATTTATCAACTATTACCGGCGTCATTCTGAAGGCGTACCAGGATGCCATGGCTGGAACAAAATCTTTCCCCCGTCTTGGTGGAATGCATCAGTGACAACTTTCCAAGCCTCTGAATGGCTCTTGTCAAACATCACTGGTGCGTGGGGCCATTCAGCGCCATGCGGGGAAATGAATGTCCCTTCTGCGACAATGAGACCCGTGCCATCTCGAGCACGCTCGGCGTAATGAGACTTGGTTGCTACCGTCGGCTTTCCATTGTCAGTGCAGCGATTGTGTGTCATAGACCCCATACAAATACGATTCCTTAAAGGAATGGTAGCGCCAAGAGTAACCGACTCTAATAGGGGGGACATTTTGACACAGGTTGGAGTATGTGGCATAGAGTCAAAGAGGTGACGGATAAAAGTTTTTATTTTTGCTAGTTAAAGCAGTTTAGTAGATCAAATGCATATCTCTCTTTACCCACTTGTTATGACACCTAATGACAAATGGGCTAAAGCCAGAGCTTGTGTCCATCGTGTTGCGGGATATAAATCCCGCAAACTACGGGAAAACGTCGGCAGTGAAAATGAACCTGCAAATTACTTGTGCTGAGTTGAAAACAGTATCGTCATTCAAATTATTGGAACAAGAATAGTCCGCCGCGTTCACGACCTTATCCCGCCTTTTTGATAGTCTTGTTTAGATACTGTCCCCCTATTGGTGTTCTAGGTAGAGTATAGACGGTAGAAACCGTGAAAATGACCTTGCTATGTGTAACTTCGACTACAAAGTGCTATTATCTACTCACTCATCATACAGATTAAACTTAGTGTAACTATAACACATATTATTAGACTTCGAGCAATATGAATCCAACTCGTTATGAAGGCTTTTATCAAACACACTATGGCATTTGCGTTGCACCTCCTTTTGAACACCTCGATCTATATGTATTAATCACTATTTCATGCAATGGTTGTGGATATGCAAAATGAGACGATAGGAATTCACATTCCGCATAGTGGGGCTAACCCAATCCGGTATTGGATGTATAAGTGCTTTCTGATCGTATCCCGACCACTGAACTACTTTCCACATCTTGGAATCGAAAACCCCTCACTTATTTATCGTTTTTCTTCTTTCTATTCAATTCAGTACCCCGGTTCATCATGTCTCACCTGAAATTCTACGCATACGAAGGGGCCGGAACCCAAAAGCAGCGGGATTTCTGGTATAGCCAAGCCGTTCGTGTGGGCGAGCGGATTGAATGTGCAGGTCAAGGTTTGTGACAGCAACCTTTGACCCTGATCAATTCCCCAAAATCTACCTTAGAAAAGACTTGACTGACACGGAATGGCCCGTGTGACGTATAAGTGGCTGGGACCCTGTTACGGGCGAATTTGAGAGGGAAATCAATGCACAAATTGACCTTGCGTTTTCCAATGTGGAGCGTTGCTTGAAAGATGCTGGTGGAAAGGGCTGGTCACAAGTATACCGCGTGAATTCATACCACGTTCCAATCAATAACGAGGCCCTAGCGGCGATGGTCCGTAACTTCAAAAAATACATGCCGGACCACCAGCCTATCTGGACCTGTGTTGGCGTTCCTCGATTGGGTGAGGATGATATGCGTGTCGAAATCGAGGTGGTCGCTCATGACCCTGAAGGTGCTAAAGTGGCTGCTTCTTCTTAAGAGTTGGAAGGGGGTGAATGGGCTTGTTATGCTTGAGCGTCTGAGGCAAATACTTAGCCCAAGGCTATATTTAAGGCATCATGATTGTCAAAATGATGTCATGGATGGGACACCTGGGGAGCTTTTGTTAGGTATCACTTATAGCCTCAGATTAGGGAGATTCTCAAGTGGGATTCTCACCGTTCTAAACCCGGATCTTTCATAAGAATGCAAAACTACCAAATGCAAAAATATATTTCTGTAGTATATATGAGAATTAGCTAGCAGTGCAAGATTGATTATATTTGCAAACTATATAACGATCTAAGTCTAGTAATTTTTACTCTATCCACCTCTTGCTCGGTCATTGTGGACCATGCAAGTGGTTGAAATTATTCAAACCAAGAGATAATACATTTATGATGCTTTGTGGCACAAGGAGAGGTATGATTTTAGTTGAAGCAAGTTGGAGGGTGTGATAATTATTAGACAACAAGGTTTCAAGACAGTTATACTATCTCAGCGGTCAAAGAGCCACGTAGTTCAGAACTGCGGCCTAAAACTTTATGGCTGGTGTGTGGGCCTCGAACAAGGCATCAAGTTCAGAGAAGGATTTCCCCTTGGTCTCGGGAATACAGAAAAAGCATACTCCACACAGGAAGATACCAAATCCAAGGAACAAAAGGCCCGACTTTGGCCCGAGGTTCGCGTTATCTTTGTTGACCAAGTAAGGAATGGCAATAGACCAGACCATGTTGACTAACGAGCTGGAAAGCGCGGCAATGGATGTCGTCTTCGCACGCAAGCGTGAAGACGAGATTTCTCCCACTATAACCCAGCCCACTGCACCAACAGAAGCATAGTAGAAGACTGCCCATATGATGCAGAAAGCAGCCAAGGCGCGGTAATTCCATGTCTCTCCCACTCCCAGGAATCCCAACAGTGAGATAATGAGGAGGCAGACTAGCATACCGTAAGTACCACCAAGGAGTTGTTTTCGGCGTCCCACCCGTTCAATTAAGGAAAAGGCGAAAAGACTCGCAACTAGGGAGCATACTACAGAGATGACTGTAATGAGGAATGCATTACTCATTCCCGACAAAGTGAGGAAGTATGACAGATAATTGCCGCAGAGGGGGTAGCCAATGAAAATCTGCATCACCAATGGTAGACATGCGAGGAGCGTTCGACGGAGGTTAGACCCCTGGAAGCATTCGATGAAGGAAGCTGATGTTTCGTTGGCCTGCTGTTCATGGGCCAGAGTCTCTTGTATCTCACGTAGCTCATCCTCGCAGTCAATGTTCTGCCCTGCCCGAAGCTTGGAAATTGCCGCCCTTGCATCTTCCAGTCTGCCTTTTGCGACGAGAAAATAGGGAGACTCTGGGACAAACGGAATAAAGACGGCTAGACAAAAGAAGGCGGGACCGAATTGAGATACGACAGCGCCTTTCCAGGACCAAGGACTGTCGACACGGCTCGTCCCCTCGAGAACACATGAGGCAATGAGCTGGCCCAAAATAATCCAGAACTGAAACAGCGAGAGTGTAAGTCCTCTAATAGCCGTTGGGGTAATCTCGGAGACGTATGTTTGTGTGTTGGCTTGCATAGAACCCATAGCAGCTCCCATGAAGAGTTTAGCCACGACCCAAACCTTCCAGTTTGGGGAGAATAGTTCTACTAGTGTACCGATAACGGTAAGACTGGAAGAAAAAAAAAATTAGTCCCTGGTTTCGCTTGGGGCACATTCAATCCAGCATGGGTGGGTGACCTACCCGACGGTGATAAGGAAGCAAATGCGACGGCCGAAGATATCGTTCAGACTACCCGACCCTATGGCGGACACAATAGCCGAGACATATTGGACAATGGTCCAAACCAGTTGGTGGCCCGCAGGAAGTGTCCAGGCTTGGAGGCCTTCATCGTACACACCAAACTGCTGGACGAACTTGGAGTTTGCGATAATGGAGCCAATCAAGGTCAGGTCGTACCCAATAAGGATCGGTGTGGTAGAGCAGGCGAGGGCTTTTGTTGAGTTAGCAATTTAAACTTAACAGTTCTGGAGTCAGGGGCTGTTCACCAGCTAGTATTGCATATTTATGGGTTTTCATTGCCTTGAACTGCTCCTTGAACGAGATTGACTCGACGGTCATTGTGCCCTCAACATCTCTAGAGTTTATTTTCTCGACATCAAGACTTTGCTTCTGATCTTTCTCGCTCGCCATTGTGAATTGAATTGAATGACTGTAGGTAAAAACTGAGTGATACCAGGTGCTCCCAATATCAGAGGTTGTACTAGAGACAGTTTGGGGATATGTTACTATATAGGCTCTCGGTTACTGATAGTGAACAGCCCCGGCTTCCGAGTTACGGAGTGCATGGATAGGCCCGGGGAATCTGGGGTGAAAAATGGGTCTATAAAGATTGTAGCAGTGGCGTTGTGTGAGGAATTCACGTTCCGCTGATGTTGAGTGGAGAAAACTCGGAAAGATAGGGCTCGGAAAAGATAAAGGGGGTTGTGAATTCCGCACTTTCGCCTTTGTTATGTCTCTCAATCATCTTGGCTAAACTGAGACCAGACCATACAACTGCATTTCCACTACTCCGCATGGATTTATCGTTTCCCAAATCAGGACCTGAACGAATGTCACTAGGTATCTTCTATTTTCATTCCATCGTGATAGTGAGCCTTCAGAACGTTCTAGAACCAGGGCTACTTTAAATCACTTCGAAGACCCATTCTATTGACTATTCCTATCAGATTTGACTATAACATCGTTTATAGAACGTCAAGGCCGGGGACAAATTCATTGTTTTAGACTGAAAAATGGGTCTGTACTCTCTCATATTTCCAAGACGTTCAGCCGGTATTCACAAGGCAAATAAATAGTACTAAATAAAATTAAATAATAAAGAAAAAAAGCTTGGAAATTCCCCCGCAAAGCACCGTGAGAGATAGAGGAACAGGAATATAAATTCCTCGGGGTCCACCGTAGCGGAACGTGAATTCCACCTTATCTCTATGACTTCATTCATCATTGGAACAATCATATACTCCAAAATAAATAACCCAAACTTGGGGTTCTCTTGTCTATACTCATTTGTACGCGCCACGGCACCTTATTGCGAGAAAATGGTATCAACCATGTCAGATGATACCCAAGATTTGCTATCAAGCCTATCGCTTGAGGAAAAGCTCAGGTTGATTGCGGGCGAGTCACAATGGCGAACAGCTAGTATCGAGCGCCTAGGGATTCCTTCTTTAAAGGTGAGTGCTCTTGTCATGAGTTCATGTTTTGGTGAATTAACGTCGCGCCATTTAGATGTCAGATGGACCCTCTGGAGCACGAGGAGAGATTTTCGGCGAGGGTGTTCCAGCCGCTTTTCTTCCCTCGGGTGTGAGTTTGGGAGCGACTTGGGACCGGGAGATCTTATTTGAGATTGCACAGTTGTTAGGAGATGAGGTGAGCAATCTCCCATCAACAAGCTCAGCTTGGGGACAAGACTAACATGTGGCAGTGCAAATCCAAGTCCGCATCGGTTTTGCTTGCTCCTACGATCTGTATTCATCGGCATCCACTCGGTGGCCGCAATTTTGAATCGTTTAGTGAAGATCCATATCTCACTGGAAAATTGGCAACAGCCTACGTCCGAGGCCTTCAGTCTCGTGGTGTAGGAGCCACACCAAAGCATTTCGTCGGCAAGTGTCACATCCGCGGAACATATGACTCCTTTCATTCTGACGCCAATATTTTCTAGCCAATGACCAAGAGACTAAAAGATTCAAGTACAATGCTCACATTGCGCCCCGTGCCTTGCGTGAAGTCTATCTGTTGCCATTCCAGATGGTTGTTCGTGATGCAGACCCATGGTGTATGATGACAGCGTATAACAAGGTGAACGGTCATTACTGTGACGCATCCAAGGAGCTACTCACTGATATAGCTCGGGGTGAATGGGGTTGGGATGGTGTTTTCACAAGTGATTGGGGCGGTACTACCTCTACGATCGCGTCTATCAACAACGGCCTCGATCTGGAGATGCCCGGACCACCTACCAAGCGCTCCAGGGCCGCTCTCCAGCAGCCCCTTCGGGACGGTTTGATTGACCTGAATCGAGTAGATGAGTCTGCAGGACGTATACTGCGGCTTCTAAAAAAGGCAGGCCGGTTTCTGGATCCTAGGGATGACCCGGAGCTGTGCGAAGACACGCCTGAGAAAAGAGACCTGCTTTGTCGGGCGGCCAGTTCCGAGATCGTGATGCTAAAGAATGAGGCAAACGCCCTACCACTAAAGCCATCCGAAGACCTAAAAAAAATTGCCATCCTCGGGCCTAACGCGCAAAGGGTAGTTGCCGGTGGTGGTGGAAGTTCCTACATCAAAGCCCCCTACTGGACTTCTGTTCATGACTCAATTAAGGACGCGTTTTCTCACACAACCGCAGAGATTGTCTCTGCAACTGGGGCTAAAGTCAATCGCTACCTTCCAGTCTGTGTGGTTGTGCAGAACCCCGATACTGGGAAAGCTGGAGCCGCCATTGACTGGTTTAATGGCCAAGACTTTGCGAATGCTCCTGTCGCAAAGACACACACGTGCGTTATCACTGCCCTCAATTCAGTCGTCCTACTAATAAACTCTTGAATAGTGATGATCTGTATTATATGTCTTTTGGCACCGTCCCACCCGAACTCAACAGTGCGGCTGCCAACTGGTCGTTCCGCATCCGCGCTACATTGCGACCTCGGACGTCTGGGCGTCACGCAATCTCCTTAGCTTCAATCGGGCCTGCGGAACTCTACCTCGATGGAGTCCGCATAGCTGAACAATCGGGGGCCTATGAAGAGAAAGGTAGTCTATTTTTCACCTACGGCAGCGAGGAGAAGGTGGTTCCCATTGATATGATTGCGGGACAGAATTATGATATCCGCATCGATTATCGATCACACGACCGCCAAATTGAACCCGAGCTGTGCACTCTGCTGGATCCGATGGAAGATCAATTCCAAGGAATCCGACTCGGCTTTGAGGAGTGCGATACAATGGACCGACCTGCTGAGGCAGCACAGCTGGCATCAGAGTGCGACGCCGCAATCATCATGGTTGGACGTGACAAGGAGTGGGAGACTGAAGGCCAGGACATCTTGGCGTTTGAGTTGCCCGGCGAACAGGTGCGGTTGATCCGTGAAGTGGCCGCCGTTTGCAAGCGCACGATCGTGTGTGTGCAGGCCGGAACTCCCGTCAAAATGGACGATTGGATGGACGATGTGCAGGGAGTCCTGTATACGTGGTACCAAGGGCAGGAACTAGGCAACGCCGCAGCTTCTGTGTTGTGTGGCCGAGTCAATCCTTCCGGCCGGCTGCCAGTGACGTTTCCACGACGACTGGAGGATTGTCCTGCGTTCTCATCGTTTCCCGGAGAGGAAAATGAAACCTACTACTCCGAGGGATTGTTTGTCGGTCACCGGTGGTGGGATCTTCTATCCATTGACCCATTATTCCCTCTTGGGTTCGGTCTTTCGTACAACGATTTTGAGGTTGCGCCGGGTTCTATTAGCACAAATTGCCTCGTGGAAGGTCCTACCATAACGCTGACTGCCCATCTTAGAAACAATGGAGGTAGCGATATACCTGGTCGGGAGACAGTTATCGCGTGGTTCTCTCAATGCTCGCCTAGGCGGTTGACGAGGCCGAAGAAACAGATCTGCGGATTCGCCAAGTCACGTCCATTGTTGCCGAATCAAAAGGAAGAGGTTGAGATTGAGATTGATTTCCATGCATTTGGCATGTATGATACGAAGCAGGGAGTGTGGGTTGTTGATGCAGAAGCCGAATTCGAGGTTCTCATAGGAACAACAGCATTGAATGCGGTACCTGCTTGGAAACTAAAGGCTACTCAGGAGATCAGGTGGATTCGATAGTTTTTTCTAGTGTTTACCTTCATTAAAGAGAATTCTAGAGGCATGAACCTCGGAACCCCCTGCTTGATGACGTGGGAATTGCAGATAACTTTCGAACTATAGATGCCTGGGGACCTTTTCAATAGGACTTCTAATATCCTTTTAGCTTTTGTTTGTAGACGATACAGACCCTTCTTGTCTTATCTACCCTACTATCTTGTTAATTATAAGTAAAGGAAAATAATTGACCACTGGAAGTTTCAGCTTCCTTTCGTATATGATTTGAACAATCCTTTACTGCTCTTAACAAACAGAACAACTGCACCTTAAAGGTAAACATGTCTTTTCCCTGATCTATCAGATTGTATGTTACATTTCTCAATTAGGTACATGGGCAACGACCTCAATTTCCACACGCATATCATCCTCACCAAGACGAGGAACACCGACACAAGTCCAGATGGGCTGATGACCGGGCATGTACTTCTCAAAGTTGCGCACCATGGCTGCCAATGCTTCGTCATTAATGGGCACATGGTACGAGTTGACGCGGAAAACCTGGTTCCAGCCTTCACCACCAGCATCCTTCAAGTTGTGCTCGACATTGGCGAACGCTTGGTCGATTTGTTGATTGATTTCCCGGTAAAACTCGCCGGTCTCACGGTTCCAACCACCTATACCCGACGGGCTTCAGCAAATAAACACCACATACAAATCAGTCTGACTGCTCACCTTGGCCGGCGCATTCGATCCGGTCTCCGATTCTGACAGCTTGGCTGTACTTGAAGTTCTGACGGTTCTTCTCACCAACGCCCTTGTAGGAGAAATACTGAAGGTGAGACATGGTTGATATTTGTTTTTGTCGATTGTATACGTTTGAGGGAAAATCTAGTTTATAAATTTTTTATAAGGCGTCTTTGACGTAAGGTGGCGGAATATACATTCCGCAAACAGTGGGCGGGGCAGCTTCCGGTGGGGGCACTAACATGACCTTATTCATTCCCTTTGGACCTTTGCCCTGATAAGTACTAATGGTTAATTCTATGGCTATCTTACACACAATCCACCCCTGAGTGATATCCATGGAGTCGGAATGCATATTCCGCCGACCTTCCATTTGCTGCTCCGAGATAGACCGATAGCAACAGAAATGCCGCGGAGAGGTTTAGATTGGATTTTCGAGTACTCCCATTTTTCAAGCGATGTAATATTCCCAAGATGATCAAACATAGGAACTAGCTCTTCACTAGCTGGATCAAGCCCTCCACAGGCATGAAAAGAATCCCACGACACATTTTAGTGAGATTCAAATGCCGGCTTCCAATGGTCCGCCCTCGAGTTTTGCTGGTCAGCTTCCCAGAGGATCATATCATAGTGGGCAAAAGATACTACCTCCGTGAGCAGCAGTGTTCCGTTGAGACCTTCTGGTATGAGCAATATCAAGCACAGTTGACCGCAACTCAAGTGTATGTGCATTGAACGTTCATGATCCGAATACGAGTGTTAGAACAGTCCCTCTCACCCCGTGATCGTCCGTGTTAGCCTACTGCGATGGTAATCTTTCAAACAGTGCATATATGGAAACCACTCCGCCTGATGCGTTGCATGAACTTCCAACCGATTAGACCGATTTCTTCAATATATCAAGCAGACATCTGTTGGAATATCGTTCTCTGTATAAATATGTTTAGACATGACCTACCACTATATCCTATCAAACATCAAATTCAGACTACTAAAATATAAAGTTATGACTTGCATCCCTTTCACATGGCGAACAAGCCCTAAACCGTCGTCTTAGCAGGATCAGCGGCAAGGCCTCCGCAAATTCTCGATAAGCTCTAACACCGCGCGAGTACACCCTATCTCCGCCTAATATATGTATGAGCCTTCGCCAAAACTCTAAAAATCGGGAAACACCAAAAGTAAAGCACGCGTACATAAACATAGCTTACAATGCGTATTATGACGATTTAGACATACTCAACGCGAAGATGTGCCATAAGGAATAGATCACATTTCTGCTCTTCAATCACCTATCTTGTTCCAGTAAGTATATCGCTCATACTGGATAGAACTCGAGGTATTCGGATGATATGTGGTCACGGTCTTTCACTTTGAATGCTTAGGCCAGCTCTGCCTCTACAATAGCCTGGGCCGCCAATGGTGACCGCCACACCTGGACAACGTTGTATCCTGCGGACTGAAGCAATGTACGCCACTCGGTCTCAGTCCTCTCCTGTCCCGCGACCAGAACCATCATGTTCAAGTCATAAGAGGTCGCATGAGGGTGTGCCATTGTATCCGGCACAACATGATCGTGAATCAAAAGCTTGCTGTATCCAGGCTTGAGTGCACTTTGAAGTGCGTTCAAAATCCTGTTTGCTGGCTCATCAGACCAGTCGTGCAAAACACAATGCATGTAATAGATGCGAGAACCTGCGATCATAATTTAACTTCTTGATTGTTGCCAAATCTAAGGAATCGCGCTCACCCTTGATTGGCTGCTCCTGGAAGAAATCGTGCGGTATCTTGTTCACAGGATCCGGACACTTGGACAGTTCAATGACCGCCGGTCTGTCTTCAAGATATAGTTGAGCAGCTGTGTCTGGGTATACTTGCCGGAACTTCTCAATGTCATGGCCAATGTTTCCACCAACATCGACCACGAGCGGCTGACTGGGATCGACACCATTCAAGAAGCTCTCTGGTGGTATAATGTCTAGCCAGGTGGCCTGGTCCGCCATGACACCGCCCATAACATGATTGAAGGAGGCTCCTTCGCGAGGATTGTCATTGTAATATGCGAATAAGTCTCCCTTGTAATCCTTTGTATATTGGAAGACGCCATCTTCTGGGTCGGTGACATTAGCATAGCCTGTCTTCTTAAGATACTCTGGTGTCTTGAAGAAGACCGCCATTTTAGTATCATAGCTGAACCAAACATTTAGTATCCACACTGAGAAAAACGTATGCCGGGGGAAAGGTCCCAGCTTACAGAAAGTTGATCCATTCTCCGAAGATAGGCTGGAGCAGAGACAGCGAGAACTTTGTTGGCTTATAACTGCCCGCTGACTCCTCTTGTAATATATGATTTGTTGCAAGATGGCGAAGAATGCGAGCTGACTGGTTGATATAAGTCTTCAAATTCGAGGAAGACTGCAGCGCCGGTATGTGTGCCTAGTCAAACCTCATATAGCTTACGTTTATCCCAACGTCCCTAGATGACCCAAATTACCTGACTCGATCCTTGGATCTACAAGAATAAATTACTCCACATGATTCGACGAACGCCTGGCATGACTATCCTAGAATTTGTGGGTAAAGCTATTCGCGAGCGATCAGGGGAGACAATGGATTCCAAGGACGGTGCTAGTGCCAACCCCGAGAAGAAGAACCTTTTAGCCCGCTCCCTCGAAATCCAGAAAACAAACTCCAATTTACCGCCATGGTAGGAAAAAGAATTCCAAAATTTGAACCAATGTCATATTTAACAATTGCAGGGCTTCAACTGCGTGGACATTTTCAAATGTCATTGCTGGCTCGGATTCTGTCGGTACATTGATGGGTACTGTTATGAGGTAAGTGGAATACCCGTCACCTTCGTTTGAACAAATTCTAGAGCTAAATGTGAGCCTAGTGAGTATCCTACAGGCTCAAGGGCTTATCTGCAAGGGTTATTTGATTTTTAGTGGCCTCTCTTTACTGCACCTGGTGTAGTTCGGTAGTTCAGATATGAAAGCTAATAGTTTGACAGATAATCTACTTGCATATCCTGACACGCTGGAGAAACTTAGGCAAGAACTTGAAGTGGCAAAGCTTTCCTGCCCGTATCCAAAATGGAACGAGGTCCGCGACCTTCCCTACCTCGATGCCTGTGTCCAAGAGGGAGCACGTATACACCCTCCATTTGCACTCCTCTTTGAGCGCGTTGTTCCCACTGGGGGCATCACCGTGCTGGGTAACTATCTTCCCGAAGGTACTCTAGTTGGAGGTAACCCCTACGTGGTGAACCGACACGAGCCAATATTTGGCCTCTATTCTCTCCGGTTCGCCTACGCGCGGCCTGTGAGCCCCAAGGCTGCATCTATGAATGCGTATCCGAGTTCGTAAAGCAGCTCGAGGCCTTCCGGGCAGATTCCAAGTTGCGTCATGTTAAATTGGACATTTTAGACATGTGCGCCCATCTGTCACTTAATGTGGTATCAGGTTATCTTCTAACCAAGTCCTACGGAGGTCTCATTGAACATAAGCACCTCCCCATGGAAGTGCGCCAGACATCGAAGCTCAGCATCAACCCATTCATCTTCGCCATTGTGGCCTTCTCACGTTTTTCATTACTCCCAAGTTGGCTCTTTAAAATTCTCTATTCTATCTCTAGCCGCATCAGCTTCAGCAAGGCCGTAGGCAAGTGCATGGAAAACCTGAACAAATTCGCACAACGCCTGGTCCAAGCCGCTGTCAACGAAGGCCCTGAAATCCGCCAAGATTCGTACCAGGCCCGGCTTCTGGATGCAGGTATCAGCCCAGAAGAGGTACAGCTCCAATGCCAAGCTATTTTGTTTGCCGGCTCCGACTCGACCGCTGTCAAGCTGGCCACGATCTTGTTCCATTTGGTGCAGAATCAGGATAGGCTGCGGTGCTTGCACAAAGAGTTACAGGCTGAGGCCCATCACAAAACATCAGCAGACCTGCTGCAACTACCATATCTCCGCGCCGTGGTGAAAGAAGGATTACGTCTTGGTATGGCCAATCCTACTCGGATGACACGCGTTGTGCCTGAGCAGGGTCTGCATGTTGGAGATTTCTTTCTTCCGCCAGGTACTATTGTTGGTATCACGCCATACCTTACACACGATGACCCGGAGGTATTTCCGGAGCCGCGTTCTTTCCGCCCAGAGACATGGCTCAAGGTTGGTATGGATATGGGGCTAAAGCGGCCTATGATGGATCGTAGTCTACTAATGTTTGGCGCCGGCCTGAGGGGGTGTATTGGGAAGAATCTTGCGTAGCAACAGCTTCTTGAGGCAGTTAAGGCTGTAGTTCAGAGTAGGGTCTTTGAAGATGCACACACCTGCCAGGATCGTATTGAGCTTGTTGAGTGGTTTAATGCAGAGATCAAGGACCACAAATTGGAGGTTAAGTGGGTGTGATATCTATATGCCAGGTGCTTATAGACATCGTTAAGATATTTCTTTACTGGAATAGTTATGGCAGAATGGTAGTCTGGCAAAGCAGACAGGGATATCGATGAAGCGAGCATACAAACAACCACTCCCATGTCATGCAACAGGTGGTGATATAGGGGTTTATGAAGATGTAGATTGTACTGGGCTTAATGTTATTTCAGAAATGGAGAATTTGGTAAGAGTCTATAGTCATATACAATGCAATGTCCATGGCCAAATACGTGGTTGAAAAAAGGCTATCGAAAAGCCCGGAAAGAGCACATGAGGTGAGTCAGATTATCCAGTGGAATGCCTACCAATGTTCTTCTTACATCATTGATCTATATACCTACCATACATTGGTGTACGCCTAGATTTCTGTTGGTTATAAGCCCGGAATTGTTTCATAGACATCTTTATTGCATAGATTAGCTTTATTATCGCTAGTAATAAAATTGACATCGTAAGTCAACTGCTTGGCACCTCAAACAACCCCTGAGAACCTGAATTGAAACTGGAGATCTGTTAATAATATGACCGATTAATACCTCTCCGCAATGCCCTCCGCTCTATACTAAAGAATACTGTACTGCTGAAGTTGTAGGATTTTTGGTCGAATGGGAAATTCCAACAGAGCGATAGCTTACACTATATGAATCCATCATAGATACTATAGGTAAATGGATTACACAGCTCTTGAAAAATTATGTTTATGGGAAATCATGTTTTGTATGGTGCGGCCCAATAACCAAAAAGGGCAGTTGGCCCGATGAATCTAAATCCACGTGGTTGCTTATAAAATTATGATTACATAAGAGCTTCAATGCTTTAAGACAATCGGAACGTACGATTGTCATTGCAGATTGTTTGGAGATCACACAAGTGTATCCATTGAGTCCACCTGATAGTAGCATGTTCTACCATTCGTTGGTCCAAATTCCCAGATATGTTGATGGTAAGCATGATTGCCTTATCAGTTCATTGACAGGGATTTCGGAGGATCACAGCGCGAGTCTCAAAAAGGTCCCAACTCTCTCTGCCCACTACAGAAAAATCCCTTATCGAATGCTACTGCGGCTATAGCAGGGCCGTATTACACATACCGCAGGGATATAGATATGTATTTTACATAATAACTAGTCACTTGGAATTGACATATGCATCCTGCAAATAGGTGCAGTATGTATCACAGCCCGAGGGCGGGAAGAAAATGGGCCTCCGTTGATCTCCGACTGAAACTTCCGATTCAAGGCTTGTTCGTTCTTAGCTACTGTCGATCGCTACTTGGTTTCTTTCACTCAGTTTCCGTCCCCACCCTACCGCCCCCACTGCGCCGAACAGGGTCCGGATGAGGCTTCGGATATCGACTTAACTCCGTCCGATGCTGTATCGTCCTCCACCAGTGAAGTGACCACAGAGATCTTCCTATATGCGGGGTTATGTCATGGTCTGGCTAGAGGCGCAACCAGCGCGGTTTGGAGGAGAGGTTTCTTTGTTCTATTTCAGGCTTATATGACTGGTAGTTCATCAACCCTCTCAACTCACTACCAATTAATCTCATCAACCCCGCCCCAAATCTCAGCAACGCATCGAACAGAAGCACAACATCTTTGAAAAAAGCTACAAAAAACACTTAATCATGGCGGAACCTGTTCCCCCAACCGAGCTTGGACGCCTGCGCGTCCTCTCATCCACTGCCGGTGTGCGTGTCTCTCCTCTGCAGCTGGGTGCCATGTCGATTGGCGAGGCCTGGGCTGGTATGATGGGCTCCATGAACAAGGAGTCTGCATTCAAGCTTCTGGATGCATTCTATGAGGCCGGTGGAAATTTCATCGATACTGCCAACGTCTACCAAAATGAGCAGTCAGAACAATGGATTGGTGAATGGGTTGAGGCGCGCCAAAACCGTGACTCACTAGTGCTAGCCACCAAGTTCACCATGGACTACCGTAGCCATGCTATTGGCAAGGGCCCCCAAGCCGCTAATTTTGCGGGTAACTCCCGCCACAGTATTCATGTTGGTGTCCGCGATTCGCTAAAAAAGCTACGTACCGACTTTATTGGTAAGTCTCTTACTGCCTGCTATCGTTGGCCTGTGAGCTCCCCCTGTTCTGACTTGTGTCACCTCTGTCAGATATCTACTATGTTCACTACTGGGATTTCACCACCTCGATCAAAGAGGTCATGGATGCCCTACAAATTCTCGTCGAGCAGGGCAAGGTCCTATACCTAGGAGCATCAGACACCCCCGCCTGGATTGTGGCCGCGGCTAACACCTACGCTATCGACCACGGAAAAACCCCCTTTAGCATCTACCAGGGACGTTGGAACCTTCTTAACCGTGACTTCGAGCGCGACATTATCCCTATGGCCCGTCAATTCGGCATGGCTCTCGCACCGTGGGTGTCTAATTTCCCCCTTGATCCCAGTAACCAACGGCTGACCTGTGTATGTCACAAATAGCTGGGATGTCCTTGGTGGAGGGAAGTTCCAGTCTAAGGCTGAGCTCGAGCGCCGTAAGGCTGCTGGAGAAGGGCTGCGTGCCTTTGCCGGCCGACCTCCCCATCAGACCGAAGAAGAGATCAAAGTCAGTGAGGCTCTGGCAAAGGTGGCATCCGAGCACGGCATCGATTCCGTCACCTCCGTCGCACTAGCCTACGTCATGTCTAAGGCCGGCAATGTGTTCCCCCTGATCGGCGGCCGCAAGGTCGAGCACCTCAAGGATAACATCCAGGCCCTGAGCCTCAAACTGACCCAAGAGCAAATCGACCATCTAGAGAGTGTCAAGCCCTTCAACCCCGGCTTTCCGCACAACTTCATCCCTGCAGACCCGAATGTCACTGGTTCATCATTCCTGATTGGGCGGACCAACGCCATGAAATTCCCCAACGCCCAGAAGCCGACCTCTCTATGAGACCACTACCAGTGGCATGATGATATGTAGCATAGAGAGCGTGCATGAGAGATAAAACCAAGGTACTTTCATCTGAGGCACAAATAAAACAAATTTCCCCACAACTTCTCTGTAGTGAGCATCTAAAGCCAATAATTTATGGAGCAGTGCCGACTTGTTATTTTGTTTCCGTATGGATTTTGACTTCATTCTGAATTGAGGCTGCTTTGCCAGCTAATGGATTAGTATGTCGGTATGCTGCTGATGCTTCTGTGGAAAATATGAACAATATCAACTTCAGAACAGACCTAGCTATACAATACCACCTTCAACAACGGCCCATCGGAGAAATTTGGATGGCCATGGCGTTGCAAAAACAACTCTACCAAAATGATCTCTTCCTATGTATCTTCGAGGCCAAGATCTCCTACTAGCTATTAGAAAATTGTATTACTTGTATATACATGAAAATACGTTAAGTGACGATTGGACAAGAGCAACTTCTAATAGCTGACAGGGATGTGTCGATATGTCGCTCGAAACACGAATATCATCATTGCCCAGGTAGACTTCCGGCTTGCACCGGAGTATCCCGTTCCGACGCAAGTCAATGACTGCTTCGACGCCTACAAATGGGTAAGTACTATCCGAAGATTTCTTCAGGAAGTTATAATCACACACACAGTGTTACCGCAATGCCGCCAAGCTCGGGGGTGACATCAATCGCTTTTTTTCGATGGGATCTTCGCTTGGAGGCAGCGCAGCAGTGGGGGTAGCCTTGAAGCTCATCGATGAAAATCTAAGCCAAATGGTGTCGGGGATTGTCATCCTATGCCCTGCCCTTCTTCACCCGGAATTTGTTCCCAATGATTACAAGCCTATGTTCAAGGCGTACGAGGAAAATTGGACCGGTGCTCCTTTGCAGGATGGGCAGAGCATGATGATATTTTATGGTATGGGCCCTTCATTGTTTGATGGCTGGTCTTCTCTAAATCTGATGCTTTCAGGCCACAACGGCGGCACCAACCAGCAGACCAACCCCTACGCCTTCCCGTGCTTGCATCCTGGGATTTCCCGTTTGCCCCCAGTCTATCAGGCTATCTGTGAGGCAGATCCGGTTCGGGATGATTCGACCGTCTTCAAGTATCAACTCGATAAATTCGGGTAAGTCGTGCACTGACTATGTGCTTGGCTCTTACTGACGCTATACAGGATCCAAAACATGTTTCATATTTATCCGGGAATGCCGCATTATTTCTGGCTGTTCCCACAGCTACATATGTCTGAGAAATTCCACCAGAATGTCGTGGAAGGAGTGAAGTGGGTACTTAGCCAGGTTGAAGTAACGAATGTCTAAATTCCAACAAGCCACGCGAAAAATTGTCACTATACCTAGTGCTGAAGTATAACATCCGGTACTCGGCCCAACGCACCCCAACTCCCAAGAGAAGTTGGGCCGCACGGTTTCGTGTGGCCCTCCGACCCAAAATGGGTTCTGCCGAAGTCTACTTGAGACTAAACCATTGGGAGATTGGAGTCAGCAATGGAACCAATAATTTGCTAGTCCCATGGGACTTGAAGAGGTCTACATAGTACGCGGGGCTGGGACTCTACTATATATAACCTTGTAACCTGCTCGGCTTGGCATTTGCCCCGGGCCCTAGCCGCCTGGGCAGATATCCATGCTTAATAACCCGTAGGTAACCAACCCTAAGTAGCCCTGGAGGGCCTGAGGAACGTCACTTAACCTCCTTTCACCTCTCTCTTTCGAATTTATTAAATAACCTTCAAAACATTTCTGTCTTCTAACCATGGACGCTCCTATAATAGCTGTAGTCACTGGCTCCGTAAGTCTCCCCCTCCTATTGCAGGCTGCTCCTTACCATGATTACAGAACCGTGGCATTGGGTGTGCCATCTGTGCCGCGCTGGTTCAACAGTTCTCAGGCCCCTTGATTCTATATGCAGCTTCTCGTGCCGGGACCTCTTTTGATCTAACTGGCCTGACCATTCCTCCAACCGCCAAAATTCACCCTGCTCGGCTATCACTCACTGACCAGGCCACTATCACTGCCCTCAGCACGATGGTCGGCAAGGAGCACATGGGCTGCGACATTCTCATCAACAATGCCGGAATCTACTATTTCCAGGAAAACATCACTGCCGTACAGCGCCAGGAAACTCTGGATGTGAACTATCGCGGCACCCTCAATGTAGATCACCGAATCCTCTTCTCATTTTTACCACCAACTAACCACCGCCAGGTCTGTCAAGCCTTCTTACCTATCATGCGAAAAAACGGTCGCATTGTTAACTTGTCCTCCCAATCTGGCCAACTCAAATACTTTGATCCTAGCTTGCAGAAGCGATTCTTATACCCTGATCTCACCCTTACCGAGCTAGACGCTCTGGTCAACGAGTACAGCGTACGCTACTTCGACTTTTGTTCCTTCTTGGTCACTAATCGCTCTATTCTAGCACTTAGCAGACCAGCACACTGCGACCGCATCGGGCTGGCCCCCCTTGGCCTATTTTACCAGCAAGGCTGCTCTGAACGCTGCAACACGGATTCTGGCCCACGAAAACCCTCATCTACTGATTAATTGCTGCTGCCCTGGGTGGGTAGGCACGTCGCTGGGTGCGCAGGCGGGCCAGCCGCCCAAATCTATTGGTAAGTGCGGGGTTTTCTCTCCCGGGCGTATGACTTGCTATTCTCTTAGAAGAGGGAGCGAGGATCCCACTGCGACTGGCGGTTGGTGATATCGGGAAGATTAGTGGGCGGTACTGGGCGAATGATTCGGTGGCGAGTACGGGCGATGGGAAGGTTCGGAATTTCTAGTAGTCTTACGTTTCTAAACGAAGCTACACGGGCGATTTCAGTATCAAGAGGTTTAATGATGAGCAGCGAAGTTGATTGTCTAATAAATGGATTTTCTTCCAAATCTTCCGTTTCGTGAAACCTTTTAAAGAAACTGTTTATTTTTTATCATTCTAATACTCTTTTTCAGAATAGCGGACCTTTTTTATTTCGATCCTAAAATTACAAATTAATCACCTTAGAAACCCGGATGCAGAATATGATAACACTGCATCGTACCCTAAGAGAAAAAAAAAGATCTTCCCCGGAAAGGACTGGAGGAAATGCAGATATCTCACGCACCGCCCGCAGCGGCCGAGACGTTGCATTTTTTATGCTATAAACACCACTCAGTAAACGTACTTGGATTCCGGCACTCGATTCTATTTACCGACATAAAGACCGAGCATATCAAGCTCGCAGCAGCGGCGGTATATACGCAGATGAAACTACCCCGAAAAATCAGTACATTATCCACCAGAAAAGAACACAACGGGCACTTACATATTGTGCCATGCGGACACGATGATGACCAGCGCCTGATCACGCAGCTTCCCAGACAGCGACGAGAGCAGCTGGCCACTCGTTCCGGATACGATCTGCCTAACTTGTGATTGCGGATACTCTGGGAGCAGGGCGAATAGGTCGTTCGATGCGAGGTTGACGAAAATGGCGCCGCTGATAGACAGGCCTAGCGTCATGCCGCTTAGTTGGGCTGCGCAGTTTGTGTTAGCTGGGAATATGGCAAAGAAGCAATGTAACTAACCGAGTAGCATAAGAGTCAGTCCATTAGGTGCCTCAGCTGGGACTACGACAGCCTGAATGACCCCAAAGGCGGCCTGGGTGTAGGCGCCAGCTCCAAGCCCCAGTACAATCTCAAGTCCATAGATCACACCTGACGGGGTGTCGACATGAACAATCGTAGCTGTTGGTCGGCGGTATTAGCAACGGTCACAGGTAAAATGAACTCCGCGCGAGACTTACACATCAAAACAGCCGGTATCAGGGCGATTATACTCCCACCCACGTACCAGGGCTTGTAGTAGCCGACATGAGACATCATAACACCGCTAAGCGGGATAGTGGTAATTAACAGGAAGATAAACGGGAGTAGCCGGGCAGCAGATTGAATCGCATTGTCCCCTTGGGTGAACTGGAAATAAATAGGGACGTAATCGACACTGACATAGGAAACAGCGCCTACGGCCGCACAAGAGATAAAGAGTAAGACTGGCTCTTTCTGGGTAAGCAAGTGGATTGGTAGGATACGTCTGTCGGTCGAGGTCGCGATGTTAAAACCCTGTTGGAGACCGAAGATAATCCACAGAATGCCAGAAACAACGAACAGTGCAATTGTCTGCCCGCTGTTCCATAGGTAAAGAGTTCCACCGAAGTTAATACCCATTACCAGGGTGGTAAATGCTCCAATACTGAGAACGGTGCCTACCCAGTCGAAGGTAGCCAGTTTCTGCCATCGCGACGTTCCGGGTAGTGGGTCGTTGGATGGGATAACGAATAGATAGGTCGGCAGCAAGATAGCGCCGAACAGCAGGTTAATATAGAATGCCCAGCGCCAAGTATACAGCTCAAAGGCGCCACCGACTACAGGACCCAGAACCGTCCCAAGACCCCAGACTAAGCCACTAGGATAAATTTTCAGTATACGATTCGCCGTCTTTTCGCAAAAGTAGGCTCACCTCAAGCTTAGCCATTTTGGGCGTTCTTGGCTAGAGGTATTCATAGAAATCAGAGCAAGCAGCCCGAAGTACATTCCATTGCCGCCTGCACCAGCAAAGACTCGCCCAATGATTTCGGCGTCCATTGTTGGCGCTCCGCCACAGAGTGCAGAGGCTGCCATAAACACAACCGTAGACACAATAAATACCCACTTAGCATCAAAAAGTGTGTAGATCTTACCAAACGGCAGTATCATTGCCATTCCTCCAATCATAAACCTATATAGATCGGAGTTTGTCAGCCAGCAACATCTCCAATGCTCAGTCTCATCTACGTACCCCACCGAAAGCCATGGCAAATCTTCGACACCGTTGAAATCGTTGACAATTTTCTATTAAGGCAAAATATAAGGTATTTGTCAGTATACGCCTCTCTCGTAGACAATTGAAATGAAGAGGTAGGGGGCGTACCGGAGCGATATTAGCAACGATTGTATTATCTAGCGAGTAGACGAAGATGGCCGTCAGGGTGCTGAACAGAAATAGAAACCACTAACGCAGTCAGCAATCTCATTAGTCCGACCTTGGGAAGCAATTTTAGAACTGAACTCACCTTGAAGCCGGTGATTTGCCGCTTTTCCTGCGAGTCCAGTGACGAATCACTCTGAGTGAGCTTTTCGGCATCCTGAAGTGACTCGGGCCCAGAGGAGGTAGATACTTCAGCCATCACGATGAATTAAAGTGATAAAATCTATAGGAGCAACCCTTAATGCGATGCAACCGCAAACGCTAAGTATATAACCTATATGAAAGCCCCGGAAACTTTCAGGGGAAAAATTTGTCACCCCGGGCCAACTTCTTTCCGCAATAAAGAACACACCATGGTACCTCGGCACCTTTCACACCTTTCATCTGGCTATGATTCAGCATTCCAAAAAAAGTTGCCGACTGTACGCCGGTCCGCTTCATGATTCGTCAATTCTCTCCTTCCTTGCCGAGGCGGAGACTTTCATAGATATTCGGCAGATCTACACTCCGGGCCGGGGACGATCCGCAGTGGAGAAACCTTGAAAAGTTTCCACCTTTATGACTAAGAGCCCTGCAACGTAAGACACGTCCAGAGCTTACTATAGGTACGTTGACTCCTACCTTGGTCTCATGGACAGTTTTAATTTTAACTCTAATCTTTTCTGTCCCTTGCTTGCTTGGGTTGTATAAATTGAAGCGGAAATCGATTGCTAACTAGGTAATCCCGTCTGACATAATACACCATGTACACCTGGGCACCTGGGCACTATTCAAAGCTCATAGAACTTCTTTGTGTCCACTGGTGTCCCAAACCACTCCACCTTCCGCTTACAAAAGTACTCCAATTCCGGCTTCCAGTACCGTCCCGACTGAAGCTCCATGGTGCCATAAGTGACAATAACGGCGCCTGGGAATTTGGTCTGATTCTCTGCAATCAACGGCGATCCACAAGCGGGGCAAAATGACCGCTCAATGGTCGCTCCGGAGTCTGTCGCATGGTCTTTGTAGGTGCGCATTGTATCGGCTCCTTTGGTGATCGTTACAGCCTAAAGAACCGTGTGAGACTTGATTTCCTCGATGAAGCTAGCTATTCCACTTGCCTCTTTGCTGTACCAGCCGTTGGCCATTCCAATAGAACCGGTCGATTTGCGGCAGTTGTCACAGAAACACATGGCGGTATTGATTGGATCGCCGTGGAGTTCATATTGAATATTGCCGCACAGGCAGGATCCGGTGACCATGGTGAGTATGTTGCGACGATTAAAAATTGACTTTTAGAAAGGAAGATGAAGGTTGAGGGACCTTGTGATAAACTAAACCCACTGAGACCATTAGTTTTATTATCCATATGCTGTCCTTTGGCCGGAATACAGTTGTGGGGTGGAGTCGACAGAATCAATATTACCATCCCCATCCTTTCCATGGACCGGAGTACAACTGTAACATTCTAAGGCCTCTACCCAAGAAACGTTATATATATATATATATGTTCTAACATGAATTGAATCATTGCCACCACTCATTGTTTCAGATTCCAATCTCTCATGCAATTCAATCCCTCTTCCAAGCCACTCTACCTCCATCATGCCATACCCAGACCGCAAATACATCTACGATGTTTTCCGCAACTTTTGCAATCCTCCTGAGGGAACCGAGAAGTTTTTCGATTATGTCGACGACAACGTGCACTGGCAGGTGACCGGCCAGCACCGCTTCTCCGGCACCTGGACGACCAAAAATAACTACTACAATGCGACCTGGGCCAACATCAACCTTCTACTGGCCGAGCCGGGCTACAAACTCGAAGTTCCCGGTGGCGAGTCTGGCGTCATTGTTGGCCAGGATGGCTGGTCCGTCATCGAAATGAAGACTGTCGACACCAAGACCAAGAGCGGCGTCCCCTACAACCAGCACTATTCATGGCACTGTCGCTGGAACGAGGGAGGGAAAATTGTTGAGGCCAAGGCGTTTTTGGATGCTGATCTCTTGGAGAAAGTGTTTGGTGGTGAGCAGCTCAAGTTGGGGCTTGCGACTGCTTAGGGAATAAGGCTATTTCCAGAACGGGTCTTGTTGAGTGATGATTCAATATAGGACATGGTTGTGAAAGATGAATATATTTATGAGTTATGTTTACATATACCACTTTTTTAGAAAGAGAAAGTAGTTGCCATGCACACTTGCTCATAAGCATAGGAAGGATCTCCCACTGTATCGGCCCATAGCTGGAGGGCCCCTGCAGTGGTTTGAGTGTATCCCATGTAATTTAGGTTGGTACACCCTCCAAGCTAATTCGTATTAGCCCCTTTTGTAGCTAGTTATTTGATTGGGGGTAATATTATGCTTACCGATTTTCTACGGGTGTAGTGTACGGTTTCGTTGTTGATACCCTAAGTCAATCAGTAACCGACGCACTGTCCAAGGAAGAGATATGTATACCGCTTGCGGTGTGGTGAGGAACCCCCAGTCAACCAAAGGATTTGTCTCATTGTGGGCTTTGCCATTGTAATAAAAGTCGTCTGCAGGAACTTGGCTCTGGTTGCCTGTCACTAATGTTGACCAAGTACCAGCTTCGATGACGGCAACTGAAACAGAGAGATTCTCAGATAGGCGAGAGGCAACAGTCAATCCCTCAGCACCAGCACCAACAATGACATAGTCAAAGGTCTTTATGAATGAGGTACTTTAAGGGATAGCATCTGCACACTGAAGCCCTACAACAAGAGCTAACGCCGCCAGGATTCTTGGTGTGGCCATCATTGCCACGCTCTTCTCAAAAATCAGAGTCCAAGAATAGAGTTCGATGGGAGATTTGATTAATATGATTAAGAAGGCTAATGGGGTGTCTGGCTTTTAGAACACACGAACACTCGGAGGACCCCCTCATTTAATAGCTTTCGCCATCAGCCAGGCGAGGCAGTTTACGAGTCCTTCACCCAGGGGCGTTTCCAGGTGAATTCGTAAACGGATTGGCTTCACCATCTTACTACCTAGCCTTTCCTTTATCGAGGTGTCTCCGCTCCTGATCAGCCACGATTTTAGTCCGCTCAGCTGAGATTGGGTCAACATGAATCCATTATACATGTGATAAGAAGGTATAAGATGCGATTGGCAAAGCAGATCAATGGCTCCCAAGACAGAAATGAGGATGCTCCTTATCTCACTTGCCTATTACGTCGCGAAGTGGATCTTAGTTACTTCTTCGGCCAGGAATCTCACTCTTCCAAATACAGGGCGTCTTTTGGGGCCGAAGGAAAGTGGCAGTGTATAGCAGATCAAGGACCCGGTTAAGTTCCAGAAATAACTTCTACGAATGGGCATAGACCGTGTATATCTTAAAATATGGGCAAAGGCGAAAGCTTTATCCAAGAATACTTGGTTTTAGGCTCGGTCATCGGCCTTTGCCTTGCGCTGTGCTATAAAGAAGTACCCTGGTCCATGGAACCCAACGAGGTAATTACCACGACACGCGATTTACTCATTATCCGAGCAATATTGACAGATATCGAAGTGTATAGCAAGATGATGTCGAAAGCTATGTTACAATACGTATGTCAAACCAGACATCGCCAGCGCACTCTTTGTCCTAACCTACTGACACGCCTATTAGCGATACACGCATGTACTTGAAGCCGAGAGTCTTCTGGGAGCCGGAATTACCAGGCTTTGAGGGGCCTTACTCCCCATCATACTGCTTCCTTGTCTCGCATGGTGATCGCCACATAGTCTTCGACCGCGGTTTACGCATTGACTGGGAAGAAGCTTTTCCCCCCAAGATTGTGCAGCTTGTCAAGGCCACTACCACGATATTATCATGCAACAGGGACGTGGTCTCAGTACTGGATGAAGATAGTAGCGGCCTGAACATCCACAGCTCCGACATTGAGGCCGTAATATGGTCACATAACCACTTCGACCACACAGGCGACCCATCTTGATTCCCATCCCGTGCGGAGCTTGTTGTCGGGCCCGGCGTCAAGGAAAGCTCATGGCCTGGCTATCCATCCAATCCGGACGGTACGGTCCTAGACAGCAATGCTGCAGGTCGCAATGTCTGCGAACTCGATATCCAGGGCGCAAGCCTCAGGATTGGCCGCTTCGATGCAGTCGACTATTTGGTGATGGTTCTTTCTATTTGCTAGAAGCACCTGGCCACGCTACAGGACACATGTGTGGCCTGGCACGCACGACAGCAGACCCACCGTTGTTCGTTTTCATGGGCGCCGATGCGTGACATCATGTTGGTGTATTGCGACCTTCGCAGTATCTCCCTTTGCCCCAACCGGATACATCAAGTCACACTCATAGCTATGGCGGGTGTCCTGGGGACTTGCTGATGCAGCTAGCGGGTTGGAAAAGTCCCGATGAGCCTTTCTTTCGGGTGGCACGGGGGCCGATGTTCCCTGATTACGAGGCGGCTATGACAACTGTCTCCAAGATCCAGGAGCTAGATGCTGCTGGCAATGTATTGATTCTTCTTGCACATGACCAGTCGCTGAGTGAGCGTCTCCCGCTATTTCCTGACCGTGTGAATGACTGGCAGGCCCAGAACCTGCGAGATGACACGCGATAGATCTTTTGCAAGGAAATGGAGAACGTTAAACTCTGATTAAATAAAATGAAGCTAGCTCAAACGATCTATCTCAACGTGTCCCTACTCCTCCCTGCCAGGGATTAAGATCACTTTCAAATTCTAAACTTTAGAAAATAATCACGCTGAGGTCAACTTGCCAGGTAGATAGAGCCAAGATGCCTCGCTATTGAATCGGATTAAATTATTTCAACATCCCTTACACTAGTCAGGCATAACAATGCAAAGAATATCCATTTGACGCCTGAAGCTCCCTAACAAGAAAATGGCTGTACATGATAGTCGCGAGAATCAAGAAGGTAGGACATATATGCAACAAAAGGGGCCACGGAAAGCAAAGAAGAAATAAAAAGCATATGCCAACGGGTCCGCTAGTCCACTGTCACACAGTGAGCAATCACCGCCGAGCTTTCTCGTCCTCAATCTGGCTGCGGAGGTCTGAAAGAACATCATGCCGTTGGGCCATATGACTCTTCAGCCCGTCCACCTGTTCCCCAACAGCCTTGACGTCCTCGCGGAGTCGCTCCAGATCCTGGCCATCCTTAGCACGGCCAGTACCCTCACGCAGCTCCCGCAACTCTCGCTCCTTATACTCCAAAAGTGAGAGCGCCTCCTTCTTAATCAGAACCCAGTTAGGCCGGCCATCATTGCGCGGCCCATCCCGCCTAGAGTCGGAGGCTTTAGTGGCGGATTCCAGCTTCTTCTCCAACTCCGCGAGCTCACGGCGCAGCCGCACCTTCTCCCACTCCTCGTCCTGGATCGTATCGCTGAAATCCGTCCCCTTGGGCTGGTATGAGCCCTTGCCGCCAACGCCCAGACGGCCAAGGTAGGTATCGCCGAACTTGGCCTTGCGGCCCGTCCGTGTTTCCGTATCACCATCTGCGCCATAGCGCTGTGCAGGTCGCGCCTTGTCGACTTGATAGTCGATTTGGTTGTGCTCGAATGAGGCGCGGAGCGATGCGGGGATAGTGCGTGGGATGCGGAAACCCTCGTGGCGGAAGTTCAGGATGTGCAGGAAGGCGAGTGTTGCATCTTTGTTGATTGCGGTTGATGCGGATGGGTTAACCAGGTTCCAGGCGGAGCGGACGTCGGTGTCGGGGACGTCGAGCGATTCGTAGAGTGGTTGTAATTGTTGGACTGGGAGGTGATCAGCGGGGTATTTTTCTGAGCGCGCACAGCGCGCTGTACGGGTTACTCACATTCTACTTGGCCGCGCGCATTCCGGTTGGCGTCGTAGATCTCGGTGTACTTGTTCTTGTCCTCAGGCTTCATATACCAATCAAAGCCGTCCTTCAGACCGAGCGAGTCGTCCTCGTCTTCTATCCGCTCAAATCGTTCTTGTCCACTGCTTAGTGCGCGGGTCGCATGGACGAGATGTGATTTGGATTCTGGGACTAGCCAATCTGGCAGGACATTTGGGACATCTTGTAGTTCCTGTTACAGATAAGACGTTGTGTTAGAGCGATTTGATGGGGATTTGAGAGGGTGTGTCACTTACGCCGTTGACCAGATCGAAGACTAGGCGCATCGCAACACAGAACTCCTCAAAATCCAGCTCTCCGTCTCCGTCGACATCGGCAATGTCCCAAACCTTCTCGAGCTGGTCATCGCGCAGCCGGCTGTTCCTCAGCACGGAGGCGGCTTGGGAGCTGTTGAGATGTTTTTGGCCATTTGATAATGAGGCGAAGATCTCCCAATATCGCTCAATCTCCCATTGCTCAATCTTTTTAGTAGCCATGATGAATGGAGCTCCGATGAATGGCGTGGTGGATGAGGTGGGAACAATGGGGGGAGAGACTCGGATTTACCTACTTCCGTCAGGGGCTCTGAGGTCATTGGACTCACAATGTAATTATCCTTTCTTTATTACTTTGTATACTCTTTTATAGTATTCATATTGAAATGTTCAAATATTCATAATAATTATCGTCTATATGTTTATCTCTTGAAATTCGATGTGTTCCTTGCATTATGGTACATGATCCCCCTCATTGTTGGGGAAAAGAGCTCGATGTCTCCTTTCCCCAGAATATCGTGATCAAATCCTCGGCGTTATGAATCCTTCTTCTCATCTTTCATATCTTCCTTGGCCCTTGCTGCAGCCTCAAGCTGCTCATTCACTTGAATAATTGCTCGTTCAGCTTCCAACACAAGCTCCGGTGCTTCAAAGATCGTAGCCAACTTCTTGGCATCAGACATCTTCAACAGGATCCGATCCTCACTCTGCTCTATGTCCTCGGCAACCTCGGAATATGATGTGTCGGTCGTGGTACCTTCAAGTGTTTGAGATGCGCGTTTGGCATATAGCTGTTCTAGCTCCGGTAATGAGACGGGGTTGAGGAGATTCTTCTCAACGAGGAATTCTAGATGTCTTGAGCCATTCAATGCTGTGTATTTTCGTCAGTTTTATGAATCGGGTCTGTGTAGAAGATCAAACTAACCACGCCAGTGGGACCAGCCCCGGTATGCCACATAGAAAAAGGGAATATTCGGAACCCTGCTCTGAATTAGTATATCATGTCACTAGAGACTCATAGCATCCACATACACTGGAATCAACCCAAAAGGTGCTGTAATCGGTGCAGCAATCAAGCTCCACATCATCCTCTTCCGGTGAAGTTCCTGCCTCTCCGTGGCGATCGTGCGCACCACTTGCTGGATTCGGTCCAACCGCACCGCGTTACCGGGGAACAACACATCAACCTTGGTCTTTCCATGATCTCCATTAATTCGTAGCTGAGTTTTGAATGAAGGAATGCTTTTGAGGGCCCATTCTTCGTATGGTATCCGTTGCTGGACTCGATTGCCCCATCTAACAAGGTGCATCTTCCATCCTTTGTCAGCTTCCTCCCACTTCGCCCATGTTTCAGCCGCCTTTGTTGTGATCCTATCAAGGATTGAAAGCTCTTTCGCTAAATCCTTGTTAAGAGGTCGAGCATATACGAGAACTCGTTTTGTCGAGATGGGAATTAGGAAAAGGCGCATGGTGGAGGCTGTCTGAGACAAGAGACAATCGACAATCGATAATCGCCTGATCGCGGGGAAGATAATTGATAGATATCAAATGGCTCAGGACAAATGAAATGGAAGAAGACTTTCACAATAAACAGTCTATTGAAACTTGATTTTTTTTTTTTCGTGTGGATGAAAAAGGGATGCGGGAGCAAGCAGGTCCACGCGCTGGATAAATCGAGACGTCATTCCCGAGGTCCGCGTACACTTTCGTCTTAGGGAGGTCATCCCTGAACAACCATACTTCCTACTTGAGCAGCAATTGGGGATTCGCGGGCAAACTGTTGATTGAAGTTTCCCGCGGCTCCCGAGTTTCAGGTTTCAGGTTCTGTCCTGTATCATGGACAGCCCCAGAGACAGCGCTCCAGGGCGAATCTTTGGTGAGAGGCTGGCAGAGAAGATTCCGCCCATCCCAGAATCATCACCGCTACCAGGCCCGCTTAGCGTTGATACCGAGTCTGCTGTTCGCAATAAAACCTCCGATCCAGCACTTGCGCGTACAGACGGCCAGACAACGGAAGAGATCGCGCACTCCCAACGCTTCGCCTTACGCTCTCTACCCGGTATGATCCCATTTAAAGCTCGACCCAACGATCACTCACTAATAGCGAGGTCTTTATAGCCTGGATTCGGTCGGTCGATGAGCCCGAGGAGGATGAGGCTACGGCAACCGATCGTTTACTCCCTTCCCAACCAAATGGCGCATTTGTCGCTCAGCACAACCACTCGCCCTCCTCATCGTCGAAGCCGCAACCTAATCACGCGACCACTAACAGCCTGTTTGATGATGCCTCTCCCCCCGTCAACCGTGAATCACGCTGGGTGACATTCTCACGAACCATCCAATACCCCCGAGAACCCGGTAGAGAGGAACAGCATGTCACGTCAGAATGGCTAAATGAGAATCACGGCGATTATTTGCAACCATGGCGGGGAAAGCTCTTGGAGGGCGATAGTCCGGAGTATCCGCTACACAGCGGAGGCCGAAGGGATATCTGGATCAAGCGTTTCAGGAAAACGCTTCTACGAAGCCCGATCGTACCGCTGATTCTTCGAATGACTGTTTGGTGCTTCTCACTTTCTGCGCTGGCTCTGGGTGGATCGATTCAGCACATGTCTAATGAGGGACATCACCCCCAGGGCCCATCTGCATTGATGGCTATCATCGTCGATGCAGTCGCCCTAGTTTACCTCTTATACATCACCTTCGATGAATACACGTCAAAGCCATTGGGTTTGCGCTCTCCCTCCGCCAAAGCACGTCTCCTCCTCCTGGATATCTTCTTTATCGTTTTCGATTCCGCCAATCTTAGTTTGGCATTTGCTTCACTCTCCGAGGTGACAGGATCCTGCACTGAAGCGGAGGTCAACCAAACGATCGATCCTCGAAATGATGGTATATGTACGCGACAAAAGGCACTTGCTTCTGTATTGCTAGTTGCGCTCTTGGCTTGGCTCATGACATTTTCGATTAGTGTTCTCAGGTAAGCCGTCTTGTCTATGCATGACATATTTTCTCCGTGTTCTAACGCTCTACCAGGCTTGTCGAAAGAGTCACGCAGTGATCTCCCGGTCTTGTTGTGTTTCATGAATCTTTTGGCTGCTGATTAAATATACCATTTAAGCGAGACTTGATATTGCGTAAGCGCAATTTTAGCTAGACGTGCAAAGCCGGACCGTCGACGCCATACAACGGATCTTGACGGAACCAAGCTACATCCTTGATTCTCTGCACCTTTGCCTTCTCTTCTGGCTTCCCATAACACATATCCCACTGTTTTCCATGTGGATACGCTCCGGCCATTTGGAACTCTTCCTGGTTCCCATGCAGGTCCTCTAAGAGTCGATGACCCACTCCAGCAGGCACAATGATCAGATCACCGCGCTGGACCGTTGGCTCAAATCGCTCCGGGTTCTCCTCGCCTCCAAAGCAGAGACGCGCGCTCCCTGAAATAACTCCGAGCACCTCTTGCGTTGTGGAGTGGAAGTGGGTTTGTCTGTACATGCTATACACCCATTGAGGAATAACCTCGCCTACTGCCTCTAGGTGTTCCTCGAGCTCTGTGGATGTGGCATTGAAGGCTCCATGGTATATCATGAGCGGCTTGCATTGTATCGAAGTGTTCGGTATATGGTGCCACTCGGGAATCTGGCGAGTGGTCACTTGAGTGTTCGACAGTGGAGTCATGCGAGGCGTTCTCTCTTTTGCTTTGGTCGTTTTGCATAGAGAAAGAAATTAGATTTCATTGGACAAATCAACAAGCTGTACTTCAGACCGATGACGTCATTCATGGTGGGGCAAATCTCTGGTTAAACATATAAAAATGCTTTTTTTACCGCCTTCAACATACATCTAAAAAGACATCCAAAAAAGACACCAAAAAAGACACCAAAAAAGACATATTTCTAGATATCTAAAAAGACCAGCTAAAATAGTCTAGCTAAAAGATGTCACAAGGCCGCAAACGCGGCTGGTAATTCTTGTACAAACTTAGGGTAACCCAGTCAAAGGATATACTACAAAGTATATCCATAGAAAATATGTACACACACTTAGAAGTCCGCATATAGGTTAATGACAGATGTATTAGAATAGAACTCAAAATCTCTTCGTGAAGAAAAAAAGGACTTTTGGTGCGCTCATTATGAAGTAACTCAACTCAATCACTTAATACACCTCTTTCTGCAGAACTTTTCTCCCTCTACTTATAAACAGAAGCAGAAAAAAGCATAAATCATGGCCGGTTCTAAATGCTCCTTCCCTTCTCGAGATGAGGTGGAACACTTTCTGAGCGACCTGCCTCCTTCCATGAATAGGTACACATATGAAGGGAAAGAGCAATTTGATCAAATCCTAAAAATTGAATACGACCGGTTTGAACGCTCATTGCACCACCTCGATCCAAACGCCCCAGAAATATCTGAATACTTCGTTATTGCCATTGATCCCTCCTCCTTCGAAAAAGAGTTTTTGCTCCCAGATCCAATCGCTGGTCTTCGTCTGTTCTACCACGCGGCCCTACATATCCTAATTCTCAGAATGACGACTCCGGAACATGCTCAAGCTGCCATGGCATTGAACAGTGAAGTCCTGGAAACTTTGCAGCCTATGGGGCTGTTTCGAGCATTGCAAGGCTTTGGGGGGGTTAACATCGACGTTGGAAATGGCAGCATCAAGCAGCCCGATTGGGGCTGGGGCCCCATTCGGCGTTCCCGTGGTGACCCCCAACGACCCAAGGTAGTCGTTGAAGTTGCAGTTTCAGAGACTGCCACCAATTTACGCAACAACGCCAGATTGTGGGTGGACCCTGTCAGAGGCAGAGCCAATATGGCTATCACCGTCAAAGTCAACCGCAAAAAGCCCCAAATCACAATCGATACCTACGAATGGGACTCAGGTACTCAGCATCCTCGCGTCACACAATCATGTGTAATTGAAGAGACTTGTAATAATATTACAGTCTCTCAGTACCCGATTGTAATTCCGTTCCATCACATTTTCGGCGGAGCCCCGGAAATACCCAAAGAGACCGATGTGCAGCTTGGAAGACAGCACCTTGTAAATTTCGCAACTTCGGTGTGGCCTGTCCAAGAGATATCTTCGTGAATTATGCCTTAAGAGATTAAAATATCTGAATTGCTATGACAAGAATAGCCGGCCGTGTTTGCAGAAGTTTGACAACCAAATCGGGAATGCGCTCCCTAAACTCCAAGCCTTGCTGTCGCACCCGGTTGGGACAGAAGCCCTAAACATCGACAGAACAAGATGCAGCAGGATTTGGATGATTTCAAGGAGTTCCTCGAATTACAACGGCAAAGTTTGAGTCCCCGATTTCATTCTCTCTTTTTGGTAGTCTTTTAGTAGGTCTTTTTGCATGGTCTTTTTGGATGTCTTTTGAGGTGTATGTGAAGGCGGTACAAGAAGCATATTTTGTCCAAGAGACCTTTGATATAGAGCTTAGTAATCAAATTATATAACTACCCTTCTTGGAACGTTGGAAGTTCAAAAGAATTAAATTATACATTTCTTGGCGTTGGAGCTGTTGCGACTGACTGAATCTCTCTGTTGAAAAGGTGAAGCTATTCCCACCATTTTGTGTGGTCCGGGGCGGTTTTCAACGCTAGAGATTAGAAGAGACTGATGATTTGTGCGGTGGGAATAGCTTCAATTTTGAGAATATGGGAGATTTGTACTCCGTATGAAATATAGGAATAGCTTCAATTTACAGTTCATGGTGTCGAAAGCGGTCTATAATTAAAGCATATTAAGGCATCAACCCTACAAAATCAGGCATTTGACCTTTGGCCGCTCTACCCCTTTGCACATGAGGGCATGAATTTCACGAGAGAAAAAACGAAGAAAAACTAAGACAAGACAAAAAAAAAAGTGTAGTCTTGAGGTGGCTGTAATCAAACCCATCAAAGCCGATGATGTAAGTTGTAGATTTGACAAGCTCCGCCACCTCACCGCCTACGGCAACAAGGCCATCCCCACGCTCTAGTCCATCTCAGCCTCATCACTTCTCTGTTCTTCTGCCTAATCTCTTTTTCAATTTTCGCTCTAAAAGGTCCTGAAGAGGCTTGTATCTTCTCGCTCGTTTTCTTTGATTTCCGAACCCCGCTCTTGCCAACCCCTCCCGCTCCCAAGCGCCTACCCTCATTTGATCACCCGAAGATCTTTGAGGCGTGACTTGTGGCGCTACAACCGTCTTGAGGTAATATTCATTATGTGTACCTTGCTGGTTACCGTTGGGAATTAAGAGCGCGTGACTGACTAGTTTACCAGGACCCTCGACCTTGACTACTCACTTTCCTCCGCATCCCACCCGACTGCCCTGCAACCGCGATGTCTCTCGCGATGCCGCCGGTACCTCACAAGGATGACCTTGACTCAACGTGAGCAGACAATGATTGGCAATTTGCTTTGACACGGTGGTATGGCATGGGCTAACTGTGGATTAGTTGGTCATTCCTCGAAATTGGAATCGAGAGCGTCATGCTCAACCTTGATTCCGGTATCGATATGAAGACTGTAAGTGAAATGCCGTTCAACTCACTACCGACTGGTGAGGGTGTTCGAAAACAGAAGCTGACTGACTGTTTTTGTCCAGTACATGGGTCTATACACGTGTGTTCAAGATTCGATCCTACCTCGTGTCTGACGAGAATCGCGCTCACAACTTGATATTAGGGCTGTCCATAATTTTTGCACATCTCAAAAAGCCGTCGCTAGCGGCCAAGGTCTACAAGGACAACGCGGGGGTTTGTTTTCTTCCCTTCATGCCGCACTCTCGGCTTCACGATTTGAGCTGACCTGGATTCAAGCTCATTTACTCGGCGAGGAACTTTACAAACTACTCGGCGAATACCTCTCCGCCCATCTGAATAAGGTTTACAAACAATCACAGAGCCACACCGAAGAAGGCTTGCTTGGCTTCTACATTCGCGAATGGTACCGCTACACGACCGCCGCCAAGTACGTGAACCACCTCTTTCGCTACCTGAACCGTCACTGGGTCAAGCGTGAGATCGACGAGGGTAAGAAAAACGTCTATGACGTTTACACCCTGCACCTTGTCAAATGGAAAGGGGACTTTTTCGAGAAAGTCCACGATAAGGTCATGGATGCTGTTCTGAATCTGATCGAGAAGCAACGAAACGGAGAAACCATCGAACAGTCGCAGATTAAATCCATTGTGGACTCCTTCGTGTCACTGGGTTTGGATGAAAATGATAGCTCCAAGTCAACACTAGATGTCTATCGGCAATACTTCCAGTTGCCGTTCATCCGTGCCACCAAGACATATTATGAAAATGAGTCACGGCAGTTCGTGGCCGAAAACAGCGTGGTGGAATACATGAAGAAGGCAGAAACTCGTCTGGATGAGGAGAAGCAGCGGGTCGGTTTGTATTTGCATCCAGATGTCACCAAGAGCTTGACCGATACCTGTCTGTCTGTTCTCGTCACCGCCCACTCGACTTTGCTTCGTGACGAGTTCCAAGTCTTGCTGGATAACGAACGCCAGGAGGATCTTGCTCGTATGTACGGACTCTTATCACGGATCAAGGAAGGTCTGGATCCTCTGCGCACGACCTTTGAGAACCACGTGAGACGTGCCGGTCTGGCTGCTGTCGAGAAGGTCGCTTCGGAGGGAGAAACACTCGAGCCCAAGTTGTACGTCGATGCTCTGCTACAGGTCCACACACGGTACCAGAGCTTGGTCGATGAGGCTTTCAATGGCGAGGCTGAGTTTGTGCGTTCTCTTGATAACGCCTGCCGAGAATTTGTCAACCGAAACCGTATCTGCAAGACGAGCTCTTCCAAGTCTCCCGAGCTGCTTGCAAAATACACGGACTCACTGCTCAAGAAGGGATCCAAGTCGGCTGAAGAGTCGGAGCTTGAGGATATGCTCGTGCAAATTATGACAGTCTTCAAGTACATTGAAGACAAAGACGTCTTCCAGAAGTTCTATTCCAAGAACCTGGCGAAACGTCTGGTTCATGTGAGCTCTGTTTCTGACGACGCTGAAACAAGCATGATTAGCAAGCTTAAGGAGGCATGTGGTTTCGAATATACCAACAAGCTGCAACGCATGTTCCAGGACATGCAGATCTCCAAAGATCTCAATAACAACTACAAGGTCTGGCAGGACAAAGTGCTAGAAGATGATGACCGAAAGAGAATGGCCGATGCTCACTTCCAGGTCCTGGGAACTGGCTTCTGGCCTCTCAATGCCCCGACCACGCCATTCCTTGCGCCACCGGAGATAGTCAAGACCGCCGAACGGTTCCAGACATTCTACTTTGACAAGCACAGCGGCCGCAAGCTGACATGGCTATGGCAGCTATGCAAGGGCGAAATCAAGGCTAACTATATCAAAAACGCCAAAGTGCCCTACACCTTCCAGGTATCGACCTACCAGATGGGTATTCTACTTCTTTTCAACGAAGCCGACACTCTGTCCTACGATGAGATTGAAAAAGCCACTACACTATCTACTGAAATCCTCGATCCCAACCTTAGCATTCTGCTGAAGGCAAAGGTCCTCATTGCCAGCCCCGAGGGCGCTAAGCCTGAACCTTCCACCTCGTTCACATTGAACTACAACTTCAAGAGTAAGAAGGTCAAAGTCAACCTCAACATTCAGATCAAATCCGAGCAAAAGGTCGAGGCCGACGACACACATAAAACCATAGAAGAGGACAGGAAGCTTCTGCTTCAGGTATGTCTCCTAACTAATCATCAACCCCCGCACAGTCCATTTGTCCTGACCCTGTTGTAGTCCGCCATTGTTCGCATCATGAAGTCGCGCAAGAAGATGAAGCACGTCCAGCTTGTCCAGGAGGTTATTCAGCAGGTCAAGTCCCGCTTCCCGCCTAAAATCCCGGACATCAAGAAGAACATTGAAGCCCTCATGGAGAAGGACTACATTGAGCGCATGGACGGCGATGAAATCTCATACATTGCTTAGATCCAAACTAAACCTTCCCCCCCCTCCCCCCTCTCCCTCTCCTCCAACATTGCACAACCAACTTGCTTCTATTTCCTGTTTTCTGTTGCTCTCTGCTTTTGCTACTGTCTCTTTCCGACACCAGTGGCTTCCTGTGTCCATCTCTCATTCTTCTATTCCATCTATGGTGGAACAGCAAGGTAGGGCGGAATGGGACCTTTGCTGTTCCAGGATAGGACTCCTACAATGGATAGCTGGCGGATGGAATCAGGCTGATAGGAGCATAAGAATTCTTTTCATTGTGTCGGCGACTTCTTTTATGTTTCTTCATAGCGCTGAGACGACAAACAAATGATGACCTGGTTATTTTCTTTGCTCTTTGCTCTCGGGTTCTTTTCTCCCTTTCTCTGAAATTATTAAAACATAATAAATTGATGATTCTCTTCTATCCAGCTGGCCACTAGGGATTCGAAGGTTCCGAGACCTAGCCCAATAGAGAAACCATAACAAGACAGAATGAAAGGTCATTCAAGTATGGTGTGAGCACAAAATATCTTTAGAGTAGGTCGAACCTTGGAATTTCCTAACCCTAAGCGAAACAATACGACGGCCACAGACGGTCAGATCTATTCTAATGACATGCATTGTAGAAAAGAAGACAGCTGATCAGAATCAAACACACGAAAGAAGATTTCACTTCAATCTTTCATTCAGTAGATCGATATAAGTAGTGTTGGCCAGACCCAATGTATATTTATGTATAATCAACATGAGAACTGTGCTAGAATGTATATGCTATGCAAAGCTAGAGACAACAAGAATAGAAGACAAAAAGTCCGTGAAGTACCGCATCACCCTAAATGTGAGAAATGCAAATCAACCCCAGCCTTCCAAATCCAGCGCGCTAGTTCGTACCAGACGAGTCTTTGTTCTGGACAGGATGCACCTCCTCTTTGACAGGGAGTGCTGCCACCAAGTTCTCAGGCTGTGTATCTACCTGTACACCGCTCGAAGGTGTGGGTTCCTTCTGGCTATCGGAAACAGCCTCCTCAGTCTTCAAACTCAACCCCAGACCTTCATTCGGCGTGAGAGCCACGGCGGAGAATCCATCTGCATCAACGGTATCTTGTCTAGCAGTCTTTTTGTCCTGGAGAACGTCCTGGGTCTGCTTGTGCTCCGCGTCATCCGCATAAGCCGGAGATCCCTGTGACAGAGGGGACTTGGGGAA